ATTGTTTGCTTTTTTTTTTTTTTTTTTTTTTTTTTTTTTTTTGCACAACATTGAACTCAAAATCAGCGACTTTCTGAAATGGTTGTATATCTTGTAAACCTTGGTTATAGGTGGAACCCTACAGATCAATCGCTTAATTACTACCTTTATGGAGACCTGCTTCCGACTAGAACCTCCTTTTCTTACCTTGGGGTCCCTTTTCGTCCTGGGGGTTATCTAAATACATTCGAGCTTCTTACAATATAAACAAATCACTAGCGACCATGAATCAATTAGCTATGACTGGACTTAACCCCAATGGCCTCAGCCGGCTGCTTACTACTCGTTTTCACAAACAAATGGTCTTGCTATTAGCAAGGTTAGCTCTCTTTTGCTCAACAAACTGGAAGACGCCCAAAATATGTGCCTACATAGAATGCTTGGTGGTTCTTGCAGATTCTCTATAAAAGTAATGCTACAACTGATGAAGTTGCCAAATATAACAGAGCGTACCCATATACTACAAGCGCAATTCCTCTTACGATCTCTGTCATTGCAGATGATGCGCTTCTGACTTACTTACTTCCACGTATACGCCTCTCCACAAGTCATTCACAGTGGTATACTATATCAAAAACGCCACTGTGGAAACGTTGTGCGCAATATACTGATATACTAGGCAAACGATTATTAAAGAAGATACGTCTTCAATATCTGCATGACAACTTAGAACAGCGGCGTACTGCATGTAGCTCAAATCTGCTCTCACTGTGTCGCCCAGCAATCTCTTTGGATCCAATCCTTTGGTTGCTCATGACAAGGCTAGAAATAAGCCGATGCATACGGTGGCGTCTTGGTTGGTTACCCAGATATAACGCCACTCACTGCCTTTGACACACCTCACAGCTCCTTACAAAAACAATATGCCATATATTGCTTCGACATGCATCACTGTCTACAAATACCGAAAACTACAACTGACCATCTGTTCCTCCTTTTAAATAAGCTTCCCACTCGAAAACCATGCTCCTTTCAAACAAGATCGTTTTGGACTATCAGATGGCTCGTGATCTGCGCTACCTTACATGAGCTTGATCACCTATACCATGAAAAGGAGCCACCATCACCATCTGACCCAGGGCAGAAACTGCTTAAATGGTTATTTAATTCTTCATAGCAGCGTTTTTAACACTTGTTCCGTGAATCTGTCAGCCAACGCATTTTTGCCCTCGAGCCCAAAGGGATTTTTAGATACTGTCTCACAACTTGAACTGGCCAGGGCAAAAAAACGATATAATAAAATATCACGTGTTCCTTTTGGCCTTTCTATTTTATAAATAAATAAAATTGTTTAACCGTACATCTTGTAACACACGCACATAGAGTTTACCTTGTTACTAAAAATGGCTTTCTTAGGCACAATTCTTACATTGATTTCTATCAGCTAAGCATATTTAACATCATAAAAAAAAGTTGTAAATGGTTGTAAGAAATTGTTTATTATAAAAAGAAATGATTATTACACAGAAAAATGAGTTATTTAATTAAATGCAATAGGAGGCTGTCTATTCAGACGAATCCTCTCTTGAATATTCTTCATATCTGGAACACCAACTTCAGCCTAATTATTATTTATATATAAATACTCGCTGCATTGATAGGGTTTTATGTTTTAGTACCTGAGCACTGTTATCGTATCCTGTCATTGATTGATTAGAGTTTTTATCTGTCGAACACCTATAAAACCCACAGCCCTACGCATATATACATATGTAAATATAACATTTGGGCCATTGAGTATATGCATGAAATACCTCAGACCAAGAAGATCGACAACACCAGCAGAAACTGTATCCACAGTAAGAGCAATCTACTTTATTACAACCTTCATCTCTATTGATCATTATCGAGCAGTTTGGACATTGACGGCTTTGGATTAGGTTAGTTTACTTGGTTTTTTTTATCTTTATCTTATTTTACCTGTTTTGTAATGTCCACACGATTGTCTTTTTGACTTCATTTGGCAAGTTTTTGTTATTCTTTATCAATTTTCTCATATTTTCATCACAGGTCAATGAAGCGTGTGCATCATAACCACAATGTAAGCAAATAGAAGAATGACAAACAGAACTGCAAAGTAGAAAAAAAAAAAGGAGGGGTTAATAATACAGCCAAAGTGTGTATATGTGTGTATGTGTGTGCAATTACCAATTCATGCTTGGGAAGAAGGATATATGGGCAAATTGAAACTGTTTCCAAATTTCTGGTCTCAGTGCACTTTTTAAAAACAGCAATGATATTTGGTATGAATAATGATGTTGATACTGTTTGCTTGAACTATAATGTGTAATATGATGTTTTTCAAATTTAAATAAATCCTTCATCATTGGCTTATAGACACTAGCTAACATTGTCTCGGTCATGTCTTGTTGAAATAACTGAATCCAGTCATAGATTACTGCATGGTCTTTATCATTCATATGTCTGTCTTGTTTTGGGCACGAGGAGATCATGGTGGTCAGGATGTCACAGATAAAGCTATATACAACATGAGTAACTTGCATATACAAATAACATTTATACTTGCCTCGTTTGTTGATAAATAGGCTGATGGGTATCTTGATGTACACAAGGGGTTATTTCAATATCACAATGAGGACAAGCACGAGAGTAGCTTCTATAAGGCTTATTGTACTTTTCATACAAGTCAACTACCCTCTTTGGAACATATCGGCTCCATTCATGCTTTGGTATGATTTCACTACAAACAGGACACTTGATTATAGTCACACTTAGGCCCCATGATGTTTCGACAACTTGAACAATGTATCTAAGTTTAGATGAGAAACAAGGGTTCACCATCATTATATAACTTTACTTTTCAAAGCAATCTAGACAAAATTGATCTCGACAACTTTCTATACACAAGTTATGCTGCGCATCAAAGCAGATAGAACATCGATCAACAAAGATTTCCATTGGATCTTCTTCTTCATAAGAACTAGCAACAGATGAACTTTCGTCTTCTTGATACATTTTTAAAAGTAGAGAAAAAAGAAGAAAAAGAAAAAAAGAGAAAAAGAAGAAAAATTATGTTCACACACAGGGACAACGTAAGATAACAGTAAAAAAAAAAAAAAAGGTTTTCCCTGTGATGTCTAGTTGACAAATCATACGCATTGATTAAATTCATGCACGACCTTCACTATGCCCTCTTTTTCGGACTTCTTTTTTTTTTTTTTTTTTTCTTTCTCTCTTTCTTATGGCCACTTCAACGCCTGATTTTGCGTCTGACCCACGCATGAAATTGAATGAACAAACAGGAAAATGGACTTTTATAGCTGACGATGGTGTTTCTTATGAGTATGATGACAAAAACAATGCATGGTTTCCAATGGTATGTTTAGCAAATAAGAGTTCACTGTTCTCTAAAACAAACAGTTCAGTATGACGAAAAATTGGTTCAATCTCAATCGTCAATCTATGCTATTGAAGGTGTAGAGGAAACCGTTCAGCCTAAAGAAAAAAAGAAAAAGAGATCAGCTTCGACTTATGATGACACGTCTGAAAAGAAACAAAAGCAAGACAGAATTACCTCGGTTTATGTCACAGGTCTTCCAGCTGATGTCACCGTGGAAGAGATTAAAGAAAAGTTTAGCAAATGCGGTGTCATCATGGAAGATCTGGAGTCAGGTGAACCCAAGATCAAGATCTATAAAGATGAAAACGGTAATCCAAAGGGAGATTGCCTTGTAAGCTACTTTAAAGAAGAATCTGTACCGCTAGCTATTGAGCTATTGGACGAAGCAGAGTTAAGACTAGGCGATAGTTCAACCAAAATGTCTGTATCGAAAGCGGTGTTTAAGGAAAAGAAAGATCAGCAAGGGGATGCAAAAAAGAGAGTCAACAAGACAAGGGCAAAGAAAAAGATGCAGCAGTTACAGCGAAAGTTGGACTGGGTCGAGGATGAAACAGGGAAGAAACAGGAAAAGTTTGCAAAGATTGTTATCTTGAAAAATATGTATACACAGGAGGAACTGGATCAAGACCCAGCTCTTCTGCTTGAGTTAAAGGAGGATGTACGTGAAGAGTGTGAAAAGTTGGGTGAAGTTACCAATGTTATCCTTTATGATGTAAGTGCAGGTATCCTTCTTATAAAATCCATATGAGCTAATACCTCTCTCTCTTTGTAAGAAATCACCAAATGGTGTTGTATCTGTTAGATTTAGAGAGAAAGAAAGTGCTGAAGCATGTGTTGCGGTAAGGAATGTTGAAAACACAACTTGGATTGTGGCTAACTCTTTTTAAATAAAAAAGCTAATGGATGGTCGCTATTTTTCTGGACGACAAATTAGTGCGGAAATATATGATGGTAAGACGAGATACGAAAAGACAGGAGGCAAACAAACAGAAGAAGATGAAGAAGCGGAAAAGCAGCGCCTCGAAAGATATGCCAAATGGTTAGAAGAGCAAGGAGGAGAAGAAAGTGTAAAGACACCATAACTTTATTGTTTAAACAAATAAATAGAATATATACATTTCATTGACACCATTATTAACGTTGTTACTGTTGCGCTTGTGTGCCTTTGTTCATGGTATTCTGTTCCTCTTCTTTCTTCCTTTGATCTTCTGCTTTCTTGTGAAGATCCATGATATTACCGACAATGCTCAAGAGTCCATCGAGATACCAAGGGTCTACGTTTTGGTCACTTTTAGAAAAAATAGCATTAGGCTTGTTTGTTGGAGCAGGTGCTTCAAGGCTGCTTGGAGTAGGCGTTGCTAAAAGAACAGGCATTGAGGAGCTGAGATCATGGTAATGAAGGACCTTACTGAGAGCATGTTCAACCATATGAATAGGGTTTTGGTCATTCTCGAGGAAAGCACTATAAAGTGATTCTGGATGAGCTAGGAAGGTAGGCAAGGCATTGCGAACATGACTGGCAGATGCCTCCTGAATGGAATGAGAGGCGCTGGGAGCAATAGCAGAGCTATGTGTACGAACTTCAACACCCATATCTTTCAAAAATCCTTGTACATTTTCCATAAGATTATTCAAAAAGGTATCCAACTCAGGGGCAGGGGCGCTTTTCTGAACTTCCCTGCTACGTGCCTTTCTACTAGACATCTGCTTCATGTAAACAGCTCCAAGAAGCTCGAGACGGTTTTGATTGGTCAATTGGTTGATGTCAAAGTAATCGTTCACGACCATAAATTGATCCTTCTCTGATTGTTCGAAGAGAGCAAATACGTAGCGATGGCTAGGTATAGGTGGCGTATAGTGGACCTGAGTACGTGCTTCGGTTTGTCCAGCCTCGTTACCTTATTTAAAAAAAGACTTAATCACTGACATCAGTATATTATGGGAAAGAATTTACCATGAATGTTGGTCACTATCCAATGATAAACACGTGTTTGCGCATCAAACTAATGTAGTTTTTTAGAAGGAGCATGTGTTAACATAATGTATAGTCTTACGAGAACAACAGTATATTGCTTATTATCGTCCATTAGCTCAAATGATACTTGGGGAGACTGGCTGACTTCTTCTGCGGCGAGCTCCATACCATTTTGTATAGGTTTACCTTGATAAAAGACTTGAAGGTCTACCTTGGGCTCAAATTCAGGAAAGACTAGTTTCAATTCATTAAGAAGGAGGGCTACCATCTATTAATGATGGCATGAATATACCTTTCGAAGTGATCTTTCCATCGGCCAGCTCTGTCTTTATCCTACTGGCTACTTCAGGTGCCAAAGCGTTGACAGTTGCAAAGGCAGCAAATATCAATGTATAAAAACGAACCATGATCAGTTTTTTAAGAAAGAAGAAGGAAGTGCATGTGTACATATTTATATACAGTAAAAAAAACAAGAGCATATTTTGCCTATAAACATATTTTGTGCTTAAATTCTTATTTATTCATTTTTTATGCCAACGTCCAATAGATCTTCATCTTCCAACTCGGTATCGTCAATGGTCGTATTGAGATCCAGTGATTCACCTTCAAAGTACAACTGAACATTTCCTGTTACTTTAGTAATCTTCTTGTACATTTCAACGACAGCAGATAGTCGAGTCGTCTATCGTCATGGTTACTTTAATATATTCAAAGAGAATGAAAAAGATTAAAAACTTACTGGTTTGACTCGTACACGGATTTCTTTTTTATCGTTGCCCCTTAATTTTATAAACAATGCGTTGTCTTCCTCATTTGTTTCTGTTGTTTCCTCTTCCTTTGGCTCTGCCTGACTCAGCTTTAGTTTCTCTATCCTTTCCTTTTCATCTCTCTCTAGTTTCTCTTCCCATGCCTTGATTGTATACACATCTACACATATATGAGCATCTTTATAAGCATTTCCTTCACATTCTCTCTAAACCTACACATCATATGAGTTTCTGATCCTGTCATTCCCACACCAGCCGGCGTGCCTCTTAGAAACACCTTGCCTTCTTTATACACCAGCACAATATCGTCCTTTTTTAACTTTTTATGATTACAAAAGATAGTCAATATTCTATCAAACTGTTCGTTCTATTGAAGGGAATCAGTGTTTCTTTTCTACTGCACATCTTTGCATAATTACATTCATCACAATAACTTTCATAGGCTTTTGTAGCTTTTCAGCAATTCTTTCAAAAGCTTCATTGACCAATTGCTGTTTTGGTATAACATATTGCAGTTTGATGGTTATCTTTTCTGGTTGATTAATAGACGTTGCAGTTGACTCTGTCAGAAAAGCTGCTAAATCAGGATCGAGATCTTCAATGCCGTCATCTAGAAGGGATATGTCTGATTCTTCGGTAGCTGCTTGTTCGTCCTCTTGCTCGTCCTCTTGATCTTCATCGGAAGATAATCTAAAAAGATGAGTTGAAGTGGCCGTTATATAATGTTGATAATCCTTACAAAAGAACTGTGTCCTTATTTGATGCTAACGATGATTCTGCAACTGTTTGTAATGTCGATTCTGCGTTTGATTGCTTTCTCTCTAATGTTTCTTTTTGCGGTGATTGTGTTGCCTGTACATGCAAATCCAATTTCTCACTGGAATCTTCAATTAGTATGTCGGGTATAGGTTGTTTAACTTCTTTAGATTGTTTATCTGGATCTTCGTGTACATGTTTAATAGTTTTCTTTCGTTTATGCGAGTTGTCATTGTCTTCTTCGCTTGAAGAATCAGAGTCGTCCAATCCAAAGATTCTGCCTGCGGATAGAAAATGAGTGGAATGTTCAAAATATATTTTATCTATTTTACGTTTATTTAAAGAAGCTACAAAGGATTTTTTGTTGCTCAAGTTAAGAATATCAAAATCACTCATGTTTGAAAAAAAGAATTGCAAGCAACTGTCTTTTTCCCTTCTCAGTTGTTCTTATTCACAATTTAAAGTCACGCTCCTTTTTAGGAAACCTCACTCTCTCACTTTTTTCTCTCTCTTTCTCTCTTTCTTTATTTGCTTTATGAGTTCAGCATTTTATTCTTTTATTAATTCCATCACCAATTCCATCACTTCTAAGTACGATATCAAGTCGCAGATTTCAACATCAGGCTTATGGAAAATATATAAAGGCGAAAGGAAGACAACAGGAAAAAAAGTTGCGTTGTTTGTAAGTTTGTTTGATTTTCTTGGCCTCCCCTCTTTTGGCTAAGTTTATGACTATAGATATTTGAAAAGAAAACACTAGACGGTGGCTCATTTAAACGAGATAGATCAAGGCACGATACCGATGTGATATATGATCTATTAAAGAAAGAGGTAATGAATGATAATAGGAACAAAAGAAGCAGCTATTAAATTTATACTCAGGCAGGAAACTTGGCAAGGCTAAGACATCCTTCCATTCTTGAGGTTGTTGAGCCTGTTAGTGAATCCCGCAGCTCGATCGTATTTGTGACTGAGCCATTGATAGGTTGCCTGACACATCTAGTGAAAAGTTCTGATAGTTATTCTTCAGAATCAATAGAGCAGAATTTGGATCTCGATGAATTAGAGGTTTTTTTGATGAAGGCAATCTTTTATTTTTATCTAACATCCAACAGATCCAAAAAGGTTTACTGCAAGTGGGTAAAGGGCTTCAATTTCTTAATGATGCTAAAGTAGTTCATCACAATCTTACAACAGACGCCATTTTTGTGAATGCCAAGGTAAAGCGTATATTCATAAATATGGGACAAAGTTTTGACTATTTATAGGGAGATTGGAAAATTGGAGGGTAAATGAATACAATAAAGAAAGAAAGAAAACTAACGCGTATCACAGCTTAGGCTTCAGTATATTCTTAAATAGTGAGGCGACACCGAGAAGTCATGACAACAGTGAATTTCTACCTGAAGCCTGCCAAATTAATCTTGATTATGCAGGTACACGCGTGGTAACATAATTTATGCTAATACTCATATCATATTAGCCCCTGAGTTTATTTTAGAAAACAACATCTGCCAAGCTAATGATATGTTTTCTTTGGGCTGTTTAGCCTATGCTGTTCACAACAAAGGCATTTCACTATTAAAAACATTCAACAATTATCATAGCTATGAGAAGCAAGTCAAAACAATCAACAGTCAGTCATTGTCCAATATGCCACATCATCTACAGCAAGTACTTTCTTTGCTTCTGGCGAAACACCCAAACCAACGAATGACGCCAACAGAATTTCAAAATTCAAAGTATTTTGACAATTTGCTCGTTTCGACCATTAGATTCTTAGAAAGCTTTCCTGAAAAGACAAAAGAAGAAAAGGCACAGTTTATGAAAGGATTGGCAAAAGTACTAGGTCAGTTTCCTGAACGCGTGATCAGAAGAAAGGTAAAAGAACCCTACCTTAGCCGTTTGTGTCATTAAGAGTTATTAGATATTACCGTCATTGTTGGAGGAGCTAAAAAACTCTCAACTATTACCTTATACTATACCCAACATATTTATTATCTCTCAAAGATTGACTCAGCATGAATTTTGCGAACTAGTACTGCCATCTTTGAAGCCTGTTTTTCTCGTAAGAGATCCACCTCAGAATATGATTGTTCTATTGGAAAAGTTGGATATACTACAATCAAAAACAACCAGAGAGACATTTAGAGATGGTAAAAAGCTTATTCAAGTTTCCTCATATTTTGTGTATTAACATGACGGTAGATGTCATGCCACTTGTTTATGCTGCTCTGGAATCACCAACAAACGTCGTTCAAGAAAGAGCGCTGCGAATGATTCCTTCACTATCAGAGTCATTAGATTATACAACCGTGAAAAGTTCATTGTTTCCTCGTGTTCAGGTACGTGTGTGATCTTGGTGTATTGCCTTTGTTTTAACTTGTAACATAGGCTGTGTTTGCACAAACTACAATTTTATCAGTGAAAGTGAGTACGTTGATTTGCTTTCATTCAATGATCAAAGTTTTGGACAAGTTTACAATCCAAGAAAAGCTGTTACCAAGCTTGAAAAATATCAAGACAAAGGAGCCTGCAGTTATGGTAAGCGATACTTCTTAAAGAGAAGAGGATCATGAACTCAAGTATATATATACATAATGTAGCTTGCTACATTGGCCGTTTATGATGAAATTGGTAAGACAGCTGATAAGGAAATTATTGCTACAGAGATCCTACCTCAACTATGGAAAATGAGTTTTGGACCACTACTCAACCTGGAACAGGTAAAGATATAACAAGGATAGAATGTATGAGTGCTTACACCAAAATCAAATCACACAGTTTCAAAAATTCATAAAGACGATACGTGACTTGACCGACAGGGTAGAAGAAGCTCATATTAGGCATTTACGAGAAGTGAAATCACTAGAAGAGCAAACCAAGAGTGTTAGTTCCTCTCCTCAAGTGCAAAATGTTGCATCAGACAATGTCAATTTTGAGAGCCTCGTACAAGGTAGCAGCACTTTAGCAGTTAATAAAGTGACAGAAGATGATTTCTTTGGAAAAATGACAGCTGGAAGCAATAGCGTGCCCGCATCTCCCAAAAAAGCCACCTGGTCTTCTTCTTCTTCTTCTTCGACTCTATTAACCCCTTCAAATGCAACGAATAGTAATGTGAATAAACAGCAAACGACAACTAGTGTCTCTACCTGGAGTATGCCTGTTCCCGCACTTACACCAAGTCAAGCAATGCAGTCTAATGGATGGAAGCCAGTAGAAGCAACAACAGCCATGGGATGGAATACGCTTCAGATTAAGCCACCACCTCAACAAAACACTACATCCAATCCTCTACTGCCCATAAATCAAATACCCATGACCAACAGCAGTAGACCTAATTACAGTGCTTTCAAAGAATTGCAAAGTAGCAATGCTGCTCCTTCAATACCGACATTACAGCCTTCAAGTATGAGTGTCCTCCAGCCTACGATAGCATCCTCCAATTCACCATCAATGAACACAACGCAAAGAAAGATAGACATACATGCGTTTGATCCTCTTGGTTAATAAAAAGAAATTCTTCTTAACAAGACACTCTTTTAGGATAGTCTAGAATCACATAATGATTCTGTTTTCAGCACTCAAATGAAATTATTATTGTTCTATTTTTGCTGGTCCGTCTGATCTTTCTTTCAATTTGTTCTATTTTTATATTTATCTCTGACCACACATTGTCGCTTTTAATGAGTCACACAACATAAGCTTGGACATTTAAAAAGTAGGTAAGAAAGTTACTATCAAAAATGACAAGTTGGCTAGAGAAAAGTAGTCTCTCCTCTCTTTCGTAAACTATGTTCTCTATTGTCAATCATCATTATGGTTCGACTATTTTGATGTCAACAATAAGTCTAGGCTGGGTACCTGAACTTTGTGTTCCATGAGTAGACCCATCTGCCAATGAAAAGTCAAGTAACTCCCTTTTTATTGTCATTTATTGTATAAATTAGTGTTACATCTACTTGTCAATATGCAGCAAATTCTATTTAAACTCTCCAAGAAAATAAAGATAAACATCTTGTTACTGTAAAGAAAGGTAGTAGACAAAAGACAAGACATTCACAGGTTCCCTGACCAAATGATTTTGAAATCTATCCTATGAAAATTTTTATGGTTAAAGTTGTTATTGGAGAAGTTTTTTAGTCATTATCTCAGTCTTTTGTATAAAAGAGAGGCACAAATCAATTCCTATTATATCAGCTTTCTTTATTCCTTTCCTTTCATTGTTTATACATTAACCTCATTCCTTTAACTTACACATATGTTGACTTATTTCATTCCTTTCCTTACTTTATGTGTTTGCATGACTATTGCTGCACCTGTCAACTCCACAAGCACAAGCGATCAGCCTACGATCATTGTCAAAAATCAATGTAATTCTACCTTGAAAGTCGGTTACTCAAAGGATGTCGATTACTTTGGCAAAGTAGTCAATGTCGCTGCTGGCAGCACATACACTATTCACCCCCCTGTAGGATGGAGTGGCCGTGTTTGGGGAAGAGAGAGCTGTTCTGGTGACAGATGCTTCGACTCTGGTATGGGATCTCCTGCTTCTCTTGCTGAATTCCACTTTTTGGACTCTGGAAATACCTTTTATGACATCTCCTTTGTCGATGGATATAATTTGCCTATGGTTGTTGATCCTGCCTCCAAGAGCAAATCTGGGGATACTGATGGTCGTATGTGCTCCAAACCAAGCTGTAAGAAGCTTCCTGAGTGCCCTGCTGGCTGGGAAACCTATGACGATGATGGTAATGTCTCTGGCTGTAAGAGTGCTTGTACCAAGTTTAACACTGATGAATACTGCTGCACTGGTGCTTACAATGGTCAAGATCTCTGTTTCGGTAACCAATACACCAAGCAAGTCAAGGATGTATGCCCTGATGTTTACAGTTATGCTTATGACGACGCAACCAGTGTCTTTATGTGTGGTACAAGAACCTTCACGGTTACTATCTGCTAAATGCTATATGTGTTCTATGCACTTTTTTAAAGAATAAATTTTATCAGGCAGCTAAGCTAGCTTGTTCTCGATACTATATGTACACTTTTGAGCATTGTTTTTATTTTCATCATTGGCCATATTTAGCCCTAACGATAAAAGTTTTATGACTACTATTGTTGTTGGGCCCATTGCTCATGACGATATGCTTTGTGGAAAAATAAATAAAGCAGGAGAAGGCTATAGATCTGCGACATACAATTTCAGGTGCATAACCAGTCAAATCAAGACATGATAGACATTTACTTTAGAGACTCTATTAGTTGTCCCAAGAAACTATAATAACATGCCAAGTGGTATTACGTCAAGAGCAAGCATTGGTTCTCCTTTTCAAAGAAGAAAATATGTAAAAATAAAAACGATGTAAAGAAGTGCATTCATTTACGATTGATAATATTGAGAGCAAGGTGGGGCTTAGGTAAAGCCGCATCTTGTTCAACATAGATCTTTGTAGATATCTAAGCCTAGGATCTCTATCGATGCAAGGTTCTATTATTAGTTCGCAGATAAAATAATAAATTTCAGTACCCAGAGAAAGAGTCGTGCTGTTTTCTTGCATCTTATCAGCGCAGTTTGCTTTTTTTTATTATTTGTGACACTTTTCTTTTTTTCTTTATGGCTGCTATACCAAAAGATTCGACATCAACTCGAGCAAAACTAGGAACAGCTTGCTACCGATGTAGAGGGTTTCGGTAATTCGAAATCAAGGAGAGAAAACAAAGAAACAATACTAATGAGTACGATAGACATGCTTGTGACCGTGCGAAACCATCTTGTTCTCGATGTCAACGACGAGGCATCATTTGCACTTATCCTGAGGCAGCACCTACGTTAAAGAAACTTCAAAAGGCAACAGAGACTTTAGGAGACAGAATTAAAAAGTTCGGTGACCTATTAAAGACAACAGGCGAACATAATCACTTTGCCAAGTCAAATAACAACAATAAAGGTATCTCACTCCAATGGCTTGCTCAGTCACGTTCAACCGTCGCACCATCAACAGAAGCATATGCATCGTCCGTTCTCTCGGCTGAATCAGATACAGTAGCTTCCACCAGCTCGTTCTCTGTCTATCCATGCTTAAAGTGCTACAAGGACTTGCAACCTTGTGACTTGACTGTCCCTGGTTGCACTCGTTGTAGTGCAAATGGTTATGAATGTATCTATCAAAAGACAGAGCCAAAGGCAAATCATGTATCTCAAGTGCTAAATACGATGAATAAAGTGATGGATCAATGGCAAGAGTCAATTGATAAAATGGCAAAAGATTTTGCTCAAAAGACTAGGGATTTTGGACAAAAGGTAGATCAATCATTCAAGAAAAAGCCTATACAGCCGTTCTCTTGGAAGATAACAACCACAAATAAAGGCTTATCTGTAGAAAGCAACGTTAATTCATTCAATGATCTTTCAAAGCTAGTTGACCAGTTTAAGAAGATTATGCATATATCCACACCACGCGATGAACTACCCACTGCACCCAAAGTGTTGGACGAAACAGTGACAATCCCTGGTTATGAGTGTTTGGATGATACTAGCTCTATCCATACAGCATCCACCTTTTCGTTTAGTATTCTTAATAGTGCACATCCTCTGACGGATCACAAAGGGCTAGTTCCCATCGAAGTTACACAAGAGTTGACCGATAGTCTAGTCGAGCTTTACTGCAATACACCTTGCTGCAACACTGTCCGTCTACCGATTATTAATACAACAGAGTTCTTAGCTCGGTATCACGATCCGGAAAAACGGCCCTCACAATTACTCATCTACGCTGTATGTGCATCAACAGCACGTAGCGCCTTCCAATTTCACGTCTGGAACAGGCAACAGGAAGAATATAACATGGGCAGAGACATTTCTATGGCTTACTGCCTAAAAGGCCGTGAACTGTTGGCTGAAGTCTTTGATGATGAGCCTACCTTGGATCATTGTGTGGCTGTCTTTTTGTTGGCTTACTGTCATATGCAGAATGGCTATACAGGCGTCCTTTATATCTATGAATGGATCGCATACAACATGGCTCGCGGCCTAGGTCTCTTTGATGAGCATCGACAGCTCAGTCAACAAGAAAGTATGCTTGCATGGTGTCTTTACTACTACAACACGTGGTACAAGGTCTTCCAAGGCGACTCTTGTTCCTCTATCCAGTTTCAGCCTCGCTCTCCACTACCGCCTCTTCCTCCTAAGCCAAACACGTTGGAATGCACCCCACAGGACATGGTGGATTATTATATTCATACAGGATGGCATTACATGATTCGATCTCAAATACTCCGCCAGGAAATGACAAGCTGCTTGCTTTCGGCGCAATCAAGCGAAAAATCAAATAGCGTATTGACAGCCAACCTGGTGGCGTTACAAAGCAAACTGGACGCATTCTACGACTCTCTAACGCCTGAATGGAAGAAATTAGACATCAATTCAAAACAGACAGACGAATGCCCCGATCTTTATTTATTAGCTAAATCTTGCATTACCAATGTCCATGTGGACTATCATATCAACAAGATCTTACTCTACCAAGCATTCTCTCCAGTAGATCATTTCCCAACAACCTCTACTTCATTACAAGCTTTACATACATGTCTTAATTCAGCTCATACAATTACGATTATTATCAATAATTTAGTGAGCGAGCAAGATAATCAGTGCAACGTTCCTTTCTTTGGCTTAGTCTTTGCCAACATGGTCTATATCAAGTTATTATCATATCATGATGATCATCCTTACCGTGAACTAGCAAGGCAAAGCCTCATTCAGTCCCTGGACACATTGAAAAGATCAAAAGCATACATTTATGATATTGACATGAGTACGAATTTACTTCATGTTATGGAACAAGATGCAATGCAAGTCTTATAATAATTTATACTACTATTACTACTACTACTAATAATAATAACATTACTCTTTACTCTAATAAACTTTTCATCCTTAATTATTATTTAATAATAATTAACTTTATATATTCTTTATTGTAAAAGTGAGAGTTATGCTTACTATTTAAGAAAGATATGGTTAATAATTAAAAAGATGTATCTTAAAAATGTGTGATACTAGGGGCACTGCAAAATTCAAAAAAGGTAACACTCCTCCCAAACTACAAAAACATTTAAACACCACAATAAAACACTCTATTGCTGGATAGCTATTATCAGCAGATTGAGAGCAAAGCTAGAATATATCAAGGTCTTTTTTTTTATGATACAAGATGTAATACTATGTGTGAGTATACAATTCTAATTGATTTGGTAGAAAATACCCAAATGTTGTCAAGCAAAAGACATACTATATGTAGATGTTATACGACTAAAGGTTCTACTTGCAACGTAAATCCAATATTCTTACTTTTTAAAAGCAAATAGTCAACATATAATAAGCAGCAATTATAGATATCCTCAGTGCATTACTAAATCATGATTGCTGATATAAAACCCATAGAGTGGTAGGGCATATACAAAGCAAATGTTCAAAGCACATTTTATAAATTGTTATGCCATTTTGAATTGGCATTCAAGTATAAACCGAATTGTATAATACACTTTTCACTTGAACAGCCTTCAGTTTGGTGGGAGTATTGCTTTTTTTGGGATTTGCAGTACCCTCAGTATTACTCTTAAAAATTTCATTGTGTCCCTTTGGAAAGAAATCTGTTGGCATTGATAAACTAAATAAGGGACAGGAATAATTTTAAAGAAAATGTTCCTTTTTCGTCATTCATCCCCCTTTTTATTATTATTATTACTCTCTTTTTCTCTCTTTCTCTTCACTCTTCTTATTATGAAAACTTTATCCGTGCAAGCAAACAAGGTCACACCAAGTTCGTTGGTTTTTGATGACCATTTTTTTAAACGCTTATATACAAACTCAAACCTACCTCGCATTATCCTGCATAGGCCTATTCAACAAAGAATTGCATATGACACATGGTATCGAATTGACCTAAGGCTCGTAACTGAAATGGGGCTCACTATCAATTCGCATGACGTACCCATCACCTTGAGTTGTCATATGCTCATGAACTGTTCTGGTTACTATAAACACGTTACAATCCTGAAATCTCGGGCTATTTCCTCTGAGAATGCATGGGAGCCAGAGGTTGCCAAGTCGGAAGGGTTTAAAGCCCAGCATAGTATTGGAGGACTAGAGTACCGACTGACCACATCTCAACATATACCAGAGGATCAACCTTTCTTTATTACACTTCAAGTCACAGGTCAGGAATCAAATATTCTGCCGCTATGTGTGGGTCCCGTCTGGGTTAGTAATGAAAAACAGGAAATACTCGAAAAGAACGGCGACAGTTGGGCACATGAACATATTCAACAAGAACAACAACAATGTCGACCTTTAAAAGCCGGACAAGATCAGTATTTCTTGGTAAAGGAGCAGTGGGATGACGGTGTACCAGGCAAGATATGGGATTCAGCACTAGTCCTTGCTGATCTCTTGATCAAGAATTATAGCCTATTGGTGGGTAAACGAATACTCGACCTCAGTGCTGGTACGGGTTACATCGGGTTAGTGATTGCTCAGTTATTCCAGTCACTTCCACATGAAGAAACGCAAAAGGGTTGTCCTCATATAACATTAAGTGACGTTCATCAAGCCTTGGACTTAATCAAGGCTAATCAAAGGCTCAATAACATTCATGACTCAGAATACTTGAAGATCGAACCACTTCATTGGGGAAATAAGAGCGACATTAAAAAGATATGTAGTAAGCAGCCTAGAAATGAATTTGATATCATTATTGCCTCAGATATTATTTATAGAAAAGATGACTTTGTTAATATATTGTCAACATTTCGACAGCTCTGTTCTCCCAGCACAATCATCTTTATGGGCTACAAACCAAGAGGTTTGAAGCAAAATGAAGAAAAGGAATTCTTTAATACATGTGACAAATACTTTGATGTTCAACTAATAGATTACACCAAACAAGACATGGACGCCACCATATATCATAGAATGGGAGTCAGACTGTACAGGCTACAGCTAAAGACTCACTTGCTAGGTTTTAAAGGTAGAAAATAAACGCATTTTGGAATTCAGATTCATATAAGACAGCCTTAACACCATTCGCAATCTGAAGGGTTGAATAAAAGTATATTTGTGAGTAAAGCCTAAAGAAGAGGCAACACCCATCGTTCAAGTTACATTTATAATAGAGATCATCTTCTGTCATTGTATTTACTGAGTTGTTTGATTCTACGCTAAAGCCGATACCAAACGTTACGACAGCATAAGTTTATTGGGCCTGAAAAAAAGGACGTGATTTTATTGATTAAATGAAATTTGATAAATGAACAACAATAATCTCTTTTCCTTTTTGCTTTTCTTTTTGCTTCAAATGAAAAGACATTCTACATCATCCAGTTCAGAAGGACCTTCAAAAGACGCAAAGCTGAATGAGTGTACAGTATTCAATCTTGTTCATTACCAGTCAATATTTAACACTACTCTGGTATAAGTACAGTAACACCAACTCAAGATGCGCATTATTCCAGCACAGTAAATCAAGAAAGTGCCTCTTCTTCCTCAAGGGAACCAGGGCCTTCGAAACGAGTAGCTTGTGCCCAAACAAGAAAGCAAAAGTACCTGTTTACAGCCCTGATGAAAGAGTTGAAAACTTTGTAATCAAGACGTCCTTACCTAATGTTTGTAACAATCAACAACTTGTTCAGTATATCAAGAATCTAGCAGATTATACCGCTAAAGTTTTATTTGTGGGATCCCTTTTTGCCAATTTCATCTTCATCAAACTGCTCGATGACGATCAGGCTATTCCAATTATTGAACAAAGTTTATTCACAAACATATTTGCGGTAATGACTGGAAATGGAAAGAAAGCACCACACTATCTCAAAGAATACTTCACTCTTTTCTGTGAATTGACAACTATAGACCGCGACTCTTTAAAAAGTATAAATTACTCAATTATTCTTTCCATCGCTGGTAAGCAATACGAAATCCTGGTTAAAAATCACATTCACGAGACACACGAACGAAGATCGATAATGCATTTTCTGAATATGATGTATGACAACAATTCAAGTAATTGTTGTAAAGATCTCCCAGTGGCTTCCAGAAAAGCATTGGCATATTTCATTTACAAACAAAAACAAGGTTCAGAGCCATCTTGGCCATCGTCTGTCCCATGTAATAACTACTATAAAAAAATCGCTGAAAGCATAGCAAACATGTGGTCTAAATACCAACCAGATCAATATGATTCCGATACGCTTTACTCAAAACCTCACCTGTTTTTCAAATGGTTCTACTTTCTGTCGCAAGAAGTGCAAAAAAAAGCTTTTATTATGGAAAACGTACCCTCAAGAGTCGTCTCCAAAGCGTACGTGTATCGTAAGCTCAGAGAGCTTCCATTCACTGATGTTTTGAACAAAAAAAAAAGCTTAATTCTTTAAGAGAAGAAACATTACAGTCGATCAATTCCAACAAGACGTTTACCTCAGGAAAAAAACTAGCCAAGCTTACTCCTCAACAAGTATCAATAGTTCAAAATTTTATTGATAGAGTTAAAACAAGAATACAAGATGGCACGTTTACTCCTGCTAAATACACTGACAAAAGTGGATATCGTTTTTTTTATTGCGCTCATATATTCTGTTCAAACAAAATTAATCCAAATTGATGCTCAAGCTTTTTGGAGACTGGTGAAACAATGTGGCATACCAAATTACCCGAAAGGGAAGAAAGCCGAATCTGATTTGACTGATTTTTACGACAGCCAGGCTTATGGAAATTGGCGTTTTCTCAAGTTACCGCAACAAGCACAAATTGAAACCTGGGACTTGTCTGTTTTGACAAAATATATTGCAGCCAATTTCAGCGACAACGCCTCTCTTACTATCGATAAACTGCAGCAAAAAACATTTCTTTTACTATGTATTGCAACAATGTGGAGACCAAGATCCGATATCGGTACCTTACAAGCACGAGATGTCCACTTCAAATTTGATAATGATGCAAATCTCACTGGTGCTACATTGTTCATTAGAACTCCGAAGGATGCTCAACAGAAACATTCAACCTTGGGCACCTTATCCGAAAAGTCGAGGTGTCCTGTATTTACACTGTTTACTTTCATGGAAAAAACAAAACATTTACGTTCAGAACTCCCAGTCGAGCATACGGTGTTCTTAACATACGTCAACAATCTCAACAAAGTACGATCCATTCAGCTAAGCACAGTTGCAAATATTGTTAAACAAGCTATGCAAGAGGCTGGTATCGCTACACAGATATATGGACCTCACTTACTTCGTTCAGCATCAAGCACAAAAGCTGTCCAATTGGGTCACAAGATAGATGACGTTAAAAAACATGCAAATTGGAGTCTCTCCGCAGACACTTTCGAACGATTTTATTTCAAACCACCTCATCAAGAGAGGACAAGCCATTGTATAATGGGTTCAATTTTTTCTTCTTCTGAGAACAGTACCACATCTGAAGTCGAAATGGAGGCAACTAAGGTTGAATTAGGAACGACATTCAATCATACAGTTGCCGAAATGGAGACGAAAGATGTGGTACGACCCATCCCTTGGTTTCGCAGATTCTTCAACCAGCGAAAGTAACCCGCCCACGAGTCAAGAAAAAATAGAACAATACGCTTAGAAAGCTATAAAGAGATATAAAGAGATATAGAATATAGAAAACTTTGAATTTTATTGTTATTAATTTAAAACTACGAATAAAAAAGCGCGGCTCAGAGAGCTTAGTACCACATCTTTCGTCTCCATTTTGGCAACTGTACGATGTTTTCATATTTGCTGCAGAACAAGAAAATAAAAGGCATCCAGCATTCGAGCGCCTAAAAGAGCAAGCATAAGGCTTGTTCAAATCCATGTACAATTGACATAACACTTTTATACATCCGTACAGTGTAAGTTACCTTGTAAAGTTTAAAAATGTGCTAAATGTTTATTTTCAACAAAAACTCACAATTCACCATCAATTTCAATTTCATATCACAAATTACATCTTTCTTATTTTTCGGGTAAGATGTTATTATCATATTTAACTTGTTTCTAAATTAATGTCTTTTATCTGTAGTTCATTTTTATCTTGTACGAAACAGGTAAGCAGTTCGTCTAAAACTACTCTTTGATTCGTCTAAAAAAAAATCAACATCGTCTGAATTTGAAGTGTGAATACTGCACTGTAAACACATTCACCCTCCAAAATCTCGTTTTGTTTCCCGCAATCTTTTATACATGTCCTACTCGAGTGGCAGTGTTTCTACTGCAGACAATGTTGATTCAGAGACTTTAACTTATCAGGATCCAGCATGTGAAATTCAAAACCTGATGCGATGCTTCTTGAAAGAGCATACCGCCTACGATGTTTTACCCGTTAGTTATCGACTCATTGTATTTGATACTCGACTTTTAGTTAAGAAAGCACTCAATGTCCTTGTTCAGAATGGTTCATATTTATATAAACACTACACATCATGTGTCTTATATTTTTCTTAGGTATTGTCTCTGCCCCATTGTGGTCAAGCGAAACACAAAAGTTTTCCGGCATGTTGACAGTAGCCGACTTTATAAATTTGATACAGTATTATTATACCCACTCGTCCGTCGATGAAGCACTCAAGGAAATGGAGAATTTTGAACTTGCTCATTTGCGTAATGTTGAAAAACAAGTGGGTGCACCAGCTCCACAACTCGTTTCGATGAACCCCATGTCAACACTTTACGACGCTTGTAAATTACTGGCAGAAAGTCGAGCGCATAGAGTGCCACTGCTCGACAAAGAACCAGGCACTGGTACCGAGACTATCGTCAGTGTCATCACTCAGTATCGCATATTAAAGTTTATCGCATCCAATGTACGTATGACACACTTATCAGATAACGCAGTGACTCATTTTTTGTTAGTTTAAGCATACCAAAGCATTACGCCAGCCTTTATCAGAGTTACGGATAGGAACATATGAAAACATAGCTACGGCATCCATGTCAACACCTGTGATTCAAGTCATCAATATGTTTGCCGAACATAACATCAGTGCTGTACCTATTGTAGATAAAAATAACGTTGTACTGAATGTATATGAAACAATAGATGTGATGGTAAGAATACAAAACAAAAGACAAAAAGCAGGTTCTAAAGAGGATGAGATAGAGTATTGCTATATCTGGGAAATATAAAGAGTTAGACATGTCTGTAGGAGATGCGATGGAAGCAAGACCAAAGGACTACCCTGGAGTTCATACATGTACTCTAAATGACACATTACATTCTATATTCCGTACGATCAGAAAGCAGAGAGTGTATAGATTGATTGTGGTAGATCAAGATAATAAGTTGATTGGTATTGTAAGCCTATCCAATATTTTGGGATATCTTGTTGGGTATAAATCTCGTTAAATAACAACCTGCCATGTATTTATTTTTGTTTCTTTTTTTTGATGGTTTGTATGATACATATTGATAAATAATAAACACTGTCATATTTTATTATAAACATATATAATACACACGCTCTTTTTTTTCTTTATCTTTCTAACCAGGAGGAAGCATAGTGGCATCAACAGAATCATTCTCTTCGTAAGAATGTTCAGTTTGTGGTTCATAATGATCATGTACAGGTGATCTAGGCATGGCCATAACACCTATATTCATTGTTAATCATGGTTCTTTTCTTCTTTTTTTTTTTATATTCTTTACCTGTTCTTGATGCTTCAAGAATACCAAATGGCTTACAAAGCTTCATAAAGGAAGATAGACGTTCTGATTTGGCGCATAGTTCGATGATAACAGAGTCTGAGGAGACATCAACGACCTTACCATCAAAGAGACGTGTCAATTCTGTCAGAGCACGTAAATGTGAAAAGGTTTGACGAAGGGTATCGGAAGCAGCAGTTGGATGATCCTACAATCAACACAACGGGTTAATCCCGTATTATATAGTAGTAAAGAGAATCGTTTACCTCATGACGGCTCAAATTCTCATCTTCATATTGCACATCATCATCCAGTTTGGCTGTAGGCAATTGTTCATGTAAATGTTCAGGACCAAGAATAGAGACCTTGATCAACAAGAGTTCACGTTCAACCAACTTTGTATTTGTATAATCCAAAACTGCCCAAACAGGGACCTATTATCGACACATTAGAGATATATTTCAATAAATGTATAAAAACTTACCAAGTCTTCTAACTGACGTCTTGCCTGTTCGATCTGTACGTTACGGCCATCAAAAACGATGGTCATACGAGAGAGATCAGGAACTTCAGTCTTTGCGACAACTAATGATTCAATGTTGAATCCACGGCCAGCCAAGATACCAGATACACGACTGAGAACACCAGGTTCGTTTTGGACCAAACAGTTCAAGATATGACGAGTTTCGGGTTCCTTACTGGGAGCAGGTGTATTATAAAGAATGTTAGTGACAGCATCTTCGGCAGAAGGTGGTGGTGTAGCAGGAACGGGTCCAAAGCGGCGTTGACGGATATGCTTTTTGAAAGATATGGCTGATGTGGATGATGCAGCTGGACTTGTCAAGAAGCGTCGAGCAATAGCTGATGATTGACCGCTTGCCTATGATAATAATAAATCAGATACACTTCATTCATTCAAATCAAAACTTACAATGCGATTCGTAAATGATCTGATAAACATAAGATATACACACACAAGCACAAAAAGAAAAAATAAAAGGAAAGGGGAAAGAAGATTGACAATTTATATACTTTGTATGCTTTGTGACGAGAATTTGAATCATAAAAAATAAGCAATGCTTATTGGTACATCTCATTTGTGCTGCTGTTTGTCACTTTGAATAACCGACAATGACATCCCCCATACACACATAGGATCATTCTATTTGTTATGGAGCATACGTGTATTTATGCTGACAATCTTTTTCCTTTCTTCTTAAAAGTAGATCAGCTTTTATACAAGTTGAGTGTTATATCATGATTTTTTTTTTTGTCTACACACATATTATATAATGCTTTTTCTCATTGGATAAGCCTATTTTTTTATATATTTCTGCCTAACCTGAGTTGTGAAAGACACTTCTTTCCCTAGCAATGACTGAGGAATATGACCCTTCCAAAGACACTATTCTAATAATTAGTAAAGCAAGAGACAGAAAAGTAGTCGAGTTCACAATTGAATTAGCAGAGTGGTTGATCTTTACTCCTCGATTCGGTAAAGAACACCCTTTTACAGTGTAAGTAGATCTCGACAAGATCAGCAAGTATTAATATACACGACTTCAAGATATGTAGATGCACACTTGAATACTCCAAAACTATTTCAACGCCTCACTCATCCTGCTTGGCAAACATATCTTAAATTCTGGACACCAAAGTTATGCTATAGACAGCCAAACTTATTTCATCTGATTATTACTGTAAGCCTGCAAACAACAATCTTTTTATGCCTTTTTTTTTTCTTTTTCTTTTTTTGCTTACCATTAAACAGCTGGGTGGTGATGGAACGATCTTGTTTACTTCAACCCTATTTCAGTCTCATGTACCACCCATCATGCCCTTTCATTTGGGTTCCCTTGGCTTTTTGGCACCCTTCTTGTTTACCTCATACCGTAAAGAACTTGATAACCTGTTTGAAAAAAGACTTTCAAAGACACGACGAATGCGGTTGAGCTGTACAGTCTATAGATGTAAGTCATCTTTGGGTACTAGAGAGAGTAAAGAATTAGCAGAGGCAGAATGGATACAGAATGCATTAGGACAGGAGATATCCAAAAATACGACAGCATCAGGTCTAAAGTCTTACTCGGCTGTGCCTGGTCAAACCTTTCATGTGTTGAATGAAATCGTAATTGATCGTGGACCGAGCTCAAACATGTCTTTGCTTGAACTGTTTTCTAACGACAGGCATTTGACAACAGTACAGGCAGATGGATTGTGTATAGCAACAGCTACTGGATCCACTGCATATTCTGTAAGTGAATTGACATGTCGTACAAAATGCTGATAGTTTTTTGTGTAGCTGTCAGCCAATGGCTCACTGACGCATCCTGATATGCACTGTACCCTGGTGACTCCTTTATGTCCTCACACATTGAGTTTCAGACCGATGATCTTACCGAGCACAATGATTATACGAGTTGTTGTTCCCTTTTGTTCAAGACATACAGCTCATTGCAGACTTGATGGTCGAAATACAATCGAGCTGAAGCGTACGTATGCATATCGTGTAAAAGAAGGGGGACAGGCTGATAATTTAGCTTATATATATAGAGGGAGATCATGTCAAGATCACAATGTCACCTTACCCTGTCTATACTTATGCCTCTACTGATGTCAGCAATGATTGGTTTTCTTCTGTTCAAACCTGTTTGCAATGGAACGTTCGAAAGCGTCAAACATCGGCTATTGTGTCCAATGATTCATTGTTAAGCAAAGACGCGTACAGCAGTAATCGCCTATCTGAAAATGAGCAAGATGGTATAGCTCCTTGGACAGAGCAAGAGTTGGAGAGAGATTCATTTGTACCCGAGACTGAGAATGTCAGATCAAGATTATAGCTAGTAATAAAGGTGTATATGTAGCAAATTCTTTATTTAAGTTTGTTTGTTTGGAGTAGACAGGATCTCTTCTTCCTTTTGATTCACAGTCTCCTTTAAATCTTCCTCTAGTTTTGCTTCCTCAGCCATTTTTGTTTCTTCAGCTAGTTTTGTTTCCTCGGCCAGTTTTTCAGCTTCTAATCTAGCCTTTTCTTCTTTGGCTTCCTGCTCGTGCTCATCTTCAATAAGCTCCTGCTGTTGTTCCAACACTTCTAATTTCTGTTTGAATGTGCTTGCGCCTACTTGTTCAAGTACTTGGAGCTCAGCTTCATTGACAAGATTGTCAGGTAAACTATTGAACGTAGCCTTCAAAGCTTCTTCCATGGTCATACCATGGTCGGTATAACTGAAAGCTCTGGAAAGAATCAAGAGAGTAGAGGGTACTTTATGGTTCAAGTGAAGATCAAGCCATTGTGCTAATTCATCGCGCAAACGTGCAGGAGAGGTGCCCAGAGCACGAATACCTCGTGAGGCACAGGCATTCTGAAGTTCAGGCAGCGTTAAAGATTCGATACCTTCAGCCATGATAGCTTTGTCGTCTGCCTTGAGTTGACGCATTCTGCTTCTGATTTGATATCTCAAGAAGTTGTCTGTTCCAAACGAATGAATATTCATGTATCGGCACATGGATACTAATTGAGGTCTTGATAAATTATCCAATGTCAATTCATCTTCAAATCGCTTAGCAACGTTCAATAAATCCTCTGTGGATGCTTGTTCACCCGTAATACGAATCTAACATGCATAGGATCAATACGAGTGCATTTATAAATGGCTTAATCTACAGCTTACCTTTCTGAAAAATTCAGCAAACTCTTGGGCGGCCATTCCGTCTGTTGTGCCCCGGAATCCTGTTTCGGATATAGTTTCTTGAAGAAATTTAGCCATCTCTAAACGCACCTTCAATAACTTTACTCTCTTCTTTTCCTATAAATACTATATTAGCGAACCAACTCATACATGCTGTGTAATATGTATACCTCTTGTGATTTGCTTTCATAAGTACTTGGTAACATGTTGGGGAACAGCTTGAGGGCTACAGGCAGGAGCAATTCCATAAAAGGCACCACAATAAAAAAGGCAAATGGTACGAGACGCATAAGATCCGAGGTTGTACGGCGAAGCTACAGACCATTAGTAAAAGTTTATCGATTTTTTTTTTCATCACTTACTTGACGATGCTCTCTTCTCGTCAGCTTTCCTCCGTTCATAAGCTTCCAAGTCAATGAAGAAGAAATTTTAATTTCTAAACCAAGCAGCTTAGTACCATCCCAGTAGTGAGTCGCTTCTTCCTTGACTTTTTGCCAAACCGTCTTTTTGGGTTTAACTGCTGCTGCTACTGTTTGCTCCTTTACTGTCTTTGATGCTTCTTCGACCATATTGTTTACAGGTTTGATCTCGCTACGTAACAACTGACGAGGAATATGTAAGCCACGCTGAGTGGTAACATTAGGTTGAATGAGCATCAATCGAATGACTGGGGTTGCAGAACGTTGGGTATAAGCATGTCGAAATTGCACTCTGTTACGAGCCAAATGGGGCAGCATGGTAGATCTTAGATTTCTATACATTCTTTTCTTTTGCCTCTATGTATTTGTATATATTCTATAGTCTATAAAGGTATTTTCTTATTTACAAAGGGAAAAAAAAACACAGAGTAAAAAAGAGGGAGATAAAGGTAAAAAAAATTGACTAAAAGGGGAAAATAGGGACAAAATTAAGCTTTTTATTCTCAGTTTTAGGAACTTTGCCTAGATTTTGACTCAAATGAAAAAACACTTGGATAAAAGATATTTATCATTATAATTTTCTAAATTTGCCTTGAAGCCATACACGGTACATCTTTAGTTTACGCATACGGTTTACAATCAGTCTACGATCCACAGCATTTTGTTCAATCTTGAAAAGTTGTTTGCCTTCTTCTTCTTTACCAAACATTTCACCAATTTCTTCTGATGTAAAGAAATACACTCTTGTACCATCACCACGGATATAAAAGTTTTCTTTTAATAAGCGGTTATTCTTGAATCTTAATTGTGCAAGATCATAGCGACCATAATCACGAAAGAGAACAAGTCCTCCGGGTTTTAACATCTAAAGATCGTTTAGAGTGGGCTTTCTTTTTATATTACATACATACCCTGTGTATGTTTTTAATCGCTTGAGCCCATTGGCTCGGTGATAATGCAGACAGTACAAAGATCAACACAATTATATCAATTGACTCTGGCTCAATTTCCTTTGGTATCTCGTCGCTGGCAAGGTCCCAGACAAAGGCTAACGACCTCGAGGTATCATAGTGTCTGTTGCCCTGGACGACATCTATTGCTGTTTTTGAATAGTCTGCGGCATAGACAAATAAATCGGGATTTTCGCTTTGCTCCAGTAAAGGATACATGGTGTTTCCTGCACCACATCCTATCTCAAATACTCTCTTCTTGCCCGCACCAGCTTCACTTGTTGAAAAAAGTTCAGGGAATTCAACCTTTAACCAATTGCGATCCTTGAAAAACTTGTTTTCGTTCTTTTGATAAAACTTGTCCCAATATTCTGCAGGGTTGTTGTAATATTGCTCTATTATACCCGCTTAGCATAAAAGATATATACACGCACAATGTTCTTTACCTTGTTCTTCTTCAGGTACAGGGTGTTCAAGTTGTTGTTTTACTTTCTCTTTTGCCATCGCTTCCTGTTCCTCATCCCATTCGACATGATCCCTTTTGAACAAAAGGTTAAGCTCTTGTTCTCTCTTTGTTTTTTATTCTTTACCAAGCGTTATGTTTAAAGACATCGTTATCCTCTGTTAAAATACGAGATCCAAACTTTGAACTGATCTCTGGTTCTGTCACATCTAATACTGATGAAGTTCTTTTCTTTCCAACTTGTTCCATCTTGAAGAATGCCACATTCTTCTGATACTCTCTTTTAGTGCTTAAGAAGGAAATAACAGTCAGAAAAAGCAGTCTATGTGGCGCTTGAATTGACCATTCATTGGACATGTCACACAGCTTATATCTCTTTACAACAATAAGACTGAAGAGAAGCTCAAGTGATAAGCAAGCTTTAATATGACCTACGTCTTGACTAGTTTTCCATTATTAATCAAATAGATACTATCCATACAACAGTTGCGATTTTCTCCTTAACTTTCTCAGTAAACCTTTTATATATTCTATAGTCATACTGTCCCTCTTTTTCTTCATTGAAAATAGTCTTTTAATCAGACATGAAATATCTTTATCAAATCAAATATACTTTATTGTGAATGGTCACTTGGTATCTTTAATCTCGTATGGTTTACCGAATGATGGCCTTGTCCATTCCATCAGTTTCGCTTTATCTATGCAAATACAAAGTAGAAAAGATTAGTATATGAATTAATTGAAGAGCACATCCATCAAGCATACCATCTTTTGCATCTCCGTTTACGATAGCAGAAATACTAGATACAATGTCCTTTTTGGCTTCCAGTAGAATTGCCTAATATTTGCTCGCATAAAATTAGTACAATGAAAAGCATGCTTGCATATCTACTCCTAATAAATGTCCATTTATACCTTCACTTGCAATAAGGACTCGACAGCCTTCCAGTAATTGTCGATGTTGTTTATCTTTGTCACAAGTTCAAACTCTGCGAGTTCATAATAGCTGTATACAGCCTCATGTATGAGATCCAGCACAAAAGTGGAACATCGTTTTCCTATTTTCAATTAATATTAGCTATTCAGCCACTGTTCAAGTGCAAATGTGAATACAAACCATTCACGACCAAAGCGCAGACACGAGGCTTCCTAACCCTGTTGGTAACCATCATATCCAGCATGATCTTTGCTTCGTTAGCTGCCTTGACTTTGTCGGATGTTGCGCCTGGATTATCACAATCAGGCTTTTTTACTTCAACAACAAAGACGTCAAATTGAAGCTCCAGATACTTGACGCATGCTGCAAAGTCAGACTTGTATTTTGCTGCAAAATCATTGCTGCAAGCTGATTCTTTGCAAGCTTCTAACATGGAATTTGCCCTGAACATGTTGAAATAAGTAACATAAGTATTCAAAAAGTTCATCACTACCATTTTTGAACAAAATGCCCATCACGACAAAAAATATGGTCAAGAAATGTAGCCAAGTATTGATGTACCATTGTATCTTCGGTTATATTTTCGTTAAACCAATTGTTGCTCTTTCCCACAAGATCAGCGATAATTTTGTAGCAAACGATGGGATCATTGTTCTTGTATTTATTGCTTAGCTCAATAGCTGCGTAATGGTACACCAGCAACAATATTTCTTGAGAGCGAAGTGCACCAAGTGGATTATATTTCAATGACAGCTTATTCTTATATTGTTTGAACAGCTAAGTATACCAAGTAGATATTAGCAGCATATTTAAATGTTTGACTCTCGGTATTTTCATTCACATGCCTTTACTATTCCAGTTCCCCAACCTTGTACTTCATTTGGTAAATTTACAGCGTTTGTTTCAACCAACTTTTGAAGTTCAAAGTAGATTAAGCGTTGCTCTTCGTCTGAAAGCCTTCTGACACACGACTTTTTCCAGTCCAAGGGAAAATAATAAATGTAATTTAACGACCTATCGTTTGATTATAAAAATAATAAGCTTTTTATGAATACAGGTAAACAATTTTAATATATACATCTGTCTTGCGTCAGTCATAGTCTTCGTTAGTGTATCGTTTTTGCTGAGTGCTGTGTCTCGATACTTATTTAAAAACTCGGATAAGTTAAAGTCCTTAATGAAAAACTATTGATAAAAAACTATTAGGGAACAGGTATGAACACGGTCTTGCTAATTTTTTTTTATCCATACATGAGGTTCTTTTAACTTATTGCTTCTCGAACCACCAAAGATAGTGTAATCAAAATGTGATTTTCTTCTTGGTTTCTCATCTTCAGAAGAGTAGCAGTCATCTTTGATGACGATGTATGGCTGTATATCTGTATTCAAGATATTGTTGCTTCCTATAATTATTATATTGCTATTTCTGTTTATAACTTGAGTATTGTTCTTGATCTGCGAAGTGAACTGTTTAGGATTTACTTTAGTAGTAGTCTATAGAAAAAGGATGAGTCACTGTTTGCTACTGAAAGGTATAGTCATCCAATAATAGTGTGTAACTATGATGCATACAATTTCTTTTTTCAGGAACCCGACATACGTATGTACTTCTCTTGGCATGTTTTTCAGCCTCATAATACAGCCAAGTGCAACTTGATATCTCTCAATATATTTGTTGATTATGGTTTTGTTGTATTTTTTCTTGCCATTCTGATCCAAAACTTTGCAAAAATCAATAAAATTCCACTTTTCAGGTACAACTGTAGCAAAGTACGCGCTATCTTTCATCGTTTCAGGAATGCTAAGCAGCGCCTTGAGTGGACTATCTGTTTTGTTACTCTGCTGACTATCAGAAATGGTCATTTTGCTTAGTATTTCAAAGGAACAGAGAAAGAAGACAGAAGTCTTTTTTTATATGGTGCATTTTTTTTTAACTTGACATTTTTTGGATTCCCGACTAAATTCTGAAATGTAATCAAGTGAGCAAACATTAATGCTTTTCTTCTTTATAAACGTGTTTAAATTTGGCTTGAATAGATTTCAATTTCTGTCGAGAAATGAAAATTAAGCAGAGAGCTTATGGAATTGGACATGAAACCTAGTGGTAGTCGCCGGAGTTTTAATCATTTTCCGAAATTTCGACAATAAACTTCGACAGTCGAGTTAAAAAGAATTGCACAATAGAAATACTGTTATTTATTAAATTAACAAATATTTGATAAAAGCCTTTCGCCGTAATGAGAGAAGTGCAATTAATGCAGACGGAGTTTGCTATATTTTTCGAAAATTGCTGATACTATGTGGTCTGCTAAGAAAGGCACCCGATTAAAAACAGTGCGCCAGTGTGCACGCCATATGAGTAGCAAAACATAAGTGATGAGGACAAGCAAACGATTATTGTCCACAAATTCAAAATGATTCAAATTTCTGAGGACACTTAAGATATCTCCAGGAATAAATTCAAGGTATGGTGCAAATCGAGAGAAGACTTCTTGCCAGATTGGCTATTTGAACGAACATGCAACCAAAAGATAATTAATGTCTTCCACAGGCGTTTGGCATAGTTGACAAGCAGCAGAAGCATCCTGAGCGAATCTTGGAATAGAACTTCGACAATGCAAATTATTTTAGAGGAAATGAAAATGCAGCGTTTGAGCTTCAGGCAAGGCCTTCAAGGACCAGAACTGTGTCCATTTATTGGGAGGCAATGTAGAAGGCAAAAAAAAAGGAGCAGAGTGCGTTGCATTGTTAACAAGGATGCAGGAAAACTAGATCCAGAAACGAAAATGGTCTTGTTACTATCTTCAATTATACTTGACAAACTTTTGATTGCTTTCCAATCCATACAGTTATCCACATGTTATTCGACCCATTCCTTTAACTCTAGAAAAAGTCGTGAAGAAGCAATATCTTCGCCGTCGAATGGCTGATGTTCGGGATGTTGCCAGTGATACGTCACAAAAACAGAGCCATCATTCATGATAACTTTCTTAATTTTGGCAGGGCAGCCAGTTCTTCTAGACTTTCTTTAATGCATTTGGCCTTCTTTTCTATCACCATCAGAAACAATTTTACGACTACCAGCATGCCCACAACCATATACTGCAATGTGGACTGGCTACAACTGTGCCGTCTTTACATTCATAAAAAGGCAAATTTAGCTTATGAGTATAAGCGTTACACGGCTTATTTTCCCATTCAGCATAACGACTTGCCGTATTCGTGAACCACTCATTAAATTGCTGCTCATCATTGAATGTAAGCTTCACTTTTAGTTCGGAATAGTTGGGAAGGAATCTTTGGAATGTAAATATTGTAGTGGCTTTTGTGGGGTTTTAAGGTAGCTTTATTTATTATTAATGAAAGAATAGATAATTATAAAAGTACATCTTACTTTTCTAGTTCCTCGTATAGTTTAATAAATAACCTACAAGGGAAGAAAAAGAAGGAAAGGATAACGCATAATATATAATAAAATGTTTAATACACAAAAGATAGATTTAGGAAGTAATACAACTATCAAAGTCACCTATTTCAGTAACTTTAAGCTACTCTAAAGGGGCCATCATCAGGAATCTAACTCGTAGATTTATCCTTGACGTGCTTATTTTATTGCTGATTACAACAGCAATAAGCATGAAAAAATGAGTTTGTATTATTATTTTACATCAGAAACAATTTCATCATTTGTAAAATGTTTTGACAAAACAACATCTACTCCAACTGCACGGTTTGAACAGGCAACATCACATAAATCTCACCTCCTGAGAGGGAAAGGGTGCCACCACACTGCTGAACCGTCGGTCGAAGCCAAGGAAAGCTTCCAAGCAGAAGTGAGAAGGTCAGAACGGGGCATTGGTCAGCCTTACGAAATCCTTCAGTCAGACGATACCCTTTGTCGGTTTCCTTATGTCACCCAAGTTCTGGTTTTGTCCTAGTATTATATTATCATCGACCTACCCCAACTGCACGGTTTGAACAGGCAACGTCACATAAATCTCACCTCCTAAGAGAGAGGGAAAGGGTGCCACCACACTGCTGAACCGTCGGTCGAAGCCAAGGAAAGCTTCCAAGCAGAAGTGAGAAGGTCAGAACGGGGCATTGGTCAGCCTTACGAAATCCTTCAGTCAGACGATACCCTTTGTCGGTTTCCTTATGTCACCCAAGTTCATAATAAATACAACACTAGCATTTGTGACATCTTCACTACTTAAACTACATATTTGAATAAGCATGGGCATATAATGACACATATGCCTTTTGCATCTCATTCAGTAACCATCATCAAATAGGCCAACCGAACTCTATTTCTTGAGTCGAATATTATATTAAGTCTCTGCTCCAAACCTTGAGCGTTCGATTTAATTACAGATGGTCGTTGTGATTTTCTCGATACTTGAGAATATGATGCCATTTCTACACAATCCGTAGTCAAAGACAGAGGAATAAAAAAGTCGCTGTGAGTTATTATAATACGTAATGGGAAATGATGGTCACGAAAACGGATTTTATAGTCATTGTTTATTTTGATCTTTTTTCAGCACTTGGCACTTCAGTATAGGTGGCTGACTCCTTTTTTGCTCGACGAAGTGCCTTCTAATTTTTTTATCTTATGGTTACGCGCTCACCTACTCAGCTTGTCTCCTTTGTTGATTGTAGATTCAAGACTGCCTTTTCTCTTTCCGTCCTTTCGCAAAGGTGCTTTAGCCATGAATTCTAAAGGTGTGCTGTCGACTCTCTGTCGGTCTTTTGACGGTCTTTTCGATTCTGGAACAATTCTTGCTGTGCTTAACGGATAGTTGTCAAAGCGTCCTAAGGCATTTGTTAAAACTTGCCTTTCTTTAGCGGTATCAGAAGTCGTAAATTGGCCGGCAGATAGTTCTCCTAGAGTAGTACGGCCTTTCAGGCTCACGCCATGATGTATATTATTCCGTCTCTTGTATCCTTAAGGGTTCTAATAAATGTAACAAGTATTGAAGCTTTTGGAGTCTTCCACAGTGTTGTATTTGTGTTCTTTAAATGGGACAAAAGTGGAACGAGAAAATAGTTCTTTTATTTCGCATAGAAAATCAAGAGAAAAAAACTTCCAAATTTACTTCTTACAGTTTTTTCTGAAAGTAATGTCGCATAATTCAGAAATTTATAATAAAAGATATACAAAACATGACACCTTAAAACGATATTACTTTCTGAAAACAGCATACACTATCGTTACTTAAAAATGTGGTGAATACCACAAACAGTACGCCGCTTAATCAGAACGATAACATAAACGGTCAGATGTAATATGTAATCTTTCCTGGATATAACTCAGCAGCTCAAGACCCAGCTAGCAGAAACCCACGCAGAAATAGTCAATTTACGCTAACAAATTGTCCAACTTCAGGAGCAATTGAACAGAATTTCACCCAACGAGCCCTACCAGCCACTTAAAGAAAGCTAACCGCCTCAATCCGGACGATTTCCCTGCACTTTCTTCTCAGCCACCTCCATGGCACAATCCTGAACTAGTCGCTCAAATTAAGCGCAATCTAGCTGAACATAAACAGCAACGCCGTTTACAATGTCAAGGAGCAGCTGCATGTCTTCTTCAGCCATTTTCTGAGAGCCAGGGGTTTTAATATGTATACCTGCCTACCAAACTACGCGCCCCTATAATTCAAATTCAAACCTGCCTGAAGAAACTTGATATTAACAATAACCGGATACTGGATATGCACCATCCCAACCGTCACGTTGCTGCGCTGCTCGTACACGATGATTATGTAAATGAATTTCGTACACAATTAGAACGCTTTAAAGTGATCCTTAAAGACGGTTTTGATCTTTGCGACCCCAAGGTCCTAGGCAATCCCAAGTATACCGACCTTTCTTCTGACGAAAGAGCTAACTATACTACCATGCATCATAGTGACTGCATGGCACGTACCCTAAGGTATTCGCGCTCTTATCAAGTATGTAGTTTACCGATTCTTCTACTCCAAGAAATGGATCAGTAAGGCACTTCTACAAGATACCTTACCCAGTAAATCTAGTACTTTCATCCAAGCTGTTGATCTTTTCACTGAAGATGCCGACATGGACAATGCTGGCGATTTGTTTCATGACCTCAATAGCACAGATGCCGATACTACAAAGGATACTAACACCATAGATAGTCCTGCATCCTTATGAGCCTGGTGACGATCACTCTCTTCAACGCCACTGGCCAGTCTAGACATGCCATTACACCTATTCTCGAAGCAGGCCAATCCACAGCTGTTCTTTTAATCATTGAAATTTGGCTACTACCGCCTGCAAGGTATCCCCAACTGGCAATAAGTTCATACTTACGGTATACCTGTCGAATACTATAAGAATAGAGGCGCACAGGGTATATATTTACTGGTTAATCTAAGCTATAAGTATCATATATACTACTTGTTTTCATCAGGCATTCTCCTAGCACAATACCAACCTTCATTCACGATAGCCGACACCATAGCACTTTGTCTATATTTACCATTCTCACTGGACAGCCATACAGCCTCGAAAATTCTGCCATCTCTTTCACGGACTGCTCGTACTTCCGAGCAAACCATTATCTGTGGACACCTCAACGCCAGGCTCGGTTCTTACGCAGGTGACCGCTTGATAAATCCTCACGGTAGCACAGTCTACTGCTGGATAATGAACAACATCATTATATGGAACCAACACTTAGCTTACGGTCAACCCACGTTTCTATCACATCAGGACAGTAGTACCATCTATCTATTTCTTAGTAACACTGAACTAATGGAACTTGTAATGTCAGTTTTTACAGATAATTCATTGGATTCTAATCATAAAATCGTCTCACTCTCGTTCAAAAACCATAGAGCCTTATCAATCACGGCCCTCTCATGAGCAGGTGTGTTCCCAAATTGCCAGTGAACAAGTAGCACAGCACCATATTGAAAGATTCAACCACCCTCTCTTCAAAGCCATTTACAATTCACTGAATATCACATGTGCTTGAAACATTCAAACCAATGACTCTCTGCAAGGCTTTTGGACCGTTGACATGCTCCAGGCATTTGACACCCGCGAATGTTGTTATTACAAATGGCGTAAAGCATATGGTCTGAAAAAACTGCACTACTGGCTTAAGTACCAAGAAGCCTGCGCTCAACTTAAGTGACTGATATATCAACGGTGGCGAGAGACCTAGAACAAATTCTGTTACCAAATGGCAACTGGGGAATATACTAAAGCTATTGCAGAGATCAGTAAAACATGTAAAGACCGAACATTGAAGCTGGTATTCTCTACAACACAAGGATCAAAGCACTCTGCAGATACAATGGCTACACACCTTGAGTCCATTTTCTCTGATAATCTACTGCAAGGCGTCCAAATATATGAGGTTGTCTCGTCCACTGTGCCCTCTAACGTAGAATGTCCTTTCGACGTCGATCTTATTGAGGATACCATAAATCATTTGCCTATCAAAAAGGCACCGGGCGTTAATCATCTACATAATGAGGTGCTCAAACCTATTCAAAATCTCACAGCATCTATATTGCTGGAGCTTTCCCGTCTTTACTAGCGCTGATCCTACACCCTTCAAGCCCGGAGAATAGCCCAAGTTGTTCCTACTCATAAAAAAGGCAATCCATTTGACACTAGTAACTACAGACCGATAATTTTAACTTCTATCTTGTGAAAGATTATGGAATAATATATCGAATCGTCTGTTCAAAAATTGAGCCCGCCGCTCGATATTGCCCAAGGAGGCTTCCAGAAATCACGTAGTGTCCTCCATCAAGAACTACGTTTATCGAAAATATGTCGTTCGCTACGAGTAGATCGTAATATAAACCCAGTGCTGGCATTTCTTGATATAAAGTCGGCGTATATCACTGCTAACAGGGACTTTGTATGGTACATCTTGCAACAGTATATTTCCCTACCCCTCTTGGGGCTTCTGGGTAACCTATTTGCTAAAGCGCTTATATCTTGGACGGGTACACACAACTCTATTTGGACCAGACAATCAGAAGAAATTCATTTTAAACAATCGCTATCTGACGTGTTTACCCTATAAATACTTAATCTTGTCGTATGAGACTGCTTTATGTATATACTCTAAGAATGACTACAAAACATACTATTGCCACTTAGTACGACATGCTCAATTCTCACTGGCCATGGTTAGCTCAGCTCTTGGAGAACTCACAGAAAAAGAAAAGCTACAAGAATACAATCGATATTTATCCATAAAAAAGAAAATTGAAACTATTGTATTTGATGTCACACATTTCAAACATCATATGGGACATCTAACAAGGCTAAATGTAATAACAAGCTTTAATCGAATTTAACATAGTAGGAAACCTACCTTCAGTTATTTACGGAAAGAGAAAACAGGAGATTTGGGTATACCTCTTCTCTAAAATTGGTGGGGCATTATACCCATCCTTCCACTTCGCCCTTTTGTCATCTGAGCTTAAATTCCAATACTACGAGGATGCCAATCTTTGACTTGTAAAGTATTTTGCAATGACTGGAAGAGAAGCATATAATCGCGCTATCCTTGGAGAAGAGCTATACAATAAGGTAGCTAGTAGCCGTGTTCTTCTAGTAGGAGCAGGTGGCATTGGCTGCGAACTATTGAAGAATCTAGTCTTGTCTGGCTTTAGAGATATTGAAGTGGTGCGATATTTTTACATGATGTGTTTATACAATAATTAACAATCTGTAGATCGATCTAGATACAATCGATATTTCCAACTTGAACAGACAGTTTTTGTTTCAAAGACAGCATGTTAAAAAAGCTAAAGCCCATGTAAGATGGGATACAGTTGATACATCTGTTAGATTGACACAATAATTTCATTAGGTAGCAAAGGAATCAGCATTAAAGTTTAATCCATCAGTCAAGATAAATTCAACACAAGCCAATATTAAAGATCCTCAGTTTAATGTGCAATGGTTCAAGCAATTTACACTTGTATTGAATGCTTTAGATAACCTAGGTAACAGCACACGTATATATGTATATACGCACAGTATTTATTAGCCTTAAACAGACGCCAGAAGACACGTCAATGCCATGTGCTTGGCAGCCAATATTCCACTTGTTGAATCAGGCACTCAAGGCTACTTGGGGCAAGCTTATGTAATCAAAAAAGATATCACCGAATGCTTTGACTGTCAACCAAAACCCTCACCTACAACTTACCCTGTGTGTACGATCAGAAGTACGCCTAGCGCACCTATTCACTGCATCGTTTGGGCAAAAAGCTACCTGTTCAGGTAAATGAGTATAATATACAACACATGATGAAGGACCCACTGTTGTATTTTCAGTCAGTTGTTTAGTAATTCGGAAGATGAGGATGTGCTTGAACCTGATAGTTCTGAAGAAAACGGTAATTGATAAAAGAAGAATGTTGTACATATATAAAAGCTTACACCATGAACCAGCGAATGAACTAGTGGCACTCGCCAGAGAAACAGAGGAACTTAAAGCTATCAAAGCTGCTGCAGGATCTACTGACTATCCAAAAATGGTATTTGACAAGGTATTTAATGTCGACGTTCAGCGCTTGCTTTCAATGGAGTCAATGTGGAAAAACCGTAAGAAGCCTTCACCACTAAATTATGACATGATGGAGAAAACTCTGCAAGAGAAAACAAAAGAACAAAAAGAAGATAGCCAAGCGCTACCGGATCAAAAGATTTGGAGTTTGGAAGAAAACTTTGACGTATTTAAAGAGACGTGAGTGTGTACCCTATGCAGATAAAGAGAAACAATAAGACTCACGTCATTTAAATAGTGTAACCAGACTGTCAAGTCGACTTGTCAAGGAAAAAGAGAAAAACCCAGAGGCCACATTATCCTTTGATAAGGATGACGAGGATGCCATGAAGTTTGTTACAGCAGCGTCTAACCTTAGAGCTCATATCTTTCAAATTCCTACTAAAAGCTTGTTTGATGCAAAATGTAAGACCAATATGAAAAAAAAATGATAAAACAGCTTTTTAAATTGTATACATGTGTAATATAGCCATGGCAGGTAATATCATCCCAGCTATTGCAACTACAAACGCTGTTATTGCTGGTGTGGTCGTCATGAAGGCATTTGGTGTGCTTCGTGGAAACATAGAAAATAACAAACGTGTAAGTGTAGTAAAAATAACTGACCTCATTCAGTATTAAACATGTCTTCTTACTTCTTTTTAGATCTATCTTACCACTGGATCACGTCTTGTTCAAGAAGCAAATTCTCAACCAAACCCTGAATGCCATGTCTGTCGATCAAATACAGCTAGTGTTGCAGTGAACTTTGAAATGACGACGCTAAATGACTTGATCCAAAAAGTGATCTTACCACCCGTAGAGAAAGGAGGTGCTGGCGTGCCAGAGGATGAGGTGGCAATCATGGATGGAAGCAGGTAATACATGCATATAATATATGATAGAAATTGTTAAACTCAGCATTGCTTAATTTATCAGAATAATATATGACATTGAGTATGATGATAATGTTAATTCACCACTAAAGGACATTGGATTGAAGCCAGGTACAATACTGCGTGTGAGTGATGATGATGGAAACGATCTTGATCTTATACTCGAGACTACGTAAGAAAAAAGTATACTTGTCATGGAATGAATACATGCTCAACTCTCTTTTTCATAGTGAGTTCAAAGATGATCTTGTTCGATTGTTGACTCCTATTCCTTCAACAAAACCTGGTCTAAAACGTAAACACTCTGATTTGGAAGTAAACAAGGATGATACAAAGAAAGCGAAAACATCACACCAAGACATGAATAATGGCGAAGTTGTGATTCTGGAAGACGACGATGAGCTGGTTGTATTAGATGATTAAATAAATTTTTCTCTTTTTTTTTTTCTTTTTCTTCTTTGCATTAACTTTTATTTCTTTATTAAACCAAGCATGAACGAAAATATATTCAATATCAACAAACGTATTCGAGAAATGAACTTGGGCCATGGTGGAGAGAGCCCACTTCCGCTGAAGCTTATGAATTTAAAAAAGGGACTGCCAGATATCACAGCACAAGTGTTCTTCCAAGGCACGATATTTGAAATGAATCTGTTTAGTGATGTATTTTCTGCAGGAAATACAAAATATGCTGTATTATTTTTATTGAACTATGATTTGTATGGTTATAGCAACGACAATAGTATAGTGTATTAACTCTTAAATAGCACACAACAATCAAGAAAAGACCTTTTACAAATACAGTAAGTAAAGCAAAGAAAAAGAGTAAAGAAGTGATTCATCTGGTCTATGAATAGCCAAAACTATTCCAAACTAGTCGAATACAGTGCAGTTCCAATCGTAGTGACTCATGATCGACCCAATGTTCATTATGCATACGGCACACCTGGATTTACAAGCGAAAGTCTGAATTTTGAACCTTCCTTTATCTTAGCGTCCGATTCAACAGATCGATTGATATCCACTTTATTTGGAGCAATTGATTTTGATACGTATAATATTAAACGATCTGTCCACATCATTGATAATCAATATAACCTTATTCTATCTCACCATATTCCAAGTCATAAAACCTTTCTTCCAATGAAACTCATTTTCGATACAATCAATCATGATACAAAATAAAAAATAGGGGAGTTTAACAGAAACAAACTTTATTTTTATAATTAATTCTTTTGGTATAAAAAAGGGGGAGTGTGCATTCTAAAAAAGTAATAATAAAAAGGAGAGATTGAATAATTTAAGACGTCTATTCATTCTTAGTTCTCGTTGTCATAGCCCACATACAATTGCTCAGCGACGTCGTCTTCGATCCAGTATTGGTCTTGTCCTTCAGTTTCTTCAGTGATAGGAGTGCCTTCGGGATTCTCAATAAACTTGACTTCAACTTGATAATCAAGGGCTTCACCATTGCTGGAATCAGCTTGAGGCTTACCGTGTTTGACGACGACAGCGATATAAGAAGCTTGAGGAGCTTGTGCGGCTTCAGTAGTGGTTTCTTCTTCTTCTTCTTCATCAGCACGCTTGACAATGGAAGTAGAGGCGCTGGCAGCAGAAGCACTAACAGAGGCGCTGACACGCTCGGCCTTGGGAGCAGCAGAAGAAGAGGCCATAGGAGCCATGGAGGAAGAGACGGCACGCTTCTTCATAGAGACAGAGCTAGCGGAAGCAACGGGGACAGAGGAAGCCTTAGGGGCAATAGAAGAAGATGCAGCACGTCGGTGTTTCTTGTGAGCGACGGCTCTTGAGGCTTTGGGAGCAGCAGAAGAAGAGGCCTTGGGAGCAGCAGAAGAAGAGACCATAGAAGCAACAGAAGAGGAAACTGCACGCTTCTTCATAAAAACAGCGCTAGAAGAGGGCTTGGCGGAAGCGGAAACCTTCATAGAGGATGAAGGGACAGCACGCTTGGCCTTCTTGGAAGCAGAGCGCTTGGCTGAGGAAGAAGCCTTGGGGGCCTTGGAGGAAGAAACGGCGCGCTTGACTTTAGGGGCAGCAGAAGAAGAGACCTTAGGAGCCATGGAAGAGGAAGCCTTGGGAACCATGGATGAAGAGGCGGCACGCTTATACTTCTTGACAGCAGAAGAGCTTGCAGAGGCCTTAGGGGCATTGGAAGAGGAAGCCTTAGGAGCTACAGAGGAGGAAGCAGCACGCTTGGCCTTGTGAACAGCAGAAGATGAGGCCTTGGGAGCCATGGAAGAGGAAGCCTTAGGAGCCATGGAAGAAGAGACAGCACGTCTATATCTCTTTACAGCAGAAGAGCTTGCAGAGGCCTTGGGGACCATGGAGGAAGAAATTGCACGCTTATATCTTTTGTGAGAGGCAGCACTTGAAGAGGCTTGGGGGGCCATAGAAGAAGAAGCCCTGGGAGCCATGGAGGAAGAGACGGCACGCTTAACCTTGTGGACAGAAGACGAAGCCTTGGGGGCCATGGAGGAAGACGCCTTGGGAACGACTGAAGAGGACACAGCACGCTTATACTTCTTGACAGCAGAAGAGCTTGCAGAAGCCTTGGGGGCCACGGAAGAAGAGGCAGCCTTAGCAACGGAAGAAGAAATAGCTCGCTTGTTGTGCTTAGAGCCCTTCTTCACAGAAACACTTGAAGAAGCCTTGGGAGCAGCAGCAGAGCTAGAGGCTTGCTTGAGAAGGACTTGGTGGGAGGAAGGAAGAGCACGCTTGTTGTGCTTAGAACCCTTCTTGGCACTACTTGCGGAAGCCTTGGGAGCAGCAGAAGAGGAAGCCTTAGGAGCCATAGAGGAAGAGATAGCACGGTTAACATTGGGAATAACAGAACTAGCGGGAACGACAGAAGCAGATTGGCTGGCAAGGGCTCTTCTGTATTTGGCGGGATGTTGAGCAGAGAAGCTAACACTAGCAGAAGAAGCTGCTGCGTTGTTGATAAAGAGCTTTCTGAAATAGTCGAGCATGTCACGCTTATCGAGATGAGCAACTGATGAGGCAGAAGCCACAGAAGCTGAAGATGAAGCAGCAAAGGCGGCTTGAGTCAATAAAAGAGAAGCAGCAACAGCAAGAGATAACTTCATTTGAATAAATGTATAATTTAAGATATCTGCGGGTGCAAAAAGGTAAAATATCCAGCAAGTCTTTATATAAATGGTTTCTTGCCATAAAAAATTTACCTGGATAATGAAGGGGATTTGCGAGACAACGGATCAAATTACAACAGCAAGGAACGTTTCCATGGTATTTAAGGGCCGGTTGATGTCAGAAAGTAAAAATCAGGACATTTTTTAATTTGCAACATTCTTTTTGACAAACAGGGAAACAGATCTTTAAAAACAGGGGCCCCTTTTTTAAGCGTTCTTGTATAGAATATAAAATATGTTATCTTCTAGAACAGTATGCATTTTTTTATATGGTTCTATCTTCGTCAGCATCTTTAACTCCGCCATAGACTTTTTTTAATGTCAATTTCTCTCTTTATTTCTTCCTTTTGCTCAGAATCGCTTATAAATGGTAAATTTAACACTTTTTCTACATTCATAATAAAGATTGCTTATTCATCTCTCAGTCCAACACACTTCGCCCATATCTTACTGCTGTTCGCTCCACTTTGACTGCCGCTCTTTGCTTAGAGAACTTTTCTTCACAGGTAGCAGAAAGACATAATTATCCCGAAGTGGAATCAAGGTAAACAAAGAAAATGAGAATAAGAATAGTGGTAAATAACACACAATAATAACAGCAAGTCAAAAGAAGTCTTGTTGAATCCTTTAATTATCAGTCGAAATGAAAATGAAAAAGTACTGGTTGAACCATCTGTTAATTCTGTACGTGTCAGTATCAAAATTAAGCAAGCTGATGACCTTGAACGTATATTATGTCATAAATTTTCACGCTTCTTGATGATGAGAGCAGAACACTTTGTCATTTTACGTCGAAAGCCGATTGATGTATGTATTCAACTAGGTGTATAGTACATAATACTCACTTTTATTCATAGGGATATGATATATCTTTCTTGATTACGAATAACCACACTGAGCAAATGTATAAGCACAAGTTAGTTGACTTTATTGTTCACTTTATGGAAGAAGTAGATAAGGAAATATCAGAGATGAAATTAAGTGTCAATACTAGAGCAAGAATAGTAGCTGAAAGTTATCTGGTTCAAGTAAGTTATTCAAAAGATGTGATTGGATCTCTTTTTAACTGACTTTGATAGTTTGCTTAAATGGAATACATGGGCTTATATATATACATGTATGAGTTAAATTAAAAAAGAGGTTTCCATAACAATAAAAAGGCCCTTTTTTACTTTTTCTAAAGGGAGCAAAGGGTTACCCGTTTCTTCGGTTAGAAAGAAAAGCGGGAAATGAGTCATGTGGCCGGCAAAAAGATTATAGTCAAAGTGATATGGATTGATTGGTTTAGATTTCAAAAAAAATGTGGGGTTAATGTTGTATTTTTTTGCTTTATTTAGTTCCTCCACAAGGTTCAAGTCTGTGTTACAGTATTAAAAATATAAAAATAGGCCCTGGTTTCAATCATCTCTCGGCTGTATTTCTTTCTTACATTTTTTTGTTCTTTTTTGATTTCGCTGGCGACTATTATTATTATTATTATATTCTATGCTTGACATGTTTACTACTACTACTACCACCAACGCCAATACCACTTCTAATAATAATAATAATAATGTTATTAATACAGCAGAGACAAGAAAGAGAAAGCAAGAGGAGATGAATAAATTGAGTTCATCTTTACCCAGTTGGACAGACTTTATTTATTCTTCACCTTCATCACCCAACATAGACAGCCTATTTGATCATCATTCATTTCTACATAATGTTGAACCCACATCCGGAACAAATTCTCGTCGTCATTCAGTAGCAGTCGGAGAAATGGATTATCATTCATTCGACTTCAATCTACTATCTACTCAACTTGAGGAGGCACAATCAGTAAGGCCAACTCATAAACGCACCATGTCATTAAGAGAAGAAGATTATGCAACAACCCCCTTATTTTCCCCTAGTTTTCTTGATACATTGATGAATGATCATCCTACAAGACCAAGAGAACTATCCGTAGATAGTAGTATCATTTCTGACTTTTCTCTTAATGATGATATATTTAAATTTAATACAAATGGCTTTCATCAAACGATCACTCCTTCTGCTATCATCTCAAACGAGATTAGTACCATGGCTGACTGGCTACTCGAGCAGCAACAACAACAGCTACCTCAAGAAGATAAACAACATAAAAGACAAAGACGTTCTACTGACTCCCCTCTCGGCTCCTCCTCTTCCGCTTCCTCTTCTTCTCCTCCTATCACACCAATGCAGCAGGTCTCATTGGGATTCGAACCTATTCACCAGTTGGACGACATCAAGGATACTTCTTCCCTTCAGCCTCTCATCCAAAACTACCTACTTCAAAAGCATCAAGATTATATTCCCGGTGAAAGAACGATCATGATCTTAACAAGTAAAGTTGCTCAAAAGAGTTATGGCACTGAAAAGAGGTTGGTTTAGCATTTGTTATATTTCCTATCCTTGTTTAACAAGTTTTTTTTTATTTAGATTCTTATGTCCTCCACCCGCAACAATCATGAAAGGCGCTAATTGGTGGACGTCGGACAAAATGGCCGACAAGAACCAAGCTTCTTACTTTCATTCTCAGATAAATACAGCACCTAAACTAACGATTCAAATATCCGGTGAAGCGATCCAACAGTCTGGAGTCATCGAATGGCAAACCTCTTCAGGCGCCATTATTGATAGCAAAATGGCTGCAGCAAGCACTCATGTCTTTGGACGATGTGTCTCTAAGCAACTGTATATAAATGATGCTGACGAAAAGAGAAAGCGAGTGGAAGTATTGGCAAAGGTTCAACTTGGAAATGGTTTGCATCTCGGTACGTTTCAGAGTAAAGGCATCAAGGTGATCAGTAAGCCATCCAAGAAGAGACAGAGTGTTAAGAATATGGAATGTAAGTTGATATTTAGCCTTTATATCGTCTCAATAGCTGACTCTTTTGTTATCTGTTTGTTTCGTTATTATAGTATGCATCCATCATGGTACAACTATTTCTTTATTTAATCGCATCCGGTCACAAACTGTATCTACTAAATATCTTGGTGTATCAACAACTGCGTCCAATAATTCAGACGGTAACAGTAGCAATAATAATGGTACTTGCTTCGTCTCTCGCACAGGTGCTTGGGATCCCTTCGTCATATGGATTGTTGACACATCCTGTTCATCTGATAATGTCACATCCCGTCCAAAGCATAATCCTCTCAATCCCAGCTACCCTCCTCCTCCTGCCATTGCTTTGCAGTCATCCACCCCTCTTGCTATTCATTACAACCAACCTGTCGTCTTACAGTGTGTTACAACTGGCTTGGTCAGCCCAGTGATGATTATACGTAAAGTGGATAAGCAAAGTTTGGTTTTAGGCGGCAATCGTGTGGATGACCTTGGTTACAACAAAACATTAGGTGGTGAATGTGGGGATGAAACACTTGGTGATCCTGTCTCTCAGCTGCATAAAGTCGCATTCCAAATTGTCCAAGATCCTTCCTTCCATCAAAGCGGGATAAAGCAGGATATCGACATCGGTCACTGGAAGATTCCTCAATCAAGTCACCCGGTTACTTACTTGGCCTGTTTGAATGACGTTGTGGGTATGCACAAGACAACTTCAACTCGTAATCTTGTTCCTGCATGCCATACTCAAGAACAACAACAATCATCTACTACGACAGAAACAGCATCTTGGCCAGATATCCTTCAGGAAAAGGAACCTCGTAGACGATTGAGTAATGGAGAAAGTAAAGCACGTCGTGGAAGTGTTGGAAGAGGTAACAATGTAGATCCTACTGGACTTGAAGGCGCATGTTGGACAGAAGATGTCTCTGATGCAGCAGTGTGGACAATTGTTGGTACAGATTGTGCAAGCTATACCTTTTGGACACCAGATGAACATATGCCCTCATCCATCACACCTTTTCCTATCATCCAAGACATCTCAAAGCAACAGAGTCGATTGACATTGACAGGAGAAAACTTTAGTCGAGACATTGAAGTCTGGTTTGGTGACATGAAATCACCTCAAACAGATTATGCCTCACACAATGCAATTCATTGTAAAATTCCTGATAATCTTTCAAACAGTCCAACCATTGAAGAAGTAGATCACATGACTAAAAAGATACCTTTACTCTTTGTTCGTGGTAATGGTGTTGTCTATAGAACGAACTTTTATTATACTTTATGATTTATGTACTTTTATGATGTTGGTTTATGTATTTTATGTATTTTTATGCTGCATTTCTATTTTTGTAATAAATACAATGTTTCCATTCCAATTGTAAAGAACAACAAGAAAGCACACAACTGTCAACATTAATGTACAATAATGGTCAAACACATGGTTTTGATTTAGACATGGTTGAATGATGGTATGATGGATTACCATATTGTATATATTTAATCAAAATCTGGGGAAAGAAAAAAGCCACGTTATGATTGTATCCTATTGCGCCCTCTCTTTGGAAGTCATCCGCGGTGTTGGACTATTTTGGATCTTTCGGTAACACATGTACTTTTACCTTGTAGTCAGTCCAGTTTGTGGGAGGTAGAATATGAGTAACATCAAGATCTACACATATAGATGACGATGATGCTTGTTACCAGTAAGGGGGGCACATTAGTATCATTGTCACAGTAGCATTTTGTTTAAATGCTCATGATGAAACATTTAAAGTTTTTTTTTTTAAAAAAAAAAAGTCATCAAAGCTCACATGCCCGGCAAAACAAAAGCCCTCTTCTTTTTCTTGGTTTGTTCCTTTGTTACGTAAAGGGTATCGTAGAATAAAAGGCTAAAGTAATCCCGGGCTATATTCAAATAAATTAAAGCGGGGTGTAGAAAAAAGAAAAAGTGCTTTCCTAAAACAGGTAATGTTTTTGATTGGCTTTAACTGTCATTTCTGGAATATGGACGTGGGGAAATAGTACTATAGTTCCTATTGTTGGCTTCTTCAATGCTTTTTAGTAACACTTGAATTTAAGACAAATATGTTGTTCTTTTCATGACATATTGTTTATCGAAAAATAACCCCGCATATACATTTGTTTGATGCGAGCATTCTCTATAAAAAAAACTTTAGCTTCCAAACAAGGTTAAATAGGTGTATAAATTAATTTACAGTGGTATATTTTTGTTCAACATTGAGTTTCAACAGCGCAAGGCTTGCGTACAAATGATGTTTCAACTAAACGCACTGATACATCACCAACGTTGCTACGTCATAAACGTTATTAATTCAATAACTCATCATTTCTTATTTCAGTAAAGGAAAGCGTGTAAGGATCAAGACATTATTTAAAATGCTGCCAGTTTGGTTTTATTAAAGCCATGCTACTGCTTACACTTGCTATGTAGTCAATGGTGTTATAAATGGCCAAAGCAGTCAAGCTATGTTAAACAAAGCTACTCACCACAAGTTAGCCAAGACAGCATAAGCAATCAACAAATGCAACTTCATCCTGTACAAATAGAATATGAAACTTTAAGCCAATTCTTTGCATGATTTAAGTCGTAATTATAGAGGCCTGCTTAACCGTGTCAAAGAGCTCCATTCACCATCCGAGCAATCTTTGATGGTCAATCTCGGAGAAACTTTTGAAGGTGTAATCGCTCTCCGAATACCTTGGAATACATTGATATGGGCTGGTATCACGAAAGGCCAAGTAAAACAATGACAAGAGGAAGGGCTGAGGAATAACAAAGACTGAATAGGATATCACAATAGAAAAGAGAATCATGAAGCAGATAGATTGCCTTTATGACTCTTAATCAAAGATTCTTTTTATTTCATGCATTTGGCGATTATTTGAAAATAAAGTAAATTACTTGCCGTTCATGAGCATACATATTTTGACAATGTTTGCTTGCAAAGCTTCTTTTTTTTTTATCGCTTTGCTGTATATACCGGGACCGTGGGTACACTTGTAAATAAATTGTAACCATAGTAGCAAGTCATTCTACAAGCACAAAGCTGACCTTATGTGAAACAACCGAGTAGGAAGCGTTCACAACGTGGCAACACACGCTTCTTTGGCTGTAAGGTACTAAACTGATAACAGTATAGTCCTTATGTGAATACTGCCTGGTGAATACCTAATAGAACTGCATTATATAGATCGATTTGAATTATCAATGGTTCTTACATGTTATTAGATAATTCACCAAGAGCAACTTTGCAACCTCTTCTCTATAGCAAGAATAAATTTGACTGTAGGTCCAGGGAAGTACTCGTTTGTAACTTATAAATGATATCATTGAAAAAATGGTTATTGTTACATCTTGTGTTTTGCGCTAGAGTCACAAGTGTATTCTTTCTATGTAGGCTATTATAAACAGAATGTACTATGCAGCAGAATGAACTCGGCATGTATCCATTCAAAGCGTCTTGTTACAAGAGTTATATCAGTTTTTGCTTTTGTTGTTAACAACAATATAGAAATGGATCCTGATCTTATGATGCTTTCGGCTGATAGTAGCTACGAGCATACAAACAAGTACTGTATACATTAGTATTTATGCTCATCGAAGAAAGTGGGAGTAAAGTGTATCAGATTCATTCTACATGTGCATAAATTGTAACACTATATAATTGCGCCTAGGGGAAGCCGTACTATTCCGTAAAGGATAAGGTTAAAGGTTATCCCTTTGTCATCATACCAACAAATTGGTTTTTCCAAATCTCAAATAGTGACGTTGTCTACTCATACAGTAATGTGTGTTGATAGTTACAAATACATATCGACGATAAATGAACATCCTTAGGAGCCACAACTTGCTTCGCTAACTTAAAATAGTAAATGCATAGTTTCTCAAAAGCGGGTTTATACCACTTTGTACTAATGGGATCGGCATAAAAAGTTACGGGATCATACAGTAAATATAGAAAATGTGTACTCCTTGAGCAATACTCAATAAGCAGCTTTATTTCTTCCTGTGGTAAAAACAGCAGAGTTTATGCAAGCAGGTTATGATACTAAAGAGTCTCAAACTAAAATTGATAGATCGTATGCCTATTATTTCAAGTCTGCTGATTTAAGCAAAGAAGATCACGGTAAACTCACAATATATATTCTATGCAGCAATTTATTTAACAATTCTTTTACAGACAGTATGGTCGCCTACACCAGTAAGTACCAACAGTTTATTACAAACTGTAAAGAAGATGGAGACAATTGAACAGCTTATTACCCGCAACTTTCAATTAGAGCTTGAACGGCAGAAACCTTATGAATAGCGGCATTATCCAGGATGAGATGACAGCCTGATATTTCATGCACATCAATTGCTTCCTGCTGTTTCTTCCTAAACATGTCAACTTTTTAGTACCTGGTGAATGCCTTTTCTTCATCATCCTTGTATAATACCACACAATGCTAAGCTGTTTCTTACAATGATACCTACGGCGGATCCAGCTTATCTTGCAGACATTCCTTGCTCTACTAAAAGGTCAAGCAATGCTTGTATTTGAAACAGAAGAGTAAGAGCGATACAGGCTTCTGACGCTTTTAATAGCCGCAATCTTATCTATTAATTTAGACTCAATTCTCACCTGTTGAATTAGTGCCACTGACTCCTGTTGAATAATCATGGCTGTTTTCCAGTGAAGTTTTACGAAAAATTTTGTAACTAGGTTTGGTCTAGGTTCTTTTGCTTTACGTCTGATTGCCATTCATGTCATACCAGAGTACTCATTTCGTGCAAGAGTGCTTTTAATACTTGCAAACAATATCTTTCTCATTTTTTTGCTTATTCTTTTACACCATCCTTTCAAGTGAACTTTAGTTGCTTTACTTTATGGTTTTCTTGGTTATGTTGCACCAACATGTCTGCATCTGTTGACTGTTACATCTACCAGTAACATGATTGTAACCAAGGAAAAAAAAAGAAGGATCTTTCTTTTACTTGGAATAGAACAATGTAACAGAACATCCGTACACTTCTTTTAAATACGATAATACAAATACAACAAGTATACACCTTTATTTCTTCATCAGAGACTGCGAAATAGGGTTTGAAACATCAATAAATGAATTTAATGATAATTTGTTCGATATGTTTGTGTTCAGTGAGTGACACACGTGGTTTATTAATGTATAAGCATTATATTTAAATATATTGGTATTTGTTATTATATGTCTGAGGGCTCTGTTGCATATAAGGTCTAAGGATAGCACTGTATTTGCTTACATCAGAGATAGAACTATTCGCTACGGATAGATGGCTCGCTGATGGATGGCTGACCGGTGGACGTGACAGTGGTGCGATATCAAAATTCTTTTTAAAGTAAGCATCAATGGTTGGGTCTCTTTCAGGTAATTTGACAGCAGTTGATGATAGCGATAGTGGTGGTATATTATTGTTATTATTACTATTATTACTATTACTATTATTGTTATCCATTATATTATTCGTATTGTATGTTGCATTAGGTTGTGCCAGACTAGGTTTTGAATAACCAATGTCTGTGCTTCTCATCTGTGAAAATGCTTCCGATAGATAATTGTATTTAGACAGTCGTGCCCCGTTAGGTATTGTAGTTGTACTAGGTTGGTCTCGTCTCCTAGGAGTTGGCGTCGTATTGATTACTGGCATTTGTTCTAGGGAAAAAATAAATAAATCAGCGTCTCATGAATAAAGCACGACAAAAAAAGGTACCTTTTTCTTGTGAAACCATAGTAAAAGGAGGTTGATTGGCGTTTAAAAATAACATGCTTTTCGAATTGAAGTGCTTTGGCTGCCGTGCTCGTCTTCTTCTCATTGTTATAAAGCATACACATGCTGTCAATATTAATACAACAACTACTCCAGCAATTGATCCACCGATAATAACCGTGGAATCTGTTGCACTTAATTTCTCTGGTTGCTTCGAGCTAGTACTTAAAAGGGTAGTGACAGTAACAGTAGAAGATGAGCCTATGTTTATGATGTGTTACGATGAAATAGAGTCAAAAGTTTACTCTACCTGATGTTATAGCTGCATTTGTAGATGCTGTAGTAGGTTTGTTTGTCGCATAAAGCCCACTAAAATCTGCATTTTGAAGATCAACTGATGAAGTATAGGCGGGATAAGATGTATAGGCAATAGATCCTTGTGTGGCTAGAAGGGATGATATTATTATTATAAAGGATTTTATGAATTTTATTTATTTACCAGAAGTGAGTTGACTATGGCAGACTTTTGGGAATCATTAGCTTTATATTTCTTTACTGCTATTGTTTATTACCTTGAATTAAGATTAACAAGTAAATCAGAGTCCAGTTGAACATAGTCAAACAAGAAAGAAAGAGAAACTAACGAACACTGACCTTAATTAATGAGACAATTAGCATTAATTATCAATTATTGTGCTACATCTAATGTAGTTTTTGAAATACGTGTCATTTTTCTTTTTATTATCAAGCCCGAGGAATGATCAAGGAGAAACATATGTCATCGAAATGACAAGGCTCTATTTAATTATTTATTGTTCATGACTAAGGATGGCCTAACATGAGAGGCATTTTATAGATGAAACAGGGAATGTGCCTGCCAAGACATTTATTGAAGTGAGGAAAGCTGACTTGACCTTGTGTAAGCTAAAAGTCGTTCAAGAGAAATAAACGAAATGAAAGAGATAGATGAGAGAGTATTTTTATGTTGCAATTGGATCCTCATCATATTGTGAAGTGCGCCCTCAGACGGATTTTACTTTATGCTATCTTTAGATCCATTCAATGTTTTGACAGTGTTTGATACCTCGTCCCTCAGATGTTTTTATTTATCAACTTGAATCTTCCTTTGTCTGTCATTTGAAGGATTCCCTTGTCTGCTAATTCATTGCATGCTTTGATTATATACTTCGTAATTTGATTAAACGATAAGTTCTGTTTCTATTTAATCAATAAAAAGTATACAAAGCCCAATTTGTCACTTACCATTCCATTTTGGTTTCTTATAAGATCCACTATCATGGGAACTTTTCTTGTTTCCCAAGGAAAAAACTCTTGTATACTGGATTCAGTCAGATAGGCTACTAAAGCCGCCTTAACATTTGCACCTGCACTCATGTTTGTGGTAGAGGTCATAGCATCTGAACCATCTTCTGTTTCTGCTAATCTTGATTCAGGTGTTTCTATCTCAAGAGGCTTACACTCAGATCGATAATGAATGGCTTGAGCAAAGTGTAATAACTCATAATTAGGGTCCTGCATAATAACTTTGTGTGGATACAGTCAGTCAATGGTGGTACATCTGTTACTCTATCTTACAAATATCCGAGCAAAAAATCTGTGTTTTGCCGTTATATTCGTTGATTTTTCCTCTTGCACGAACCAAAGAGCCTAGTTGAGGGGTTTCGACTATTTTTTCGTGCCAAATACCACATTCGATTATTCCAGTAGAATCGTCAACATAAAAGGTTGCTACACGTCTGTTCTTATCTATGGCAGCGACTATACCACATACTTCAACAGAGTCGATCAGGCGATTGTAATACTGAAATAAGCCTATGCATGTTATACTCTAGATTAAAAAAGTGTGTCAAAATCAAGTTGTGTTGAATTACCTCTTTTCGTATGTGTTAAATTATAAATGTCCTTTATAAATATTTTGACATAAGAATGATACAAAAGATTGGAGTCAATCATTACATTGCTCATTAAACAAAACGATAAAAAGAAAAGAATATAAAAGTGATATCAGCTTTAAAATAATTTCAAACACAAGACACCTATTTTGCTTATCATTCGATCACACTTCAATTATGTTTGAGACAGTATTAGAATACAATGATCTATATATAAAACTTAGTATTGGCCATGGTAGGAGGATATGACGATCTCATTCAAGTTAGTTTCAAACACACTGGTTGTGTCTTCTGAGGTCTTGTATGGTGTTGGTCGTTTTTTCTAATGAAGAGTACTGCTGTTTAACTTTCTATTCTGTAGAACAGACAGACCCACTTATAATTCTGACATCTTTTTCCCCTCACTTTATCTTTTCTTCTTCAATTCACAAACTCCTCTCAAAACATTATAAATTCAAAAACTCTAAAATAATGCGTAACTGATATTTTGGTCAATTTGATAAGTAACATAGAGGCCAGAAGCAACCAGCCTCAACGAGAAAAGGACAGCCTTGTTGCCTATTAGTTTGTCACAGTTAGAGGTAATGTTTGCCTTTGTTAATTAAGAATTACTTACCGACAACCTGCAGAGCAGGGACAGTAATTTGACCAGCCGGTCAAGGACACACTTTGACTCAATAAGCAACTTGCTCTTGTCAGAACAAGTTTTGACAATAGACGCACCCATCTTTGCCATTTCTACGTTAGCCATGCCCGCCTCCTTGTTCCTTCTTGAAAGGATGTCCTTGACGACCCTCAGGTCAACCTTGAAGCCAAGGCTATCCATGGCTTCCGAAGAGTCATCAACGGACTCGCCCCTAAATGATTATTATTAGTATATAAACTCAGATACAAAAACAATTCTCTACTTACCACCTGCACTTCAGGGTTGTCTGCCTAAACAGCTTCTCAAAAAGACATCCCTACATCTTCACTGCCAGGTTTACTTCTATGATGTCTATGTATTTTCTGAAAGCATAAGTCGATGACAAACAAAGTAAAAAAAGAAAAGTAAAGAAAGAAAGAGAAAAAAGGAAGGAGAGAAAAAAAGCCAATTTATGCATGATGGGAAAATGTCGTCAAAAAGGAGAAGCTTGGGACTGTAATACTGTTATTACTAACGAAAGTAGAGTGCATAAATAGTGATGGTTATATAATGGTTGTGTTGTGTGATATGATTATATTATAGTGTAGCTACTGTCACTGTCATGATTATTGATATCATTATACGTTTGTATTATGTAGTAAGTTAGGTTGACCAGCAGGGAGGTAAAAAGTTCAAGCTAAGAGGATATATTGCCTTGTCTGTTACTTGTTACTTATACTTCAGGTACAATGCACCATGGTTTTATATCACGAAACACGTCATTAACTACAGTCTTTGGATTATGTTTGGTTTCGTCTATAAATATCCAAGGACACAAACAAACAACAAACTATCTGTAAAAATAAACAAATAGTTGTACTTTTATCAAATTGAACTATAACGAAGACTTTAAATGATGTAATTATCTAGTAAACTATAAATCGCGCTTTGTTCATTACTAGATTTTAACTTTATAAAAGCTTACAGCAGGGTTAAACCATCATCTCACATTAGGGTGTTAAAGATTAAAAAAGGCGAGTGCGGTCAAGTCAACGCCTATCAAAGTGAATTCCTATGTAAATACTACGTTTAAGAAAGATGAATAGAGTTGGTATGCACCGTCCTTTTCATATGATGCATATTTGCATATAGTTTTTACTGCGGCCATCTAAACGATCAGATTAGGCATGTAAACAAAGCTTAAAAATTATACTATTTTCAAGTGTTATCCGTTATTGAAACTATTTTAGTATTCCATAAACAAATTCCTTCTCTTTCAGACAAAACACGTGTAAAGAAATAATGAAAGGGAACACGTAGACACGATTTTTAAAAAGAGAAGTCATGTCTTTATAAAACTAAATAAAGAAATTTTCCCCCCTTCTTTCTTCCTTTTTCCCTTTCTTCCCCTTCTTTCTTGCTCTCTTTTCTTCTACTCTTGGTCATTTCTATCTTGGGCTTGTTTATATTTATAAACAAATAATGACCAATATTAGTACAGATTATCAAGATATTCAAATACGTACACTCACAAAATGGATAAATGTACAGTTAAAAGAAGACTTGGTAGAATCAATTGGTCGAGACCTAAGGGATGGAGTGATGCTATTGAGATTATTATCTATCGTATCAAATAAACCAGTATTAAAGCCAGAAAGAGGACGAATGAAAATCCATGCGATATCCAATGTATCCAGAGCATTGAATTTCTTAAAACAAGAATTTGAAGATGATGAAAACTTACCAGTGATAGCAAGTGAAGACATCGTGAATGGGGATATAAAGAGTACATTAGCCATTTTATTCTTTATCATGTTGAAATATCAATTTAGTGACATTTTAGGAGAAACCAAGGTAAAAATAAATAAATAAAGTCAATCCCTGTATTTATTTCCTTGATATAGAAAGGCGGATTGGCAGAAGCAAAAGTCGGATTACTTTATTGGATACGGCTCGAATTAAAAGATTATATCAACAGTCAGATCATATCAACCATACAAGACTTCTCAAAGTCATGGAAGAGTGGATTACTGTTTTGTCTGTTAATACATCGAATTGAACCAGAATGGATCTTACCACTACATCAATTGATACCACTCGTAGATAGTAAAGACAATTGGAACGATATATTAAATCTTGTATTTGATATTGGAGAAAATAAGCTGCAAATACCAAAATACTTGGAATCAAGAGACCTGTTAGATATAGAATACCCACATGAACCTTCCATCATGCTGTATATAAGTGAATTTTATAAGATAATCAATAGAACTGATGACATTGAAGAACATAAATTGAAGCGATTAAAAGGAATACAGGAAATTCAAAGTTCACCTAAACCAAAACTATTAAATAAATCACACATAATTGACCCATTATCAATTGATCTATTCGATCATTATGACCCAAGTATGCTCTCCGAAGACCAACATCACTTGTTGAATTTACGGCTCAATTGGGAACAATTGTTCAATCAAGCAGTCGAATGGATAGCCAACACGCATTTGGAACTGAATCAATTCATCACAATCGCTCGATGGTCTGGAAAGGAGGATTTGTATACAGATCAAGTCATCGAGAATATCATTCAGTCTTTGGTAGCAATAGAAGGAAAGCTATCAGGATTTGATCAGGGTCTATATTCAAACATACTCGACCTCTATCAACAAATGGAATCTGTACGCGAATTACCAGATCATCTTCAATCTCGTCAATCAGGCTTTGAATCCGCTTTTGAAGATTTAATGAAGCGATCCTCGTTCAGTAGGAAAATCGTCGAACAGTTACTATCAGTTATTCAAGTTATAGAAAAATTTCAGCAATTGAAGACATTAGGTGAAGAGTTGAGAGACGAGCTATCTTCTAATGAATTGGATCAACAAGACATGTACAGTGACAAAGTACTCGCGTTCAAACAGGACTCGGCTCGGTTTATTCAAAACGTCTCATCTTGTATACCTTATCCTTCTCCTCCTGAGATGAAGACAGCTATGGGAAACGATGATTTACATGATAATGAAGTAACAAAGGAAGTGATCGAAAGCACCTTGAACGCCTACTCTATGTCACTTGCCTTGATTGCTGAAGGTCTCGATCAGCTACTTATTTCTCGCGACGAAAATATCTCTCTTCAACAGCGAGCTAGTGACATTCAGGAAGTGATTAAAAACCTTCAGACTTGGTTTAATGACAAGATCAATTCGTTATCAACATTAAAACCGTACTTATATGCTCAGTCTCTCGATCAGTCACATTCATCCTCTTCAGCTTCAACGCATAGCTCATCAACCTCTGTTGTGTCTGACAGTGAATGCAGTCCTACCATGAACGAAGAAGAACTGCATCGTTTAGAAAAGGATCGGGATCATGTACTCTCTCGGCTTTCCGAAATAGAGAACGACGACCTTCCTCGATTGGACGAAGCTATACGTATTATTGAGCATGAAACAAGTGTTAGTCAGTGGATTGACAGTTTGGATAATCTAAAAAAAGCACGCCATGTTCTAAATGACCTTCTCCATCAGCGTGAACTCGAACTGGACGCGCTGAAAAGACGGATTGAATGGGAAGCACAATGGTCAAAATACCACAGCCATCTCGTGACATTGGCCAAGAAACTAAGCGACTTGAACGTCAAGAAAGTGCGCTACGATCCATCAAAGGAAAACCCCGACAAGCCTTCCTATCAGGGGGATCATGAGCTCATCCAGTCCTTTCAGTGGATTCAGGATCGTATGGGTGAGCTTGGCGATCACCCTTGGTCTTGTCTACTAGAAAGTTATCAAGAAATGGTCGTGGCCTATCTTACTGTCATGCAAACAACTGATGAAAGTGCGTTCCCAGAGTTTCTTTCACTTAAGCAATCTGACATCAAGCTTAAACACGATGATCTCAAGCATCTTCTCACTTATACCTCTGATCTTATGGCACAACGCTCAACCATCACCGAGTTCTTGATGCGTGTTCATGATGCTCAACACGAAGGTGAGAAAATCAAGGAGCAGCTGGCAAAAAGATTGCGTCGTATGAACAATGAAGAGCAAGATCAATTTGGTGTCATTGAGGAACGAATAGACAGGTTTAAAAGAGAGAACAAGGCTATCCTAACAGATTGTGTCGAACATATGCCCTATCCTGTCTATAGCGGAAACTGGCTTCAACGTCAGCAAAATAGTGAGGCAGCTGCTACGTATCGAGCCCATGTTCGTGTGCAAATAAAGTCCTTGATTGAAAAAAAGATGCAAGACCTTGAAAATCTCGAAAAGAGCCTGGATCAAGTCGCAGAGACGTATCGCGAGGCAGATCGAGTGAAACATCGAGTGGCACAATATGAAAAGGAAGCAGATGAATTGAAACAATGGGTCGATCAACAGATTGATGTTCTCAGAAAACAGCATATCGAAGTGTCAGCAGAGTCATTTCTTGTGGACAGCAATCTGCAGGATATGGAGCAGTCTCGGCAGAATTTGTGGAGACAGGTTGAAAAATTTGAGCAAGAGAAAGTCAAGCTACTTCATGATCAAATTGTTCAGCTCATCGAATCCACAATGCAAGACAAGAAGAAGAAGCAGCATATCGATGTATCAGTCGCTGCACGACATTTGGGTGAAGTCATGAAGCACCTAGATCAGTTAAAGCAAGGATTGTCTGATCAAGCAGTGACTCTGGAAGCAGCCAACATGAGAGCTGCTTGGGAGAAAAACTTGAATCTAGGTATTCAGCGTCTAGAGGAAATGAATGAACAACTACGCGACTTCACAACCAAAAAGAATCAGATGCTCTCTCGGGAAGATATTTCTGAACAGGATATACAGACACTTGAACGTGACTTGAACAGACTGATGTCCCTCAGGAACAAATTTGAAAAGACGATTTTACCAAGTATTCAAATGAGCTATGATGCATTCATAGAATACTTTCCAAAACTGCCTAGACCAATGGCCGTACCTGACCATCTGGAAGTAAGAATGGAATCACTTGGAAGATCATGTACTAGGCTTCAAGAAAATGTAATGGCTCGGTCCAGGGAGCTTGAGCTGGTCAAACAGCGCGTCGCTTGGGAAACAACAGTAAAGAAGGCACTAACCTATCTAAGGGAGCAAGAAGTTGAGCTTAACAGATTTATCGAACAAAGAGCTCGTTGGAGAGTAGCAACGCCTACAGATTTGGTTCAAGTAGCTCACGATAACGACGAAGGCCAGTTAAGAATGGAATGGTACAACTACTATTCAAAATTTGAAACGTACCAAGATCAAGTTCTTTTGCCCATAAAACAACAGTTCGAACAGCTGACCACAAATACAATTGACTATGAAAATCCACGATTGATGCCTCATGCAAAGAAAATGGAAGATGTCGAGACAGCTAAAGAGCACATGCAACACATCTTGTCCTTTTCAAACGATGTTGTCTCTCAAAGGTGTCTTGTTTCGGCCTTTATCCTGAGAACTGCTCAGCTTGAGCAATCTGCTGAACTCATCCGCGAAGAATTTATCTCGACTACGAACAATTCTCAGAAAGTGGACATGGTCCACCTGCTGGAAAATCATTCAGATCGACTACACAAGTTCAAGGCAGGAATTGATGATGCTCGAGATCAGTTGGCAGCTAGTATTCCTTATCCAGTCCGTGCAACCCCTACGGAAACTAAGATGGCTGATGAAGCTATCAATGCAGCTATTCATGAAACAATTGATTCTCGTACAGCTCGGCTAAGCGAAATATGGTCTGATCTTGAACAGCTATTGGCAACAAGGGAGCGCATTTCTCGTCGACAACTGTCAGTTCATTCGTTCAAGAAGCAAGCAGCAAACACAGAGGCATGGATCACGGCTCGTCGTAAAGTCTTAATGGACACAGCTGCCCTGGATGTAGAAGAAGAAGAGCAGATGGAAAAGACACTCAGCGAGATCATGAGTATTCAGCAAGGCATGAGGGCTAACGAAACAAATTATGCATTGCTTACCTCCGCTTACGAGAAATGCAAGGCGGCGTTTGAAGACAAATCTTTGGATCTAGTGCAGAGCCAGGAAGACCACGAGAAGCTGATTCGTGAATTACAAAATGAAGTGAAGCCTATTTATCAGCGTCTAAGTCAAGACTGGAATAATTTGCTATCAAGTGTAGATCAAGCTTATAGAGAGAGACAGTATGCCTTGTTAAACCATAAATTGATTACATGGTTACACTCTGCACGAGATTTGTTTGAAGCCACATACAAGGAACAGGAGCTTTCTGTGATTGAGCAAAATATGCCTGACTGGCAAGCTCTGACTGATCAACTAAATTCATCAGCATCACAGTACAAGCAGGATTTAGGTCACTACCAGCAGTGCTTGGAGGCAGAGCAACTTGATCAGTTCACCAAACTCTTTCAACAGGGTCTTGATACGATCAAGCGAATCGAATCTCAGCTGGAGCATCATCAAAAGACACTCTCTGTTGCTCAATTAACAAATAGATACCTCACTGATGTCAAACTACTCCGATCAAGGATCCATGACTGTATGGTCTGTCTGAAAGGCATTGAACAGAAATACAGACACATCAACACGGAGTCTTTCGAAGCTCGCGAGTTCCAGCACCAAGCTCTCGTGACTGAATACAAAGCCTCTTGTAACAAAGTTGACCAACTGAAAGATCTTTGTGATGATGTGCGTCTTCAATTTAAAAATATTCAGCAAATCAAGGATCATGAAGCCAATAACGATGTTCAAGACATGTTGGAAAAGACATGGTCTGGACTTGAATCATTTGAATCTGCTGTGGCCACTCTTGTCTCTCGTGCTTCCTCATGGATGCAGTACTTTAACAGACTATCAAGCATCGAACAAGACATTCACTCAATTAAGGCTACAGTAGAAAGCGCTACAGAAGATGAACTACCAAGTGTTCAAGAACGAGCGGAGACTGTTGATTTTGTTCTTTTGCATGACTTGTCTATCACTACTTCTGACCTGCTTAACGACAAAGGAAACCTTGATGCCTATGAAGAACTACGCGTACAGCTTGTTCAGCAATTAGCGGTATTGAAAGAAAACATTTCAGCTAAAGTGAAGGATAAAAACAAGACAAGATTGATTGAGCACATTCAGCAAGCTGTTTCTCAATTTAGTAGTCTTTGTAGTAAGCAATACAATGTCTTGGATGTACATAATAAAGAAGTAGTATGGCTGGAACACCAAAGTATTGAAGATACGATTGATGCGTGTAGTGGGATTATTGAAGCAAGTAATATAACGCTAAAGGACTGCCAAACACAATTGGATACACTAAGAGAGGTTCACTGTCAGGAGCTTCATTCAGCACACCACTTTGAAGGCACGGAGACATTACTGGTGCCATTAGCAGATGCACTTGATCATTTATCAAAGTCTATGTCACTTGAACAAGAATATACCAAGATTTTGAAGCAAGTTAAAACGCTAAAGAGTACAGAAAAGCGTATTATTGACGATGCAGCGCATGCTGAACAATCCATTGCTACTGTAGAAAGCGAGGAAGCTCTCTTAGATTTGGAACACTGTGCTGAATCATTGGATGAGCAAGCGACTGAGTTCACTACGGCAACAAAGACTATCGATCTAAATAACACCGTGCAGAATGACGAAAGAAAATCCAGTATTCACAACTACATCAAGTCTTCTACTGAACATGTCCTTGGTCAAGTCGAAAAGGTCAAAGCGATGGTCGCAGAAACAAAGGTTAATCTGAAGAAGAACATTGAACGCCAACGTATCATTTCAAAGTTGAAAGAGATCATTGATTTCTTGCAAGAAGTATCCAATAGCCTTGAAGCCTTACAAACCGTCGATAAGGAAGCACTATTTGCAGAGTTTGATAAGCTTTGTCAATACTACAGCACAACCTTGTCCAAGAAAGAAAAGGGCCTTAAAGAACTTGTGGATGTCGTCTTTACCTCGCCTAATGAAATGAGTAAAGATAAAGAGATCAGTGAACTTTACAAGGAAATGACAGACAGCACTCATCAAATTGACGCGCTCATCAACATCAAGAAGAAACAAGTATTTGATGAAGGCGACTTGCATGTGATGAATGAGCTCATGGAATCATTGAAAGAAGAGATCGCCTTGTTAATTACTGCTATCGATAACGCTAATCCTAAGAACATACCAGTAGCTGGCGAAAAGCATGCAAAATCCAACCTGCAAGGCTTACTTCGCTCTCTTATTGCCTCTTATAAGCATCACCAGCCAAAGATTGTACGCATATTAGAGAAAGCAAAGAAGGAATCTAAAAAGCAGTTTGCAGATGACAATGCCCATGTGTCCCAATGGTTAGCCGGTGGAATAGAAAAATGGACAAAGGTCAAGGCTGCAGCTGCAGTTCGTGAGCGTGAATTACAAGACTGCATTAATCAATTAAACAATGAATTCTTTAACAAACTTGCAGCTTCTCGACCTCGTCGCGTATTACCGCCTGCTCCAGCCACTCCAGTACATAATAAACGAATGTCCATGTCTGCCTCAACAAAGAGTAACCAACCTGCGTCATCTACTCCTATACCTGCAAACAAGAGAAATGATAAAAATACCACAAATAATAAGACAATCTATATACCTGATCCCAAGAACCCACTCGATGTTGAGTTGGGCCATATAGTGAATGCTAGTCCACATCGCGTTACAGTAAAGATGATACCTGGAGAAGTAGGTAAATATTGGTTTGGAGACGAAAATCCTAGACTTGTGTACTGTCGCATTCTACCCAGCCAAATGGTGATGGTTCGTGTAGGCGGTGGATGGGTAGAGCTTTCAAAGTAAGTCCCCAGCTGTGATTATTTCTTCATCTCGCTAATCTTTAACCTATTGTTCTCTTTTATTTCAAAGGTTTTTAAGAGGTAAGTCTTTCCTTAATTGTTCTTTATCAAATGCATAATACTAATCTCTCTATTTGTTTATAGATCATGGACTCACAGAAGGCGCCTATAGCAAGTTTGACTCATCTATTGAACCAAAAAGAGACCAAGCTCCATTTCAAGAGTCATATTTACAAACTGCTCGTTCCTTTTCTCCCTCTGGTAGAATTACCCTCCGTGGTGGAGGTGGAAATAACAGCAGCAGTCTAGCCTCGACTAGGTCTTCTAGCAAATCTTCTAGCAGTCGATCAAGATCGCCTTTGCCTGGATTTATCGATGGAGATAAATATATTAGTATGGATGAAGCAGGCAACCATGTTGTTGTGAAGATGAAAAAAGCTGAAATTGATGCAAAAATGCCACTCATTAAGAAAAAATTATAGAATACATCACTCGCATTCATATAAAAATTATACCTCCTTCATTAATACCTCTTTCTCATATATACATTTTGACACTATATATCAATAAAAAAGGCGTATATGCACTTTTTGTAAAATAAGATTTAGTTCAGTCAGCTATGCATGACATATCTTTGCCCTTGCTTCATATTTCTACCGCGCTGTTGATCATTTGTCCAATATCTTAGTACCTTGCTCCTGTTTCCTTATTAGGACCAAATCTAATCCCAGTTTTTACGTCACGGAGTTTATACGGGCTTCTTGTCCTGGTCAAGTAAAAAATTATTTTCTTGTTGTATTAGTCTTTATTAAATCATGTCTTCTGGTTTCGGTTTGGACGGTGGTAATGTTCTCATTAAATAAACATTGTCTCTGTCCATGTACTCACCTTTTGCTTTTTCAATGCAGGCCGTGGACGATGCTTCCACTTTTGGCAAGAGTTCAACAAGTGTTATGCTTCTGCTGATCTTCCTCAACAATGTCTTGCTCAACGTGATGATTATCTGGAATGTCTTCACCACACCAAAGAGTTTGCTCGTATCACTCGTATTAAAGCGGAAGAATTAAAACAAGCTCAACTGAGACAAAAGCAAAAGAAGGATGCCGTCAATGCAGCCAATTCCAATGTACAGAAATTGAACATCATTGAAGAAAAGGCCAGCGCATAAAAGGAGGAAAAGAAAAAGATGATAGAGATTTCTTTTATTGTTCGACACATTTTGAAATAAATTAACAAGAATTACATGAAGTAAATTTTCCCATGTAATAGCAAAGGACCATTGCAATAAATATCACAGATATTTGTTGGCTGTTAAATGATAGTTCATCACTAATCACGATAATATTGTTGTTCTGATGCTCAGAAATAAGTAAATAACCCTTTGGCACTTTTATAGAATCATCTATAGTAAATTTGGTTAGAAATGTATAAAAACATCATTTGGGGAAGAATATTACCAGGGGCTGCCAGAGCATCTGTAGATACTTGTTCTGTTGAGGAATCAGGTGCCTTTAACTCTTCCTTTTGTTCCTCTTTCTCTCCTTTTTTATCCAACTGCTCAACAGGAGGCTGAGATAACACATTGTTGTATTTATACATTGTACAATCAAAGGCATCATTCAACAATGGCTTCAGTATGAGCGTCACTTGCTTACTATCCATAGACTCATCAGTTGTAAACACTTTGATTGTACAATGGTCCATGAGCACTTCACTACGAGTTGAGTGTTCAGGAATAACCCGGATATCGATACCATGTGGAAACATGTCTCGGTAAAAACGAACGTCTGTGCACCAAATGCTGTCTTGTCGCTTTCTGGTTCGGTAAGCATTTGATGGTTGGTGTTTGACTGTATAGGCCACTTGATACTCTTTTGTTTCATGGTCAAATGTCTCTGCCGTGACTTTACCAGCTACTCGACGAATGTAGGGTGGACACCCATGCTGCTGTAAATAGTTCTGCAGATGATCGATAGACTGCATAGACGCATCTTTCCATGCCTTTAATACAGGCCTTGGGACGGGATATTTGAAATCCATATTATAAACAAATTGAGCCTGAACTGAGCTTGTCTGTCCTTGACTGTCTACCTTTGGAGTAAGCACCCAACCATAAAGATCAGTCTGTGCTCGTATACGTTCCTCTAGTGGATCAGGTGGAATCTGAGTATCAACCACACTCATCGTTGCTGTGTAGACCGTGCCGTTTGCTGGATCTGTTTCGAGGGTTGTGATTGCAGACAAATCGGTATCCGCCAAAAGTAATTTGCTATTTCCAAGAAACCAGTGAACTAGGTAGTCTTTTTGACTGAAGCGTTCAATTGTCTTGCCATCTTCAAATAATGTGTCCCCTGTTTCAAGAAAAAAGAAAATTAATATGGAATAACTTCTTTTAGTGCATTATATTTACAAACTTTTCTTGATCCAAAACAATTGATAGCAGAACAAATTTGCTCAACTGTCCATTGACCATGAATTATGCCATCTACTCTTACAAAAGGCAATATTCTATCATCTTCTTCTAAAGTGCTATTAAATTTATAGCATCTTGTATCACCTACTTGCTTGATGAGTGTCCAGTAATCAGTGGTAGCTGTTAACTTTTTTAATAGCTGCAGGCCTTCAACCTTTTGTATTGGATGACGATGTAAAGGATATAGGGGTTTAGGAGTAATCTTATTTACAGCGTTTGATGTTACTGCTGAGTCTTGCTCATCTTCTGCAAATGTAATATGTTTTCTTTGATGAGGAGGGGTAGGTGGTTTATTTAAAAGGATGGGCTTTTGAGATAACTCGGGTGACGAGCGGATAGTAGGAGAAGACGTTGAAGATAATGAGTTATTCATATTGATTCTATTATGGTTATTATTATTAATATTGGTATGTCGAGGTAGATGATGAGGTGGTGGAGGAGGAGGACCAGATGGTGCCGTGTAATAGCTCATGACGGATGGTCTCCTACTATGCCCTGAATAAATAGCTTGCTTTGCTTGTGCTTTCATACGCTCCGTTTTCTTTTCTAGATATTCGGCTACTTTAGCGATCACAAGCGGACGTCTTGCCAACGTCTTCTTGGCGAACCCAGGCATCCATCCCTTTGTGCTTTCCTGTATGACAAAAACAACCTTTGTTGCTGGCTGTGGGCCTCCATGTAAGGGCTCCAATATCCATCCTTGAAGCTTAAAACCAAGTTAGAATTCTCTTTTTTTTTTTTTTTTTCTTTTTGGTATGGTCGAACCTTAATGTTCATTCGATTTCTGCCACTGACTCTTGGTATCTTGGGAGTTTCTACGCTTGTACAGGCAAAAATGATGGCACCATTCGATGTGCATTCAATCTTCTCTACCAATGCCAAGTCCCTTGTTCTGCGAAGAGTAAGGCGGGGTTAAATAATCAACATTTTAACTTTATAATTCATGTTTATTTTACTTGCTTGTTGCTGTTGGTTTCATGATTTCGTATGTTAGCGATGTTGTATCATTTAGGTTTTCAACAAGATTTCCATCTTCATATCTTTCAGAAAAGCAAATTAAGCTTCTTTCCTAATATAGTATTGATCTTCATCTTCCTTACTGCTCATCCCATAATTTACGCATACCGATCACGTAAAATATAGCTTGTGGCGAGAACCCCTGAAGGATGGCTTCACCTTTAAATATAGGTATCTTGTCTCCTTTGTGCATGCCATTCTTCATATGAACGACTACACCGCTCTTATGCTTCAGAGCTTTTTTCCATCCTTCTTCTAGAACAACATGCTTCAAAGTTGATAAAGCGTTATCTGCTTGATGTATATGGTATGTAGACGAACTTAAGACGGGGTCCATATAACCTGAGGTTAACACATCGTGTTGGACTCGCATAGGTTTATGTACGTGATCATCTTCATCGTCACTAAAAATGGCATTAAAGTTGGATCGAGTTGATTTGGTATGTTTATGATTGTATGCTTCTTCCCACTCATCGGCAAGATCTTGCTGACTAAAAGAGCTTCCAAGTGTGTTATAAGGACTGGTAGGTTGGCTATAAGGGCTAGATGGTTGATTAAAAGAACGACTCATGGTTCGTTTAAAAGATATTATGCATTATCCTCTTTTCAACAACAAAAAGAAGAGAAAACCTTTTTCAAATGGAAAAAAAATGGTGCGAACCTAGAGGGTGCACAAAATAGGCATAACAACACGCTACCATGGCAACTAATGACACAAAATTATGAAACCTTTTTTCTTCTTCTTCTGTTCCTGATTCATCATTGGATCTTGTTATTTTTCATCTGTAATACATTAATGATGGCGCATACGCCTACTATAATCTTGACTGTCGCTCAACTTGCGTGCAAGCAGATTCTCATTTTGAAGAGATAACAGAGCAACATTTATAAATGTCCAATGAAATGACCTAAAGCTCTATGTCTAATTTACGTAAACATCTAATGTGGCTAATGAGATATAGTGTATGAATACTATAGTCAGAATGTCTCCCTTTTGTGCAAAGTAAACAGCATACTTGGGTACACCAAATCAAAGTATTCCCAGTCCAGAATATTTTGCATCTCAGCCTGATAAGATCTACACAAAATAAGACAGCTGTGATATTATTCAAGACGCTTCGAGATTGAACACTGCAAGTAATTTTTTTTTTTGTGGGTAGATGTAAAATACATGACCTCTTTTTCTTTGATGATGGGTTGATAGATACAGGAGAAAAGCTGGATTCAACCTCAGTCATGGATAAAGCATTTATAGAAAAGCCAAAGCATCTCATTGTGTATTCTATATCTATCCACAACTGAACAAATTGTATGCCTAGCGCTCGATCTCAAAGAATCTCACAAAAATTTAGTCCTAAAAAACTGTATAGTCAGATACTTTATAATCGGAAGTTTAAATGTGTTGTTTTCAAGGTTTATCATAATGCAACAATAGATCGTTTGCAACTGCCCATGCATTGGGGGAAACACATCTCTTAGGATTTATTTATAAATAAAGAGAAATTCACATGTCATAATGCAAGATATCACAATGAGAGAACCAGTTGCTGAATTTAGATTGCAAGGGGAGATATGCAAAATGTGCTGGATCTCTAAATCAAGAGTGCATCTTTCTTGGTGAATGAAATCATTGATCTTTTCTACAATTTGATGTATCAAGATTTACATTATTATTTTATTATTCTTAATTACATTTTTATTTATTAAGTAAATGGTATAAAATACATACAAGATTAATAATAAATTGGTTGTGCAGGTTGCTCATTTGATTGGCTTTTACTATAGGAACCCTTTCGGTTCTTTTGTAGCGACTTGTGCCTAGCATTTTCTGTTACTAGATTATAATAGTTTTGCTGTTCTTCGTAGTCAGCATGTGTAAATGATGTTCTTGTTTTATGAAAGCCTGTAATAGATTCATTAATGTGTATACTTTCGTATTTATCAACAGATGGCTGAAGGCTTTCAGTACTATCTGAAGCAGAGGAATAATTGAATGGAGTAACTGCTTTAGGACTAGACGGTATAAGCAGTTTAGATAAAGAAAGGAGGGTAGTATCAATTATTGAACTTACTTGACAAGCAGAATTATTACAACAAAGGCCGAAGCAATAGTGCCATCAAAGGTCCAAAAAGCTGCCATGAGAAGGCTGTATGTTTTGTTTTTTAATATTTCTTGTCTAAATGTACCATATAAGCATTTGATGACGGCAAATACCACAAGGCAAATAATAATATTATACAAAATCATTTTCACCTAAACTCTCAAATGATTAGATTCTATTGTTTTTGAAGGGCCAGTTTATTACCTTGAACATTGCATGTTTAACCTTTGCAATAACTGATTCATGCTGACCAGCTTGATTCTTTAAATGAAACTTGAGAATATAGAGAAGCCCAAGGCCAAAATATAGTGTAGATGCGGCCAGGACAAGGCAGTAAAAGGTCCAAAGATAATAAAGTATAGATGTGAATATTCTGAATTTTAAAAACTCTTTTTTTTCAGCATAAATTGCGGCTGCAACCGAGCAGATATTGTTGGTAACAAAAGGGAAAGATATCAAACATGTGTAGACAATGTCCACTTTTAGTGAAGAGAAAAAATTTCCTATTTTTATGATTCTGTTACTCTATCATAAACCCTCTATTAGTCATATATTTCATATCAGCCATTAGCTTAACCTACCCTTGAGACCGTATGAGCAATGCCAAAGACGTAGCAGGCTAGTGCACAGAGACCAATTTGCCAAGGAAGCTCATAAAAAACTAATATATGATTAGTTATGGTTGGATCAGATCAAACTATTACTTACATCCTCTGAAAATAGGGTTAGGCACGACGTCTGTGATCAAAATAGCCATATTAATAAGTCGTACTGATTTGTAGAACGTTTAGTAAGAAATAGAGACAATATGTGATAACCTACATAAATTAAATAATAAACCAAAAAGTAGCATCGACTCTATTGGTCTAGGGCGCATAAAATAGGTAAACGGTACTCGATCAAATATAGGTTGCTTTTTATAAAACACTCGGTAAATAAAGATGCTAGTGCCTGTGTATGGTGGTGAGTTAAGGCAGATGCAGATCTCAATCTGTATTTACCTGGTATGAGTAGAATGGCAGACCATATCAAATTGACGACATACATGTTTAAAACAGCCCCCTTTTCTTCACAGTTAAAAATATTCACTCTCCAATCACAATGACAATGGTCATCGTTTTCACAAAGAAGCCAATACGAATCAGATGTAAAAAACATGTTATATGAGCATTATTTACAATAGAGAAAAGAAAAGAGAAATGAACCAGAAGGGATGAAAGAGATACAAAAAGATCTTTTGTAGCATATGACAGCCCTGTAATACATTGTACTTTTTAATTAAACAAACAAAAAAAGAAGAAGGAAAGATAATTTGAAGATGACTATTTAAAACACGCGGTTACTTCCCTTTGATATGTCAATGGATCTGCTCTACTTTGATTTGATGGCTTTCCATTGGTGCTATAGCACAAAAGGAGGGTCCTAGCCCCCTTTTTTTTCTGTATTCTTACAATTTGATCCACCTATATTTTTTCCATTCTATCGGACTTGGTTAGATGCTAAAATGTTGTGTAAATTAATTACCTATATTCCTATGCTTATTTTTGGGCACCCATCTTGTTCAACCTTGTTTCCATTTGAAGAAAAAGGAAATAAAAGAGAACAGACCTCCCTTATTCTATATATACAAATAGAAACACACCCTGCTACCGTTTAAACATTTTGCCTTACTTCTTCTCTTTCTTTTACAGTGTAACATTAGTATGCTCATCCAAAGTATCTTTTGGCTTTAAACTCAGAAAAGGTTTTCTTATGCTTAATCTGTTCCCATGGAAGCAACTTAAAGTAGACAATTTTTGGTCCAATGACATGGTTAAATGTCAACATCAGATGCTTGTCTTGTTGTATTCCATATATAGATAAGGTTTATTTACTCATGAAGAAATATACGTATTTGACTTTGTGCTCAGCTATATGCAGCCAATTTAGATGAAAATCACAAAGTAGTTTTGCTACAGAACCAAAAGTGTGGATGTGACTATAGGTCTTTCCAACAGTACCCAATTTTTTATAATTAATGGAACTCAGATCTGGAACATTATCCCGTCATATTAGGATTTTTTATTTTGAGAACGCCTCTTGGGGCGCGCTCGACCCCTTTGACTAGTTCAGAGTGTATACTACAAGGTAAAATCACGCAAACTCTGGAAATCAATGTCACAAGCGACACATTTTTCCATTGGATTTAATATCTTCTATAAGTGGAAGGCGTTGTCTTGATTGCTGATCAGCGTAAAATGAGTTTTCCTAGCCCAACTAGTCTGTACATGCTCACGAGCAGAACTCATTTCGTTACTTGTACCATTCTGTGCATGATTTGATAAATGTAGTCCATCTAATATAGACTTTCAACAAGTTCTACGTAATTAAATATAGTCCCACAGATCAGTGCGCTGTGGAACCCTTTTGAGCTCGCTTTGTTAATAACCGCCTTCATTTGGATAAAGTCTTCCCAGCAAAACTCTTCTTCTTTACCTTCTACTTTTATTCCCACAAAGAGGAGCATGTACACACATTGCGGATTTGGAGGCCATAGTCGGGAAATGCTGGCTGTTTGCCGACCTTGGGTGTGGGAATAGTTTTCCCTTTTTCTTTCCACATCATTGTCCGCTACAAGCGGAGTCACCGCGTGTTGCCCTGATACCCAGCGAAGGTCCAAGGCAATTGGTTCCAAACAGCTGTCTTTTACTATTGAAACAACAAAGGAATATCAACTTATTCTAAAGTGAGCAAGTTCATTTTACTAGAGCCTTTATAAATTCTGATATTTTCTCGCTCGAAAGCGTGGAGATAATCCTCTACATTTTGAAGAACTCTTGCCATATCCTGCTTGCTTATTAAATTTTGCAAAATTTTAATTCTCCTTAACAGTCAAATAGACTAAGGCATCTTTCTCAATGACGAGTATGTTTCTTGGAATCTTATAAATAGTTATTCTTTTATAAATGTTCGTAAATCTACAAAGCACTTTGATAGTCGATGAAAGACTATAACATTTTGTTAAAGACGTGTTTACAACGCGCTTTCTCGTATCTTACAGTAGAAATTTTATAATCAGCATGGTATTAATTTCATAGCGACTACTTACACTAAAACTTGAAATGGATCATTATAAGAGACACATCCTAGGTCATTCCCAGGCTAAGAAATGTATCCACCACTCAATTTATCAGCAACAAAATGGCCATATCATCAACATTGCTTCGGTTTAGAGGAATGATTGTTTGTGGGGGAGACTGTCACTTGGATTTGCGTATCTTAATTACAGCTCAAATGTACCAACCACACAAAGTGGGAATGAAGACGAGGTTTCAAAGGACAATATTAGATCTTTCATATCCAAAAAAAGGACTCATTTGTTGGAGAGGTTTTAACGGTGTTTTGAGGATGTTTAAGCCATAGAGTCGACTTTTCATTTTAGTGATAAAATTAATAAGAGCGTTGGATGACTTTGAAAAGTATGACTAAACATCCTTTCTCCGCCTAACTTTCTTTCTTCAACATTTCATACAAGCATGTTTCGTATCATTACTAATAGAGCTGTAGTTTCCAAATTACTTACCAGCAAACCAACATTACCGCCAACTGCTTATAGATCAGCCCTTCAATTATCTCGCATTTCTTGTAAACAAGTCATTCAACCTGCAGTTTTTCATAAATACTCATTCCATACACAATGTGCACGCTTAGAACAGCAAACAGCAGTCAATGACGAGCTATCGGAAGAAGAAAAGGCTACCAAGCGTCAAATGTTGATTGGGTTTACATGCAAGGTCTGTGAAGAACGCTCACATCATGTCATGTCAAAGTTGGCATACACAAAAGGTGTCGTTTTGATCCAGTGCCCTGGCTGTAAAAATCGTCACCTTATCGCAGACAACCTAGGCTGGTTTAGAGATAGCAAGACAACTGTGGAAGATCTCGTAAAAGAAAAAGGAGAGGCAATACGCAAAGTCATTGTGGATGAACATGGAGTCGAGCGAATGGGTGATTTACTCGAATGGTTACCAGATATTGCAGAAGAAGAAAAAATAAAAAAGGAAGAAGCAAAAAGGAAGGCCGAGGAATTGAAGGCAAAGGAAAAAGCTGAATAAAAGCCCAGTAGATTTATGTACAGTGTTCTAAATGAGACGCTTATAGGTTAAAAAGCTGTAATAAAGTGGACTTGGGATGTTGGTGTATTTGTGTGTGTGGCTTTGATTGGAACGGAAAATGAAAGAGAGCAGCCCTTGTTTGTGTCTTTTTCACAATGACTAGTTTAATTAACCCTGATACACGCATAAAGTAAAGAAAGAGAAAAGCTTACTAGTGAAATAAGAAAGAGAGAGAGAAAGGGAAAGTGCATGTGCGTGTTTATTCATTTATTGTTTGTAGAGTAAGCTCAGTCCTGAATAGAGACACAGTCAACTTTGGAAAGCAGCATTTGATTGACGGAAATGAGGAAACATGCTGGAATTCAGAACAAGTAAAATCAATACTGTTGCCTATTGTTGTTGTTTATAAACATTGAAGCAATAGGGCCTACCTCAGCACATTTTGATTGACTTTCCTAGCACTGCTTCTGTTTCTGGTATAGCCATTACCTTCCAAGGAGGGTTTGCAGGCAAGAAATGTCAAGTACTAGGAAGCTTAGATAGTTCACCTAATGATTACAGTGTGCAGATCAGCACGTTATATCCTGAGGACATTAGCTCCACGCAAACATTCACTTTTGATCCTACCGAAGGCATAAAACGACTCAAGATCGTCTTTGAAGAAAGTACAGATTTTTATGGTAGAATTACAGTTTACAAGCTAGATATTCTTGGAAACACGATTTAAAAAATAAAGTTAAGCAATGCCAGCGGCTTTTCTATTCAATAGACCATATTTGCCTATCCATGCGATAATGATGATAAATGCAACAACACATGATCCTAAATAGAACTGGATCACCATACGCCTACCAGCTGTAAAGATGCCTCCCTTGGGTAGATTCATCTTGTTGAATAGCATCATACACACTGCAACTAAACCAATAACAATACAATATATCAGGCCTACGATCAATCCTGAAGGAAACTCAATGGCTACACCAGCAATCAAGAGACCATAAACCACAGATCCGATACACCACACGATTGTTGTTCCTCTTGATAATGGTCCATGTACTTGATTTCGATACACAAAGAGCTGGACCCAGCTCATTACCATCGCTCCTCCAGCATACATATAGTGAGCGATAACATGTTCCCAAAGATCTCGCATGTTTGAATAGATTTCTTCTAGTACTGGATATTGAGCAACAAGTTCAGGATGCGCTAGATTAAAACTTTGTACGGGATGCTTTTAAATGTGTTAATATCCTCTCCTTTCTTCTTTTTCTCCCATCACACACAATTTACTTTAAACATCGCTGCTGCTAAATGGATACCATGACCTTGTACATAGATACCTGCCCCTATACTCCACAGTAACCAAGCAACACTTCGCTCACTTAAGGGACCACCTAATTGTTATAAGAAAGAAGAAATATATAATATATATATAAAGTCAACTTACAGAAATGAGGTCTTCCACCTGTATTCATGACATCAGCACGGGTCATGACAAACAAACTAAGTGGTAATGTGATCACTGGATCAAACAGACGCCAGAGACTGTCACCAGGAAACCAAGGTGTGATATATCCCATGTCTGTAACTACTGGAATGACTGTCCATATTAAAATAAAGAACGAAGTTACCAGCAGTAACCAAGCAAGTCGATTGTCTTCTACATGTGCATCTCGAAATGATTCTTGAATCTGTAGCCCAGAAGACGAGGCTATATTGATTCGTGTAGTATCATTCTCGTCATCAATCTCTGGATAACCATATCTTGAATCTTTTGTATACATCGAAGGCAACTCATAGTCAGCCATGATATTTAAGTTAAAGAGAGGGGGTTTATGTGGAATAAAGCCTCATTTTATTTATAAAAATAGAAAAATATCAAAAAAAGAAATCAGTTAAAAGTGTTTGTATAGATAACTTCGGATTTTCTAAAACCATTAAACTGAGAGGCAGCACAGATAGTATAGGCACCCATGTTCTCATAGTAGAGCCAGTCTCCAGGCTCAAGCATGGGCAAAGCAGTAGACTTGTTCAAACAGTCTATAGAGTCACATGTGGGACCCCAGACACTGCTTTCAAATCGTTCTTCTTGGATTTCTTGGCCATAGACAAATTCATCATTCTTGACCAAGACCTTGGGGTGAACGACTTGATGATCAAACATGATGCAGTTGAAAGAACCATACATACCATCGTTAATATAGTACATAAATCGAGGTTGCTCGCCTTCAGACTTGGGAGCAACTGTTCTTCTACCAATGACATTGGTACAGATCGTAAAGGCGGAGGCAACATAGTATCTACCAGGCTCAGCAATCACGCGAATGTCCGGAGAAAAGAGGGAATCAACCATGGGACCAAGGATTGAGGCAACTTTTTCAAAGGTAATGCCATCTTTGACATCGTTACCAGGGAATCCACCACCAACGTCAAGGAGAGTAAAATGAAATCCCATTTGTTCAGCTTGATCAAACACTCTTCTAGCACGCAAAACAGCATCACCAAAAGCAGATGCATCAAGGCAACCACTACCAACGTGGAAACTCACACCCATCACATTCAAGTCGAGTTCCTTTGCAGTTTTGAGCAAGTGTTCAACAGTATCAAGAGGGGCGCCAAACTTGAGACCCAATTGGCAGAGCGAATTAGAATCATCAGTCAAGATACGCAAGACAAGCTCGGCATCAGGATAGAACTTTTTAATCTTGTAAAGCTCTTCGGCATTATCAAAAGTCATACGACAGACGTTTTGCTGGGCAGCATAACGGATGAAAGAGGCTTGCTTACAAGGATTGGCATAGATTATACGATTGGACTCGACACCAGCATCCAACACTTGTTGAATTTCCGATTTAGAAGCGCAATCAAAACCACAGCCTAAAGAAGCCAAGAGTCTAATGATCATGGGATCAGGGTTGCATTTGACAGCTAGAAATAAAATGTAAGCATACTTATCCCCCTTTCGTTCTCTTCATAATTTTGACGGAACTTACCAAAAAAGGGTTCAATTCGAGGAAGCAGGGCTTTCCATCGGAGATGCTGACGAAAAACTTCACCGAGATCGCCAACAAAAAAAGCATTTTCTTGATCAGAGTCCCATTTCTGGGTAGAAATAGATTGAATTCTTTCCCGAGCGACTTGTTCAACCGATTGGTTGTGGATGAGGACATCAGGAGAAGGTACAGATTTGATCAAGTTTACCATATCAGAAGTAGGGTTCAAAATAACAGTTTCGAGATGAGAGGGCATTTTGTTCAAAAAGTGGGGAGTGTGAGTAGCAGAAGGCAGTGGATGCAGCAGTGCGAGGTAAAGAGAGAGTTTAAGCAAAGGTAAATAATTATCAAAGTTCGATGAGTTGAGAGGCGAGTATAAAATAATTAACTTGAGGTAGTTCCCTTGACGCGGTAGTTTCAGGAAAGCCAGGGAGGGAAGCCTCGTCGGTCAAATAAGCTGTCTACTAGTCTTGTTTCTGTGGCCGTGATGGGCAGGGACGGACTGAGCTGTTTTGCAGTCCGAGAAATGGAAATGTTAAAGGGAAGAGTAAGGATAAAAAGTTGCTGTAAACTGTATGAAAAAAGTATTACAGCAATAATTAATGAATAAAAGTGAGAAAAAGCGAGAAACAAAGGGTTATTTATAAATAAAAAACAGGGGGCGAGGTGTTTTGAGGTTGTTTTGCTGTTGGACCTTAATAGACGCAAAAAAAAAGTAAAGTTTTTTCTCTGCGTTAAAAAAAAATAAAGAAGCAAAAGAATTTTTTTCTTTTATTTTAAGGCAAATTTTTTTATAGTACTTTAAAACTCTTTCAGTGTGACGTTGAAAATTCCCTTATAAAGTATGATTGCTACTCGCGTAGTTTAAAAACATGCAGTTTCCCTCCTTATTTTTCCGTTGCCATGACTTCAAAATGGCCAGTAACCATGTTACGGTGAATGCCGTGGAATGGTGTGATAGTCTGCCGTGGTTTTGACCCGCAGCTTAACATGTGAAGTTCAGTTTAAGAGGGATCATTCAGTTGTAAAAAGAGAATATTGTGGCGTTCAATCATGAATATGTCACCACTACATATAAAAGGCGCGCTAAAATAATCGAAATGTGTTCAAATAACTCGGAAAGCTGGTCTAGATGTAGATCTTTTCCCTGTCCCACTTGGTATTTCAATAAAACTGCTTACAAAAGACAGCGCTTCATCCAGCGACACGTACGTACGACCATGGCGACAAATCTCGATGAAATCGATTAAGCTAGCGTGAAACCGTTCTCGGCTTTATTACTATGATCTACTTGAGTTAGTGCATTCGTATGTCAATTTTCAGAAAAACAACGATCCATAGCCTTTCTTTTTATAGACCTAAAAGCATTATAAATAAATAACCATTAATTCCTAGTTCATTGATTGGATCACTTTACATTTTTTTTGTCCCACTTTTTTCAGAGAATAAAAGTAGGATTACAAGCCACAGAAGCATTCCTTCTTCCATAGACTTTCTCGACTGTGTCATATTTGCACTGGCAATAGTACAGTGGGCTGATATACTGTAAATAAACATAGAGTTTCAACATAAAATTAGATGATTGGGTATTCTTTTAGACGGGTCAATTTTGGGTATTGCACGTTTTAATGATGAAACCTCGCCGGTGATAATATTGCAAGTACAATAATAAGCAAGTAGATAGAAGAGCTACTTATACATCTTAACTTACAAAAAGTCAAAGGTCAACATCAACAGCACTGTGAGAGCGCTCCAGCAATACAATGAATATCACGGACGACGCTGTAGAACCTATTTCGAAGAACGAAAATAATTGCGACAGAGACACTTCTGGGTTGGCAGATGCTTAAACTCATTAAATATGCAAAGAATAGCTACATCTATTAAAAACTACCTGTATATTGTGCTTCCCTTTGGTATTGAGCTGAATGTTGGAATTCTTATTCGTTACACTTGACCACAAAAAAACGACCTTATTCTACTTTAGGTTAAAGGCAAGGATAAAAAAAAAAGATGTTTTATATCAGATAAGATCTTAATGTTACAAAAAGATAGTCATGGATGCATAAAAGTGTTACTAGTGAGCATGTGCCTAGAATCGGCTGTAGAAGAATTACGTTATTAACATGAATGCACTTTGCATGCTTTTCAATTTATCTGTCCTGGGAATAGCCTCCCCTTTCGTGTGGGATAATCATTGTTATGCAACCTTGGCACCAATCACTTGCCACTCTTTTAAAATTTACTTTTTACAATGTGCATAAGGTAGAGTGTTTTACATTTATGCCTGGCCAAATAAAAAATTTCTAGATTAACCAAGAGCTTTTTAGCTCATTCAAACGTTAATGAATTTATTTATGTTTAAATAATTTTTATATGGAATGAAGAATGCTGTTTAAGAATATAATTTATTTTTCTTTTTAAAAAAAAAGATCTTTCTCTTGCTTCCTTTACTAGTAAAAATAGGAGGGATTATCTTGTACTGTTCAAGATCAGCATCGATATCTGCTGGCTTTTGTTTGATAAGCATGTTGGTGCTCTTCATCATTACCCTAGTTTGATAGACTGCCTTTAGCATGGCAACAATTCACTGCAAAGGCCACCCGGCTCTTTAGACAAATCAGCAGCTTTCGCATAATTGATATGACACACATAACCGGTGGATGAGTCGTACAGTATTATTGTGAACTTTGCTCTTATATGTAAAAGAGAAACAAAAAGCATAAAGCATATAATGACTTACCAAAAAGTAAAAAGTCGACAAAAGTTATTTCGCATAAAGCATCAGATGATTTTTGGTATAGTGCACACACTATTTCCTTCAAAACTTGAGCCATTTTACAGTCATTGTCATACAACTCCTTCGTCTGGTCATCATTTCGACCACATTCACACAACATTCGTATTCTAAAAGCTGACGAAAAAGATAATTTCAGCCTTCTGCTAGTTAACTACAGAAATTCATAGCCGGGTCAGAAGTAGGATGAACGACCCCTAATCCTTCATCATGAATTAACATGGCAATTTTTTTTTTGTTTTCATATAAATAATGTTGTGTAAGGCTACACATAATTTGTTTATAAAGTAATTTTTATCTGATTAAGATATCAGATCGATAACAAAAAGAATTATTAATGGGAAAAGAATGGTTTATGACTTTCTTGTTAATAACTTTTCTGTAATTTGAATAAGAGCAGATCTTGCATCAGAAGAAGGAAGCTTATTAAGAGCGTCGATTGCATATCCACAATGCAATGTTGCTAAATCTAGGGTCTTTTTTAGACCATCGCTTTTATAAACTAAATCTCTCGCCTAGATGATGTTAATAAAAGCCGACATCATCTAAACTAATCACTTACCCTTTCTTCATCGCCCTTTTCTGAAAATTTACGCTTAATCAATGGCTCTAACTCTGGATATTCTTCCCAAGCAAACAAAACAGGTGCTGTAGCCAAACCTAGCTTAAGATCTGCACCAGCAGGCTTACCAAGTTCAGCAGCAGTCACTGTAAAATCCAACATATCATCAACAAGCTATACAACACTTGTTAAAAGAAAAAAGAGAAAAAGGAAGACATTGATAATATTACCTGGAATGCCAAACCCAGATTTTTTCCAAAGTCAAAAGCGACATTAGCTACTTCATCTGTCACGTTGCCCAGCACAGCAGATGATTTACAACTTAATGCGATCAAACTTCCAGTTTTCATATATGTCTTTTTCATGTAATGGTCAAATGTGCTGAGTTTTTTCACTTTATCAGTTCCTTGTTCGTCCTTTGTGTTGCGTAGTTGCATAAATTCACCTTCTACTAGATTAGCAATACAGGTCGACATCAATTCGATGCATTCAGCATTACGTAACCGAGCCAAGGCTACGGAAGCACGCGCTAATAAAAAATCACCTCCGAGCACAGCCATTTTGTTACCAAAGCTAGCATTTGCTGAAGGTAAATTTCGCCGTGTCATGGAAGCATCGATCACGTCATCATGCAACAAAGAAGCTGTGTGTATCATTTCTGAAATTTCTGCTAGCCGTCTTTGTGTTGGTAATATAGTGCAACCTTGATCAGTCACAGAAGGTGTATAATGTACATGTTTGTCAAATACGCCATTTGATATGATGTTCTGCAATCCATGTGATATAGGCATATCTATTGAGATGTAATCCGTGTTTTGTTTTGAAGGCTTCTTTTCTGCAATACTCGTAGCTTGAGCGATCAAAAGAACTAATAAAGGCCTCACATGCTTTCCTTCACCGCTGAAATAGTGTTTTGCTACTCTATTTAAAAATGGGTGGCCACTGTAGAGAAGTTTGGCAATATTTGACTTGATCTCGCCCAAATCTCTTCCTACCAGTTTGGTAGGGTCAATTGCACGTTCCTTATCTGTTTCTCCTACCAGGCTCTGAGCTTCCCGTATGGCCTGACTCCAATTCTCGGGGTGCCCTGTAAACGGTGTCTCTTCTTCAACTAATTGCTTTAGTGGAGTTGTCTCTAAAATGCTGTTCTTTATCGAGTTTATGCTACTGCTAATCTTGCCTAGCGGTGAAATGTCTGGTTGCTCTTTTGTAGAGACAAAGTTATGACGGCTCGAATGAAATCCAACAGCTCTAATAAAGTGGGTGGTTCTAAATTTTGACTTGGTTGCTACAACTAATTTATGCATTTATCAATGACAAAAGGTGATCCTCCCCTATCGCGCGACAAGGGGCACCCTATCCTCTGTGGCTGAGTTACTGAAAAGCCACTGTTGAGACGGAAAAAGTCCAAGTAGGGAAATATGTTATCTTTTTTTTTTGGGACAAAAGAGCAAAAGGGCTGGTTGGGGAATTGGGTCTGCGTTTTTCTTTAAAAACGCATGTTTATCATCTATCAGTCATATTCTATATGTAAACTGATAAATTTGACCCTTCTCTCTCTCTCCTTTAAGTACTATGGATATTTAATTTGAAATAAAAAGGTACGGTTAAATGGATCAACCACTGTTGAATTGTTTGTCGGGTAATTTTTTAATCTCAGCTTTTCAGCGATTTAAAGGAGTTTCTTTTTCAATTGTCCTTCTTTTCCTCCTCTTTATCATACATTAAGATGCCTTCACTCGATTTTAGTCCAGAAAGGCCATTTGGGGTTTATTTATTTGACTACTTTAACAAATTTTACACATTTATTGTGGGAAGTCCAGCCACAGAATTCCACTTTATCGAAGGTGTTACGCCCCTCTCCACTTTACAAGAAGGTAGGTAATAAATATAGACGAGCAACATGATGAGAATAACGAAAGCAAAGTTATTATTGGATGCATTACCTATCTTGTTGTAATTTTCGGTGGTCAATATTTGCTTACAAACGCGTCTCCAATGAAGCTGAAATTTCTTAATCAAGTTCACAACCTCTTCTTGACGGTGATTTCCTTCATTCTTTTGCTTTTGACGATTGAGCAACTCTTTCCCAAGCTATATTATCACGGTTTGTATTATACTATCTGTTCTGAAGAAGCTTGGACACAAAAATTGGAGTTATTGTACTATCTCAACTATTTGGTCAAGTACTATGAGCTTATTGACACTGTATTCTTGGTGTTGAAGAAGAAGAAGCTTGGTAGGTTAATATCATTGGTTGTAAACACATCATTCACATGAAATTAGAATTTTTGCACTATTTCCATCACAGTATGACCATGGCGTTGTGTTACACTCAGCTGGTTGGCAGAACCACTGTTGTAAGTATATCAAAAATTACAAGAACAAACACACCAACGATAATTCAATAGTCCTGGGTTCCTATCACACTCAACTTGACTGTTCACGTCTTGATGTACTATTACTATTTCCGCACTGCTTCCGGTGCTAAAGTTTGGTGGAAAAAGTACCTTACAACCATGCAAATTATTCAATTTGTCATCGATCTTATTGTCATCTATTCGTGTACCTATTCGTACTATGCTTACACCTACACCAACAGCGCTTTCCCCAATTTTGGTACCTGTGCTGGAACAGAAAGCGCTGCCGCTTTTGGTTGTGCCATTCTAACATCCTATCTTTTATTGTTCATCAACTTTTACAGAATTACATACAAAAAGAAGAATGCTGTTCCTAGTAAAGCACCTGCAGCAAAGGTTGACACTGTCAAAAAGAGCAAAAAGATCTAATATATTTGTGAATACGCTTTCTTTTTTTTTTTCTTTTCTTAGATGTAGATTTTTCTTTCAAAAAAATAAATAACAAATAAATACCAAAGCATTTATATTATCTTTTCTACTTTGTCATTGTCGGTTTCTGCCTCCGGATCATGTGTAACATAAAAGACAAGAATGTAATAGGCTTTTGTATGATGGGCCAATCAAAAGCTTGCATTACAGTTAGCCAACCCGCTCTTTTTAATATAAAAGGCAGGGGGAAGAGGGGAGAGAGATGACATCAATATCAATCTTTTAAAAGAGACGTGACCCAAAAGAGAGACGTATTCCCATTGTATAAAGACAATATACAGCCACGCATATAATTAGATATCGTACGAAATAGTAAATCAAATGTTTGGAAAGCCATATTATAAAAAAATAAGTGTTGACGTGTTTTTGAAAGAAGCTATTTATTCTGTTGGTCCTCCTTTTGTGTCAATTACGGTCTCACATTGAGCCAACGTCTATTTTCTTGGGAACAATATGTTTAACGTCATATCGTTCACCGACTCCTTTAATGAATTTGGAGCCCACCATTGTTATCGATAATGGAAACCGAGATACATTGCTCCAAATGACGCGAAACCATTGTTCAACCACCTAGTCGACAGGCTCACAAACCCAACTAGCCTTTTCTTCATGTACTCTTTTGTTAATACTAGTTTATGAGAACCAAATTCCATCCTTTTCAAACTTGCTGATAGCAGTCGGTCCACAGACCTCTATATCTACTTTATACCGCTCTGGTCTCAGACAGTCGAATGGTACGAATGGGATAATCTCTTATCATTTTTGTAGGATGACTCTGTGCTCTCGCCAATTTTATACATTCTACTATTTGCCTTGGTTTTTCAAGTGAAGTTACTCACCCATTACTTTTAATCATGCATTTTTTTTAATAAAGCAAGTTGAGCACTCTTTAAAGGATGATAAAAAGGCAGCTTCCTTTGATAAAGCCAAAAAAAAAAAATTAAGTATTTAAATCTTACGATTCATATATATATACATCATCTTTCTCTTCCTGTAATAAGTGCTATTGATTGTTATCACTATCTTTTATAGAGCAAAAGACAAAATGTACACAGTGTAACATAAATCAACCTATGTGATGTATATCAAGACGTACATGCGTAAGCCTTACCGATGATCCTTCACATCAGGTTACTTTGCTATCCAGTGAACAATTAGTTAGAAATGAGCTAGCTGTATACAGGTCACGAATTCTTTTAATCCCTTATTTACATTTAAAATTACTGCTTTAAGAATCAAGCTACCCTTTATACGAGGCTTCCCCCAAATTCCCTGATAAGTTCACTGTTTGTTGCATCTTTTGTTACAATTATTACTGATATCACTGATCGACCTCTTGTGATATCCTTCATTACGCAAAAAGTTATTAATAAAAGCATGAAAATTACACGCATCCGTTGATGTTTCCTCAAGTACACATATGTTCGTAATTGGGAATAAAGCTCTAAATTAGACGGGCCACTGTTCCTTTGAGAGAAATATATTAATAAGAATATAACCCAGAAACCAGGCAGAGAATATATGTATAGACACCACATTCATCGCTTCTTTTTCTAAAAAAGAGGACGAGCGGATGAGCTGCTTGTTGGGACGACTGAACACATTGTGATATTTTGTTGAATATGTATTGTAGACACTTAGCTCTCTTTGAACAAACACAAAGTATAAAGAAACACAGGTCCTCGGTAATGTTCAAGCATATTCTCCGAAGGTTAAAAATAACTTTAGTACATCATTCTGCCTTCTTTACACTTTGCTACATTGTTCACTAATGAAATACACTTGCTATGACCATAAATCAAGTAAATAGATGATAATATTTAGAATACATCTAATATTGATCAACAAATGTTGAATGCAAGTATATACAATATGAACAAAGGGGAGGGGTCATCGCCAAGAATCGATGAAAGAGTCGACACCGTTTAGTAACACCATAGCTTAGTGACCAAAATAATTTTTCCAAAAAAGGGCAACGTAAAAAAAGGCTTCAATCTATGGAACAAAAGATTACCGATGATAATTCCCCATTTGATATTGATAATAGCATTTGAAACAGAAACCAGGATATCCTTATTCTCACGCTACTTTCAGTCATTGGCTATACATGAATCTTAGCTTTTTTTATTAATAATCTGTAAGAGTGTTCAACAACAATACAAATTATATTTTCAAAGACTATTTGGGCTCAGTGTCCCTTGATATAATTGAAATAAAGGCACGCCACTTCAGTGTATCATTACGAAATTTGCTTTTTTTTTATTGTAGAAAGCTTTATTTCAGTGTTCATTAGTAGAGAGAGAGTTATGAGACCTTTTTTAAGCGTAGAGGGAATTATTAAATGTTTCAAAGGTGTTATTGAAAAGCTTATCTGATATACCAATTACGGTTATTTTTTCTAAAAGGATACTCATTTCATTACCATGTGCCCTCTCTATTTACAAGCATATGCATTACATGTCCCCATGACGGAATCAACCTAATTCTATTGACTGATTTCTCTATTTCCATGTAGATAGTTTTGCACATGACGATTTCAAAAAATAACTTTGTGACCTTTATCATATAATAATCTGCAAAGGTCAAACATTATTTATCAAATGATAAAGAACACAAGAAAGGGAAAAAAAAAGCTTGATAGGAACTTTGCTCTAAAAAGAGAGCTTTTTTAAATATACGATTTTTATTAAATACGTTGTTGTCAGGCTTTTGATAAAAACATTTTACATAAGGAAAAAAAAATATAATACATAGTCTACTATTTTAATACACAATAATGAGTGTGGTAAAACCCATTTGAGAGTTTACCATTTTCACATATTTCTATTTGGGTCATCCAAGCAGATTCTAACGCTTGGTCAACAGTCCATCGAGTTTTTGGATCAGGGTCCATCATGCCAGCAAGACATTGTCGTTCAGGTGCTGTGAAATCTTTAAAGAGGTCACATTCACTTGGTTCTATCGTCTGACGTTGATCTATATAATGTTTATAATCTGCATCACCACCATCTTCTGCTTGTGCTGCAACAGCAGCAGGTGAACCTGCGACAGCATCGGGAGGAGGCGTGCCTTTAGGTTTGCCGGTATAAAAAGCAGCCGTAAAGGGTAATTGTTTGAAACGAATACAAAAGTAAGTTGCAGCTGCACTCCAAACATCGAGAGCTCTAGCATCATAGAGTGTTTCGTTGTTTGTAATCTTCCACATTTCTGGTGACCAAAATGGTTCTGAACCACACCAATTTTTGCAACAATTGCCGTCTTTTTCTTGCACGACTTGAGCAACGCCAAAATCAGCAATTTTCAGTGTTCCCGTCGATGTGAGAATTAAATTTTCAGGTTTGATATCACGATGCGCAACGCCAAGACGATGAAGGTGCTGTAGGCCAAGTAGGAGTTGTTTAAAGAGGCAGGCAACCTCATCTAGTGTCATGTTTGGTTTTTCATGTAAAAGGTTAAATACATCGCCGCCTGAGCACTAAGAATATTTATAAGCAATATAAATGGTTAGATAGGGTAATGCAAAGATAACATTTATTTTTAAACTTACATATTCCATCACGACACACCAGCGTGCCTTCTCATCTTTAACAAGATCAAGTGTTTCGACAATGTGAGAATGTGATGAAACTGATTTGCTGATAAAATATTCATTAAGCATCCTCTTTTCATATTCTTTCTCATCTTCGCTTTTCTCTTTCTTTTTGAATTCTTTGACTGCCAAAATACGGCCACCTGTTCTCTGTCGCACCAGACGGATCACAGCCGTAGCACCACTAGCAATATTCTTCTTGGATGTAGAGCCCATGCCCTTTGACGACCGTTTCTCTGGCTTGACATAGTCACCATACTTTTCAGTCAGTAAAGGAACGACACCGAGTGAGCCGCAAGTCATGTCGTGATTTCTCTTAAAGGGTGATGTGCTGAGAAAGAGACGTGTGAAGGATTTACTTAATTTACTGGCGCTGCTACTAACGGAGCTAGAGCTGTGAATGGATGCACCACTAAACCGTCGATCGGTCATATCTGGAGATTGAGAGCACAATGATTGATTGGTGGGTGAAGCTGGAGTCATTTTAAGAGATCCAAAGAATCCGTTGTTGAAGACGTTGCTCAACCGTTTCTTTGGTTTCTTGACTGGAATTGGTTGGCTCTCTGTGGTTACGGGAGGTGTAGTGATGGAAAAATTATCAGAAGACATCGTGTCGTTAGATCCTCTACTGCCTTCTCTTAAAGGTGGAACTGGGCCGTCATGAGGGTGCATTGGTAGGGAGTCAGGTGAAGTTGATCTAGGTATAGGATCGTCGGTAAAGTAAGGTCCAGTAGATAAATATGTGTCACTTGTAGACTCGAAATAATCTCCACTTGCGGCTGGGCTAGACATAAGTTAAATATATATATAAAAAAAGGAGTGCTTCAAAAAGCCAAAAAAAAAAAAGAAAGAGAGAAGAAGGTCAACAGAGAAGGGAAGAAATAAATAAAAAGTTGAAAGAAGAAAGGGAAAAAAAGTTTTTTTAGCATTGACTTTTATATGGAAATATCACTTTTTTAGTGTCACGGATTTTGGCGGATACAAATAGTAGGGATTGGTCAAGTTCAGATAGAGAAAAGGACCAATACATTTGTTCTGTTTCGGTTAAGAGACTTAAACAAGAAATCCTTGTCTTTCCCCAATGAAAGGTTTCTCTACCTTCTTTTTTTTTTCCTTTATTGTCCAATGAAAATGTTACTGGCTTGCTCAAGCCCTGGGTGGACAATAGAATTCATAAAAAGTTCTATTGTAACAAACAAACAGAATAGGGCAAATCACAGGCACCAGTAAACTTTAATTCAACGTGGGGAAAATGGATAATGATGATGATATTATTATATGGCCACACTATGATCCCATTACTGTCATCTACTTGTTCCAATGAAGTGGCTTTTATTTCTATGTTTATTATTAGATAACGAACATCAGGACGCGTAAGAACAAATGAAACATTCGGTTGCTCAAACCCTTTTTTTTGTTATTTGAATTTAAAGACATCTTAGTTTCAAATCTCTCTTTATGTCTCTCTTTTTACACTATTTTAGTACAAGTCTTGCTTTAACATTGGAAAATCCTGACTTTAGTACGTAATAAAAAGGCTTAAAATGATAACAGGCGAGCTTTACAACAATCAAGACATCTAATCACTGTGAGAACTTTGGAGTTTTCTCGATTAGGAAGTAGATAGATTGATCCCTTGGAATAATGGGCGTTGTGGTTGTTGTTTTGCAGAAAAAAAATAAATTGGCAACTAATCCATTTTAGAAAAGAGACTTCTCCCTTTATCAAATATATCAAACATCAGACCCTTTAATAAAGAAACTATCGACAAGACTGTCAGACTTGTTCATTCGTGAGAACTATAAGGGATATATAAGGAAGTTGACAAAGGTATGCCTTTATAATAACAAACGTGATGAGTAGAGAGCCATAAAGAGCCTTCTTGTAATTTCTATGATACAAGTGCAATTTTAGAACTCTGAGACACAAGAGCGTCATTTGCTACTTTTCCAAATATAAAATCGATTACTCATTCAGGTAAATACCTTGTTCAACATACGCACTTTGGAAGAAATGGACAAAACAATCACTGAATGAGCAGCTGAGAGTATCTTGAGTGAAATATGACCTGTGTTATTGATGAAGAGTCGAATGAACTTATTCTACCAAACTTTGTAAAACTTATGTCTTGATATCCTACGCAGGAATAACTGAAGGGAAATGTTTAAGGTAACTTAAACCACCATATAGTTGAATATTCTTGCTAAAAAAAAGCTATTATTCAATTGAAACAAGTAGCTTAAAAGTCGTCCTTTTGTTGATTCGATAAAAGGGCCGCCTTTGAATTAAGTAATGGACAGTCTAGTAGAAATATGGATTGGGGAACTTTTCCCTAATAGTTTTTATTTATTACTAGAAACAAGGGCCTGGGAAACTAATATTTTATTACAGGTCCCCTATGTTGTCATTTTGTTTTCATAAATAATCTAATGATCAGTTTTAGACTATTTAGCTGTTTATCTTGGTTTATGTTTCCATGGTTTCTGTTTCTGTGTTTTTCTGGATATTTCAGCTTTTTATCGAACGATGGTTGACAAGGGAAAACTACTAAAAAAAGAATAGTGCACAAGTGTTCACACGATCTTAATTTATTGAAAGCGCATTTTAAAGGAATGGGCTCCGCCAGGAAATCCTCCTCCAAATGGAAATCCATTCTGAAAGCTAAATCCGCCTTGGAAGTGTTCGAATGGAAAGCCACCATGAGACGGTCCACCGTTTTGCCCTTGTTCAGGATCAAAAGGATCGAATCCGTTGTCGTACTGTTGTCTCTTGTCTATTTCAAAAACAGATGAGTCACAAGTGCAACCATCATTGTTTCTCTAGTTATTACCGTCATTGCTAAGTACTTCATAAGCCTGATTGATCTCTGCCATCTTATTCTGGGCTTCCTCTTTTTGGTCACCTGTGTACTTGTCGGGGTGCCATTCCAGTGCTTTCTTACGATAAGCTTTCTTGATTTCACGAGCATCCGCCGTTGGTGGTACGTCCAAAATCTTGTAATAATCTTTCTTTTTAGATAGCTTCAATTTTTGCATGGCTTGCTGTAATAATTGCCTTATGCGGTGCTGATGTTGTCTTCCAATGCTTTCATCCTCTGAGGCCGCCTTATTAGCCTTCTCTAAGTCATGTACAGCCTTTTCAAACTCTTTACGTCTTAGGTAATTCTCGCCGCGGTACATCAGCACTAGTGGGTCATCATTCTGAATAGAGAGGGCCAACGAGCACCACTCATCTATTTTGTCTTCGTTTTTTTCCTTTTGTTTAGAATTCAATCTACAGGCCATCTTGTAGCATTTGAATTTGAGCTTATTTGGCATCTGTTTACTCTTCAGCTCTGTTTGCAACTCGCTATAATCTTGCTCGATTTCTTTCAAGATTCCCTGTCGATTGGATGTGCCGATCAGATGATTGGCTGCTGTCACATACTTTTTAAGTTCAATATCTTTTTCTATTGTCTCTATTTCCTTATTGATCTTTTTCATCTTTTTAAACAACTTTTTGCATTGTTTTTGTTCAGGATCATAATGTAAGCATTGTTTGACATGCTTCAGAGCACTTTCGGGCTCATCTAGTGCATAAAATTTGATCTTGGATAATTGCAGTAATATATCAGGGTCCGAAGGGTTCAACTGTGCCACACGACTATAGTTTCCATTCGAGTGAGCTGTATGTATAAAAAAAAAAGATTTCACTTACACAAAGTCGCCTGCTGCATCATCTATCTCATTCTTGCCAAGATGGCATTTTGCCTTTAACAATCTAGCCTTTACAGAGTACGGTGATAGACGGCACACAGTGCTTGATTGCTGAATGCAAGAGTCATAGCGGCTTGCCTCATGATCCTTTTCAGCTTGCTTTATAGCATTCTTGGCCACTTTTACATCTTGAAGCTGTAATTAGCACAAAATAAATATGAGTATCTTACTTTTATATATAGCATGTTTGTATATTTACCATGTTTAAAGCCTCTTTATTATCCTTGTGAGAAGACAAGTACCTTTCCAGATCTGCTTTGGCTAAATCATATTGACCTTGCTTCACATAGATACGAGCTCGTTGAAGCAGCGCTTTATCATACCCAGGCTTCAAGTTCAAGATTGTTGTAAAATCTTCGGCAGCCGCATTATTTCTGCCAAGAGACAAGTACGTTGTTGCTCGTTTAAAGTACGAAAGGTAATTGTCGGGTTCTTGTCGAATGGCAGCGTCAAAGCTGATCAGTGCGTCGTTATATTGTCCACTTATCAAATAGCTGTTTCCTTCTTGTAAATACTGTTCTGTGCTTTTCTCGCAGAGAACAACAGAGTAAGGAAATAAAAAAGGAAGAACACAGGCGATAAGATAGTGTTGCTTCATTGTGTTATTTTTTATGATTACAAGAAAGAAGTAAAATGGATAAGAATTTCCAATCAGATAAATCCACATACAGTGGCTACCAAATAAAGGATATCATAAACTCCGTAAAAAGCAAATATTTCATTGGTTAAATAGTTTGAAGAAATCGTTTGTATTATGACACGACACTCAAAGGGGGGGGGAAGTATATCTTTTCATCCTTTGCAATGCTTCAAGATTTCCCGTAAGCAAGCCTTGGCAGTATGATCTATTAATATACAGTCAGTATGGTAGGCATTGCGGTTACAAAAAAAGTAACAAGCCAAGACAAATTAACAAATAGTACAGTTGCCTAAATGGAGACAAAGATTTCTATTTTCTATGTCCTTTTCATAGCTTTCGGCTTGAAAAGCTTATAACCACATCCCTAGCCTTTGTTTTGGCAATATAGCCATTTTTCTACAGGTCAAAATTTGCTTGGGTACATTAAGTAGATTCTTATTATTTGATGTTTGGAGTGGCTAGAAAAGTCACACAGATAACTGATGAGAACTCCATTACATGTACCGTTAATTTTAAAAGATAAAATCTCTTCTTTCATTAAGCGGCGACGCCTTCATCTTTTCTTTCACTAAAAATCAGAACTGCCCAATAGGGCTTACAAGAGATTTCCTGGGCGCACTCTTTGAATCCCCAAAGACGCGTAAAGAGACTTTTAGTAGCGGTAAAAAATGATAAGAGCCTAATAGAATCAATGGCAATACAAATAGCAAGCTAATATCATAGCCATCGTACTTGGTCCCATCATAATCGCTATTTTACTTTAAGCACTGTATGTGGGTTTATTTAATTGGTTTTTGTGATCGTACACGTGACCTGTTTTGAATCAAACGGGTGCCTCTTTTTTTTTCCCCTTCACTACTTTCACCATTCGAAATGTCAACAACACAAAATGACATTGTAAACAGTATTTTAGAAGCCATGAAGAGTGGGCAAGGATATAACTCAAGTACTGGAAGGTCCTTGATGTTTCTTAATGCTGTAAATAAGAAAGAGCCGTATTCAACAAGATAACTTATACTTGTTTAGGTTGACTGGACACAGCCTTGGATTATATCGATCATTGCATTTCATATTATATGCTTTATTACGGCTATCTGCTTAAGAAATCATCATAATAGCATATCCATTTATTTTTTTATCCTATGTAAGAAGCAAACAAACAGAAAGATGACGAGTGCTTATTCTTTACTCTTTGTGTAGTGGGCTTTGCTTCCCTTACACAAAAATTAAATTCACTTGGTATGAAATATTGGCAATCATTTTCTAATACTTGCTACTTTGAGCCATCTGGTGTATTTATTGTCAGTGTATATGCGGCTCCTTTACTTGTTAATGCGTTTGTCACCATGGTAATATAAATGAACACAATTGACAACAATCGTATTGATTTAGCTTTTTATAGATGTTGATTATTAAAGCAGTTGCGTCTTTGATGGTTGAGACCAAGAGAAGGCAGCTTCAGCAAAAGATCAAAAAGTTATGATACCCCTACTTTATGTAATAAACCTGGAACAAGCAGATCTACAATGCATCAAAAAAGGGCATTTTGCGTAACATGAACCTAATTAAAAATTCAAGTTTGATGTCCTCCAAGACCCTGTGTTCTGTACTCTAGCGAGTTAAGGGGCAAAAGTCCAGAAACATTCATTTCTTACCATTCATTCTGTGCAACTGAGTACATTTGCGGTAGTCTTATCAATTAGTTTCTATCAGTTGAATGAAAATGCCCACATAAGGAGCTAAAATCTATCCACAGATATCTGTTGTTCAAAACAAGACACCACTATGTTATAACAAGTCTCCTTGTTCTGTATTATTTGTTTATTGGCATAAAACAAGGCAATGGTTAATAGGCATTTCCTCGTGCTGCTATTATGTAAAATGTTACACTAATGATATTTCATAGTATTAACTTTTATTAAACATGCATACATCGTTTAAACGACATCGGTTATTTCGGTAACCCATGGTATTAATTTCAGTGTGGGTCTCATACATGACAAATAAACGGCTCTATTGTAAAAAGTGAATTTATTTGGTGTAACAACAATTGAAGTTTGTATATGTATATAAAAGATGAATTCTGACACTTTTTATTTTCTCATTAAACACAAGCAAGCTCTTCCCATTCATTACAAGTCAAATGTCTCTCCGCACACTCACTCTTATCCTTTCTGCTGTCATCTTGGCTGCTTTCCTTCATACTGTCACTGCTGCTCCTACTTCTTCAGATATTAATACGATCTTGAATGCTCATAACAAGGTCCGCGCAAAGCACCATGCTCCTGCCTTGAAATGGAGCACCAAGTTGGCTACCTACGCTCAAAATTGGTCCAACAGATGTCAATTCCAACATAGCTCCGGCCCTTATGGTGAGAACTTAGCCTTAGGCTACCCTGACTGGAACAGCGTTGTCAATGGCTGGTACAGTGAAGTCAAGAACTACAACTACAACAACCCTGGTTTCGCTTCCAATACCGGTCACTTTACTCAAATTGTCTGGAAGGCTACTACTGAGATTGGCTGTGGTGTCAAGGTCTGCAATAACCTCGGTCGAGGTGCCAAGCTCTACACCTGCTCTTACTATGTTCCCGGAAACATGGTGGGCGATAATGGCAAGTACTTTACTCAAAACGTACTTAGACCTTAAACATCGTGCATTATATTCTGTAAAAAAGGGTTTAATAAAGCGAAAGAAATCGCACAGAAGCGTTCAAACTATATATATCTAAAGAGCTAATAGTACTCTTTGTGGCTCTGGCCACAAATACCACAGTTTCTATTAACGATAATGACCATGTGTTATTGGACATAATAATAACTTAAATACAAGTGCTTTTCTTTTTCTATTTCTCAAAAGTGTGTACTTAAAACACTTTTGTAGAGTATATCATCCATCGTACTTATTACTACTCAGAAACGATTTATATTATTTTAATTAGCTTAATGAATACATATAGCAATACAAAATAAAAAGGCAGAATAAAAATTAAATATCTTATTTAATGGTTCAACACATAGGGGGAATGTCAATTCCGGCTTTTGCCTGTTTTTTCCAACTGCTTGATTGATTCGTAACCAGCATCCTTCTTTTTCAAAGCCTTCATTAATTCTTCATTCCTGATACGGCATTGCTTGTAAATGTTCCTGATCGTCAAGTCCTCAAGATTTGCGAAAAATGAACGCATTTCTGGCAAAGACGTAGGCATACGTATGGATCAGATTTTATGTATTACGTATAAACCTTCTGTTAACAAAGTGGTGACGCAAAATGTTATCTGAAAACCTGTTTTTACAATTTAGTCTATTATTCATTCAGTTAGAGTAAACAATATACTTACCAACTACATGGACTCCCAGTACACCCTTGTAAAGCCCTACATCAATGATATTTTTGCTTAAGAAGCCATTCCTCATGATATCTATAACTAGCAAGTAAGTGTTTGTGATTACAAGCAATATCATTTTATATGAAAGTAGGATGATTGCATGAATTGAGCATAGCGTGTTATATAAGGATAATGTGTTTTGTGATCGGCCTTTTTTATTCTTTCTGTCTTCAAGTAATCCTTTACGATAAGATGAAGTGTTTATAAGGTAACTAGAACAGATATGCTGTTTGCTGTGCAAATTAAATTGCTTACGTCACTTTTTGTGCGAATGCTGTGCAGACGTGCTGTGCTTCTTTCTAAAAAAACGATAGTGGACATATTTCTTGTCTAAGGAGTTTACAATGCCCGAGCGCCGTTGCCAAAGGGGGTTCTTTGGCAATTTGTGCCATTGAGAGCGACTGTTCGGTTGCTTAAGGAAGGGAAGGGGTTTCGTGAGAAGAGCATCATCTGGTAGCCTTAAGGAGCGAAAGAGGAACTGAGTTTGTAGGGTGTATGCCCTCTCTTGCATTGTCGGCAGTCTGGTCATCTGGAGTATCGTCTTCACAGAAGATTGTTGATGACACCAAAGAGGAAGCGGATGCACTTGTTCTGGGCGTCTTCGAGCTGACTATAATTGCGCAAGTTGAAAGAACTAATGGTTAGGCTATAGTCCAGCTGGGCTCGAATGATTTGGGTATAGAATCTGATTGATAGTAGGTGTCCGAAACCCCTAAGGCTCACGCCAATGGCGGTGAGTTGTGCGAAGGTTGTAAGAGCTTTAGTAGTGTTGGCTGTAATGAGGCCAATAGTGCTGATGTGACCACTGGGCTTGAAGAGTGCGCCCAGATATGCGAAGGTTGCACGTCGGGGAATAGCCTTGCCGTACAAACGGTAGTCAATGACATCTTCAGTGGAGTGATTAAGGATTACACATTTGCTTAGTTTTCAGCGATAACCTAGAGTCATGCTATGGGCTTCGCATTTCCGCAAGAATTCTATTATCTTATGCTGGTCGACAATAAGAACTACATCGTCAGTGTGTAGTAAGCAGCTCATCAAGGGAGCTAACTAGATGGGTGAAAGGTCTTCCTGCAGTGAATGAGTGCGAAGTATGAGAACGGTGAAATACAGTCTTTTCAGAAAGTAAAGCCGCATTTTTGCAGTTTTTATAATACAATTTATACGAAAAAGTGATAAGTCAGCGCGACATATCTTTTTAAAAATAGTGTACATCTGCTTGTAATGCTATGCTATTATGTACATGAGTTTCAATTATATGATTAATGATTTTCGTATTTGAATATTCCTGGTCTATGGCCTTTTCAAGTTGTGCATGAAGCGACCGGTTGAGATTCACATAGTTTTTTTGATTGTTCAACGTAATATACTTTTCGTCAACAGCGTTTATTTTTTCATACTCAAAATTACCAAACTCTTTGTTGCATACAATCTGTTTCAGTTCATCAGTTGCATGGTTCACGTGGCTGCCTTGCTTGGTGCCCGTTATGTCGAAAGCGTTGTGCATGCCACGTATGAGGAAACGTTGTTGCCTCGCTAAAGACTGTTCATACAAGTGCATGCTATTTGCTGACGGCTCTTTTATAAATTTCGCGGCCAGATTCTTTTCATCTATTATCAATTGGCGACGCCAAAAGGTATTCGTTTTCGTTAATTCTAAAGCTAAAAAATTTGACAAAATCATCATTTGAGCCCAGTATTTCAACTTTCCATCTTCTGTTGTGTCAAATAGCGATTTAACAGTGGCTTTGTAAGTCTCTTTAGCTACTTCGTGTGTCGAAGCAGGATAATTTCCTTCTAAGAAGAATTCTGGTAGTCCATTGTTCTTCTTGTAATTAGTTGTAAGCCATGATTTCGCGTCCCAAGTCGATTCCATTTTTTGAATTCAGAAAAAAAGAGTGAACACTACGCACACGAGGAAATCCACGAGAGGGCTGATGCTACAGACACTACCTGTAATATCGTCAACAAACCTTTTCAATGTGCAGCGTCACGCGTAATTATGGTGAGACTTCATAAAAGATTATTCCACTGGATAGCGTTAGGTTAGATGGCCACTCTGGCTGTATGAAGTTGTATAGTGACAACATAGGTAGCGCCTAGAAGAAGTGTCTGTAGCATTAGCCTTTTCGTGGATTTCCTCATACGTGTAGTGTACGCCAAAAAAGGCAGAAAATCAAAATGTCCAATAAAATTCACATTCCTCGTTTAATTTCGGTGCCACAGTGGAAGAATATGCCCAAATAAACAGTTTTGGTCAGTGTGCAAAAGTAAATTGAAGAGAGAAAAGCTTTTACAAAAAGAGACAGCGACATTCAGGATTGCGGAAACATGCAATAACATATACTTAAGTGATATACATGGCCTTTGTAGATACTTTGCTTCAAAATTTCAAGATTGTTTGGAAGGAAAACCTTTGTACGAAAATGGCCGCACAAATCTTTTTAATAGTGCCTTGAAATTGTTTCTGTAACTGTACGAATCTTTTTCTTTCAGGTGTACGAAAAACATTCAATAAGTGTGTGAGAAGTTTCTGAAAAAGGTGTATGACTTTACAGTAATTTCAAGTCCTTAACAGAATTACCATTAAAAATTGTAACAAAATGACCACTTTTGCCATATTAACCTTACATTTGTAAAATGCATTTCTTTAATGTATAAATAATGCAAATTGTAGAGAAATGAAAAATATCACATCTTTTATAGATCATATCAGATTTTGAAACAATTTAAATCTGTTACCATTTACGGAACGCCAGAGTCTAAATTTAGTAACTCTTGATTTAAAAAGGGCAGTAAAGAAGCAAGAAGAAAAAAAAAAGAGGGATATGATGAACAATTGCGCCAAATATTGAAAAATATATGCATTTCTTAAAGTTTATCAGTAAAAAAAAAAAAAAAGAGAACAAAGAAACGAATTACACCGAATAAACTCGTGTAAAGTTTCCTGGTTCTGACATTAAAACCTATCAAGGAGAACACAGTTTGTCAAAAAGCTTCTCTTTTTTTTCCTTAAACTTATTGTAAACACCTATACTCCTTCCTTCGTTAGTTCCCTTTACGCTCTTTTCAATAATATACTTTCCTTTTCACTTTCCTTATATTTAACAAATGGTAATCAGCAGCATGGAATGTTCATTATTTGGACTAAAATCTATAGATAGTGTTGTAGTGGCAATGGTCCCAAATGGAAAAGAGAAGTGGTGAAAGATCACAAGTTTGATTATATTGACATTGACGAATTCTATGACCCTTCATGCTGTGGATATTTAAGCTATATAAGCATGTTTATCATCATTTTGAAAGGTTTTCTAGTCTATGTTGCTGACTTGTGGACTGCAGGTGAAAGAAAAAAGAAATAGAAAAATAGAAAAAGAAAAATTGACTTGTGATCTATAGTCTCTTTAATTGTTATCGGTAATACTAGCGTGAACGATGGAGCAGCCATTCCACCTGAGGTATCCAGATGGATTTTCTTGGGTGCAATTACGATATCCTTTATTCTACTCTTCTGGGACATCAGAAAGGCACGAGTGATCATCGAGTCCAGAGACATATCTTACGCATTCACTTCAGTCATTGCCAATCGATGGTACTCGGCCAAAGATTATCGCTACTTCTGTCTGTTTCAAAAAATCAACAATTCTCGAAAACGAATAGACTCGATCGCCTTTTTTGTCTTTTTCACACTCAAAGGTTGGAAGCGACTATTGTTGGCTGAGGCACCTAGACAAGTGATTAACATTGTATCGCTGTATACAATGATTCCCAACTGGATTCAGATTAGACATGGTTTGAAGATCGAAAAGGATGCTTTAGGAACGACAATCATGCAAAAAATGATGACGGGTACTATGGCTTTCTCGGTGATCGTATTTGCCATATCGTTTGTACTAGTATGTATAGCTGCGATCATCTATATTCCCTTGCTCTGTCATATTCAGGGTAATCTGAAAGAATACTGTTGTCATAAAGTAGATAAAAGGTGAAAAAGTAAAAAAGAAAAGAAACGAAAAAGTGGCTGACACGTTTGACAGAATTGCAGAGTTACTTAAAAAGCAAGCACGTAAAAGGGTAGAGAAAAATATGAAGCATGGGCAAAAAGATAACCATCAGCAGCATAATCGTAAAAAGAAAGAGGACATTGAGATGCAATCATTAGCTCAACCTACGCTACCTCAAGTAAATATGGATAACTTGAATAGTGGATACCCACATGCAGCTTATTATTATCCTTCGCCTCAACAGCCTCATGTACGACCGGTCTATCACCATCAAGCATCGAATGATCACAACCTGATGATGCAACCGCCCTATGTCCGAAGAAACAGCCTGTCTTCTGTCAATAGTGACCAAGCTGGACTTATATCGCATGCTCAGGGACAGCCTACATCGTCACCGTTTTATCAGGGTCATAACGGCAGCAATATGTCTATTCACCAGCATTATCATCAACCTCAACCTCATTATCATTCCCAACAACAACAACCTTATATCTATTCTCAAAATCGTTATTAAGTACACCTTCTTAATTGTATCAATAAATACATTTAACCTAAACTAAACGAATACCCGAACTTTCTTTTTTTTGAGTTTGCCTCAAACAGCATCGGATCTTGCAAGTTTGTTTATATTACGATAGCAGGTGCAGCAAAAAAGTGCTCTCATTAAGAGAAAGAGAGAAAGAGAAATGGCTGAGTCAAAGTTATTTTTTTTTCTGGAAAGGTTCTAGAGTGATGGGTAACCTTAATCTCTTAAGCTATACTTTACTCTTTATCCTTTTTTTCATTTAAAGAAAGAAACATAAAAAAAGAGATAAACAAGAATCTTTTGTGTATGTAGATCAATATCGCCTTCCCCTTTTTTTAAAAAAAAAAAGAAACCAGGAATACATAAAAAATAGACTTTCCTTATTTTATCGAGTTGTGTTCTATATTTAATCTGCATAGTTTTAAAAAAGCCTCTTGCTCTCACTTGTCAGATGGTTACCCTGACTACCTTGTTTCACCTTACGCTTGTTTCCATATATAGAAAAATGAGGCACTCGCCTCACCACGCCATCATTTAAAGTTTGAAGAGGCTTTTCTTTTTTTTTTCTTATTGTTATTTTTTTTTCCAGCCAAGCACACACTGATAATCAAACTTCTTTATGCATCAATATGCGTGTGTCTATGTGCGTAGGCGTGCGGGGCTGAATTACTTTAATAAAAATTCAGCCAGAGAAAAAAAAAGACTTCGTTAAACGGAAGTGTGCTAAATAGTTGACACCAAAGCAACTTTTTTTTCTTATTGCCTTAGAATGCCCTTCTGTCTAACTTGTATTCTCAGCCTCCCTCACTATTCCTTCAATGGTTAGAAAAGAGAGCTAGTTGAAATCAACAAAAAAAAAAGATCTTCACACAATAAAAGAGTATGCTTATCTTTTTAGTATTTGTAGTTTCTTTTGTCTGGCTGCATCTATTTTTTTTTTCTGTGAGAAGGCCACGTTGCCATGAAGAGTAACACGAAATGCTTCAGAAATCACTTACTGTGTTATACCGAGTAAGCCGGAGTTGAATCCATCATAACAAAAACCCCATCTTGATTAGAAAAACGAGAAACGAGAAAAGAACATACAAGGGATACCATAGAGGTGTATTCGTTATCTTTGGTTATCGCTCTTTTAATAATAAAATGATTTACACAACTATTCCAAGCTAATCATTTAAAAAATGAAAATGAAAAAATGAAAATGTATCTAAACATTTGAGAAAATGTATACATATCCATTAAGGTTAGTATAGCTATTAATAAACTAGTCTTGTCGCCCCTTTATTTTTCACGGACTTTACCGGGCTTATGAAGAAGAAGAGAGGGGTAAGAAAAAAAAAAGTATGTCACAAAGACTCTTGATAATGAAAAGTGTTTTCAAGCCTGTCAATACCGTCTTACTTTATGAGCTATCAACCATATACCCATTAACCTTTCTGTCATGTGTACACTATTCTTTTATCTCCCAAGCCGCAGTTACTTTATACAATTGCTACTGCCTGCGCAGGAATGCAGCGAAATGACATGAAAAAGTGGATCATGTGTAACCACCGTGCCAGGTACGCTTTAGATACAAGAATTGCAAGTTGAAACAAAGAAAATAATTCTGAAAAGGGAAAAACAGAGTTTCAACTAAAAATCATAATCTATCCCCCTTCACGATACATTTGATCTCATAAAAGGGAAAGAGTGACGCCATTTGTTGGATAATAGGGAAAATATACAAAAGACTATCTATTCATGTGGCTTTACTATTTTTTTTATATATCTCTTACAAGAAGACGGAGGGAGGGATGAAGCATCTTGGCGACTTAAATATAGCACTTCTAAATATTACTACTAATGTCTGCTTAAAAGGATCATATTTATTTTTAGCTGACGAATTAGACACACATTTCTTGGATTTGTGTAAGACTTGAAGCATTTGTCTGGGTCATATGAATGCAAGCGAAGTCAAAAAGAGGGCATCATTCGTGTTACCCGCTATCGGGATTGAATTGGTCACACTTGTCTTTTGAAATTCATATATAAACCCATCATCCCTTGACACCCTTCCTTTTTTTTCTTCATAATATATAAATATATTACCCTCTCTTATACATACACTTATATACATATATTCTTTATATACATATTGAAACCTTATACATATCAATAACACCATATATATAAACACACATCTATATAACAATGAACTCTACGCTCTATCCATCCACCAACGTTTTATCTGCCTTCTCATCTCCTGATCAACATCAAGGATATTTTACATCACTACACCAATTGGACTCTTCCTTACTTGATTTCTTCCCTGACACCAAGATGGGCTCCAACTTTTATCCTAGCCCATGCGATTCTCCCATGGGCAATGAAATGGGTCTTTTGACACCTACCTCAAGCGAATTCCCTGCCTTTAATGTTGCCGGCGGGTTTGACTCTCAAATGCTCATGGTACCTCCTCTTGAACAATTCAAACCCATAGAGAAGCCTATGGAAATCAAGCTCCCTGATATTGACTATCTTGACCAGTTCATTGCCCAGCATGAAGCCGCTCTCTACTGTCCTGAGCTAGAAGAAGACAAAGCATGGCCTCAAGTATCTCGTTGTGCATCACCTGAGCCTTTATCGGATGAGCCCACGGAAGTGATTATCCTCCAGGATAAGAAATCCAACCGCATTACAAAAGCCCCAGGTCGACGCGGTCGTACCAAGGGCGTCAAGAACAAGCCAAAGACGGTTGAAGCTAAATCTGAAACAGAAGAAGCCAAGCCTAAGCCTAAGCGTGGTCCTCTCGAGGGTGTTCTCTATGTCTGTCAACATGATGGCTGTGGTCGATCCTTCACTCGCCCTTATAACTTGACCTCTCATATGCGCACTCACACATCTGAACGCCCTTATGCTTGCTCTCACTGTGGTCGACGATTTGCTAGACAACACGACCGCAATAGACATGAGAAGTTACATTGGGGTATCCGTCCTTACGCTTGTCATCATTGTCACAAGTCCTTTGCTCGTATGGATGCTCTGAACAGACATCTCAGAATGGAAAATGGCTGCACTGCCATTCATGTATAAACTGTTACTCTTTTGCATATTGGTATTTATTGTATTTTTATTTGGAAACAACATATATTCCTTCCTTATACCTTATCCCCTTCTTATCTTCACATTTATATATATATATCTCTTTTTATATTCTTAGTCTGCATTCCTGTTTGTAAATAATAATAAAAAAAAACTTTACTTTTTTGTTCCTTAATCGATTTCGAATGTCCTATTTTTTTTTGCAGTTGTACAAATGGCTCTTTCAAACAGTGCTTCAATTGAGGCTGCTGTGGTGGCTGTAAAAAAAAAAAATAACAGCTGATGCCAAGTGTGGCTATGAAAAATATAAATATACTTGATGGAGTTGTTTGGATAAAGACAGATCGTCTAGCGACTATAAAAGGAAAATTCTTGATCCCATATGCATAGAAAAGTCAAAAAGATGATATTGATGTCCCAAAAAAAATTTTTTTTTTCAAAGAAAGAATGCTTGTAAATTGAATTGCCGGTCTCATCATCACTTTCTTATCTATAGAGGTTATGAAAGGGGAAAGTATTTTAAAAGAATGTCTTTTGTGGATCTCATAGACTTACGTAAGCCACTCGTTTAATTCCATCATTTAGGTCCTTTAGTAACAAACAAAGAAATCGCTGACAATAAAAATTCTTGCAGCTGGTGAGAATGGAATAGATCTATCAACGTCACTCCCCTTGGGCAATCGAGTAGTAACACAATTGAACATCGATATCGTACCCAAAAGATGATAACTGGGAAAAAGATTATGAGCGCAGAGTTGTACCTGTAACACTGCTCTCTTTGGATATTGAGATCCAAAAAGGTGTTTGCATAAAAAAGAGTGGTATGAGATATCTCTATATCTGTTTCCTTGTAGGCTTAATTTTCCGCGTCTTATCATCAATAAATCCGATAAATTACACGCAAAGAATGATAGCGTAAGTTAAATAGGCAGGCTAGTAACAAGATACACTCCGCTCGTCATTCTTTAGATATCATATCAAAAAGAAGGTTATCTATTACTATTATCTTTCTTTAAAGACAAAATGAAGGCTAAAAACTTTTCTATTATTTACGTTGAATCAAAAAGAAAGAGAGAGAGAAAAGTGAAGAGAGAGGGAAAGAGTTCCTTAAATACATTTTAAATTAAGATTAAAGTTTATGCACGTCTAAAAAGAACAATTTGGAGCCATTTCTTTGATCTAGCGCAACTCCGCTGAATTCGGGACAAAGCTCTAGATGCAAAAGGAAGGAGGAGAATGGCTCATTTATGGTAAGCCTATCACGATTACTTCACAGGCACATTATTACCAAGGTACCGCATCAGCAAATGAAATGCATCTAAAGGAAAGAGCTGTTTTACAATAAACATATGACTGCCCGTCGTCTTCTTATGCGGGAATACAAATGAAGGAACGGGATGTCAGGCCATGTCAAAGGGATCATTAGGCGATTCTGCTTGCCTTTCTTTTAGTTATTTCTATTGGCTGATGTAGATAGTCGTCAGACTTGAACTATTCCGCAAAGGAGAAATCGCTTTCTTGTTTGAACTCAGTGTAATAGATCTGTTTTAAAAATTTTTCAAAAAAAAAAAAGAAGCCGGCTTGAGCTCTTTTTCACAAGAAGTGGAAAAAGAAGACGGATAACTATGGCTGCATGAGATAGCAGATGATATCAGAGAACATAATCATTGAATGGCTCTTGAACCGCAACTGATCCGGCGTCAATGTCCCTCTTCATTTTACCCCTTTTCTTGCTTATCCTCCTCTTTTCTCTCTATCTTGAAAGTAGTTACACTACAGACTCATTTTAACAATTGTAGCACAGCAGCGATATCGGTGCATGAGAAAAAAGACCAAAATAAAAGCCAAAGTCCTCTATGATCGAATGTTCATTGGTTCAAGTATTTGACGTCTTTTAGTTTGGTTGCACTTCCCAAAAAAAAAATCTATCACAGCAACTGCTTTCAACAGATCTTTAAATTCTCTCTTTTTTTTTTCTTATTTCTTTTTCATATCTTTATATTTCTTTCTCCACTTCTTTAACCCCTTTTTTTTTTTACCCACACCAGTCCTTCTTTTAAAACACTACCGACATTCAATCCTTATCAACAATGAATAAACTTCAATGGTCCACTGAATATCTCACCAACGAATACCCTACTCAACCTTATCCCGCCCCTTCAAAACTTGATCAAACGGGTTTGATGTATCCTGGTAAGTCTTTTTTTTTTGTGTGATTCATAAAACTAAATTGTGTTTGGATAGTATCTCCCTTTTATGCGTCTACAGTCACTACTTCACCTTCGTCCTCGCCTTTGTCCTCCAGTAGTGGCACCATGTATGGACCTGAGCCATTTGTTGCTTCCAGTCCTCCCTTTGTAGGTAGTCCCGACAGTTTAATGTCTGGATTTGCTTCAGCACCCATCTACCATCCTCCCCCTCTTGTTCAATCTACTTCCAGCTCTACCATGAGTAGTACAAGCAGCGCTTATCTTAACGAAACGATTGCCAAGGCCTCTGCTTTACCTGAATCCTTTTATCCCGAGTTCCTTCAGTACTCTAAAGAATCATTTGAACAGCAAGCCGATGCTACCAATAGCAACAACTGTTCTCGTAAGCAAAGTCCTTCCAAGAAGCGTGCTAGAGAAGAAGATAACAAGAAAGAGGAAATGAGTGACAAGCGCTCCCGTAAGCAAAAGTCAGAGTAAGTATACTTATTTTTTTTTTGTATTCTTGTGTATACTCATTGCGCGTGTGCGCACAGCCAAGATAGCACGGATACCAATGTTAGTGAGCTTCGACGCCAAATCCATATTCAATCGGAGCAAAAGCGCCGGGCTCAAATTAAAGATGGTTTTGAGGATTTACGTAGTGAGTTGCCTGCTTGCTTAAATAAGAAGATGAGCAAAGTCACTTTGTTACATCGAAGTAAGTATAAACAAATGATGAATATATAGCTCTAACATCTATTATAGCTGTTCAACATATTCAACATTTAAAGAGTACCCAAATGACAATTTTGGCTGAGCTCGAACGTCTCGTTCAAGAAAATGAACAACTCAGAAGGTAATTGTGATTGGGATACTATTTCTGCAAGTATATTAACCCGTTTTTTTTAGTTTCCAGCAAAGTGTATTACAAAAGCAAGCTCTTGAAAACATGTACTCCATGTAATCTATCTTGCCACATCCAACTCTATGAATACCTTTGCATTCTCTTTATATATTGAATACCCCCTTATTTAAGAGCACAACAGTATAGCACCTCTCTCTTTTTTTTAATGGAGAGAGAAAAAAAGTCAAGCTTGCATTTACCACTAATATCAGCACCTTTATATATATGTGTATATGTATACTTATATACCCATTTCTTTTATTATTACCACACTAATATAGAAGCAACAACAATTTCCCACCTATGTAATTTAATAAATTTATGAAATCTTTACAATCTTTGATGATATGAACCAAAAATAACTTTTTCGTATTTTTGAGTGGTTGATTTTATTGATAATGTATACTTTAGGGTAACCTTGTGGGCAACACAGTGCTACCTCCCCCCGCAGTGTTCCCTTGATTCTTAAAATGACTGAATGTCTTTTTTTTAGTACCTTGTTCGCATTTTGAATTATATGCAAATAAAAAAAAAGTTGTTTATTGTCGAAAAGAAGAAGAGGAGAGGGAGTAGTAACACACATACATAAACATTAAGGTATACTTTGTATTTTAAAATACAACTAATTACTGTGACTGACTGCTGTTGTTATGGCTAGGAGCAAATTTGACAGCGAGAACAATGATAATAATGATGATGATGACAAGAAAGATACCCAAACAGATAAACTTGTTTCTACGTGTAGACAGAGCCGATTGCTTGGCCTTTTCGATATACTGAGTACCTGCTTCTAACTGATTGGTTGTTTCGATTGCACTTGTCTCGATCTGATCCAAGACCTTGGCTTGGCTTTCGAGCATCGACTGCATTTCCTCAAAGAGAACGGATAGTTCCTGGACACTCTTGGCCAAACGACGAATATCCTCATGACGTTCCTGAACGGCATCCAACGTGTTTTGTGCCTGCTGGCGTCTATACTCACCACCGACGGACTGCATGAGTTGCTGGGCAAAGACAGCGCCTCGTCCTTGCTCGGCTTGAGCGATGGCCTGTTCAATTTCTTGAGGTGTTGCATTAGGATTAGCAATCTTGATCTGACGCTCGAGTTGCTGACTCTCTGCCTTTTGAAAATCAATGGCTACTCGACGATGATGTTCGATAGCATCCATGAATTGCTTGGTCACCGCACTGAATGTGTTCTTACGCATCGCAAGGTCGGTGTGACGAGACGTGGGTTCGATTTCCTTGAGTCGCTGTTTGACTTGAGTCATCAAGTTTTGTGTTTCGGTCGAGAGATCGTCTACGGCTTGTCGATTGCGTGCGAGATCAGATGCGTCTGCTGTTTGAAGCATACTCGTTTGATAAGACTTTATACGATCGACATTATGATTGATTTGTGTGATACTTTCTTTGATGTGTGATATTTGGTCAAGAAAACCTTGGACACTGCTGATGTCTCCTTGAGTTGATAACAAGGGACGCATCTCGTATCCACTTTGCTGTTGTTGTGGCACTCCATGGTTTGTGTTGCTATGAAGTTCAGCAAGTCTATTCACACTCATAATAATAACAAAAGTAAGAAAAAGGAAAGAAGAAAGAAATAAAAAAGGGGGGCTTCAAAAAAATATATAAAATGAGGCTCATCCACCAATGAAAATCATATTTATTTTAATCAGTTTCACCAAGACTTTGTAAACCTTTCACCACTTTCCAAGAGGCCGACAGCCAATTTTAAGGCAGACTCAATATTTTGATTCAGTATGCCTTGATGCTCGTCTCTTCTCGTCTGTGAATCTTCCAGTAACTGTTTTTGTTGCTTTGAGTGGGTATTGATGATGATGGGTAACTGTAGTAGAACTTTGCATATAGTAATAGATAGTTGCATACGTTTCCATACTGCAAAATAGGATAGCTGTCTTAGTTCTTGTTGTAATTCATATAACCTCATCAGTTCAAACTGTATAACTTTGTAATATTGGTGAGTGGCTAACAAGAGATGAGTCATTGAAAGGGATGAAGAGGGGGGAGTAAAGGTTATGTACACTGAAATAACTCTCTCATCTTTCGAAAGGCAAGTTCAATATGAAGTATAGCATCCTCTGTGATGTGCATACCAGGATTTGTTTCGTTCAACGCATCTGAAGAATCATATGATAAGCATTTTTAGTATGATTTTTTTTTTTTTTTTTTTTTTACGTATAAAGGCTCTTAGTGTTTGAAATTCCCCTTCGAGCATTTCATTAAATAACTGTATATAAAAAAGATAAGCAACCATCAACAAGCATATCTACTTTACCTGATGTAAAACTCGTTGTAATGTATCGTTTGAATTATTATCATCGGATGCAAAGGATGATGATGTGTAGGGAATTCCTTTTTGTTTAGATAAATCATAAACTAACTTGGTTGATGGGTTGATTAAGGTTTCGTAGGCAATAGATAAGACTTTTTATATATAAATAAGAAAGGGGAGAGCATTGGTGCATATATTAATTTCAACTTACTTTGAAAGCTTTCTGTTGCTCGAGGATAAGAAGGTACAAATTTGTCTGGATGACAGACTCTACTTTTCTGTTTTAATATGTATATATATATATATATCGTCAGCCCACACATGTGTAGAGTGTTTATGTGTGTATACTTTGATATAAGCTCTTCTTATTTCCTCTGATGTAGCATTCCTTTTAATTCCAAGGACATGATAATAATCTGACGCAGATAAGATCTCTTCTACATAACGATATTTGTCTTCCTTTTGCTGTTGTTGCGGCGGTTGACTCTTATTGATAAATGGCATGAATTTGGATAAGTAAAAGAAAAAGACATTTAAAAAAAAGAGAGAAAAAACAGAAAAAAAGAGGGTTGTTTAAGGACAAAGAGAATAACATGTGAAAATAGAATGTTGATACAAATTTACTATAAACAAAAAAAAAAAGAACAAGAAAATTAAATCTTTTGCATAGCAGCAACATCGACGGATTGAACATAGTCTTCCAAAGCAGTGATTTGGTCAGTCAAATCATCCAACATGACCTTATCATCTTCAACAACACAGTTGATTTGAAGCTTTCTGATACCGTAACCAATAGGGACAAGTTGGTGACCACCCCAGAGGAGACCATCCATGGTGATGTCCTTGACACCCTTTGTCATGGCATCCATATCAGTTTCATCATCCCAAGGCTTGATTTCAAGAGTGATGGTGGTCTTTGCAATAGGCTTAGGCTTGGCAGCCTTCTTAGCATTGTATTCAGCAAGACGTTGAGCCTTGATTTTTTCAGCTTCTTCATCAACTTCTTCATCGTCAGAACCGAAAAGATCAATGTCATCTTCATCTTCAGCGGCGGCGGCAGGGGCAGCAGCAGGAGCAGCACCTTCCCTATAAAAATACAACGTTTAATCATGCTGCTATATTTGTTTTTCATAAAAAATATTTACTTGGCAGCTAAACCCTTGACAGCAGCAATGTGAGAGTACCATCTGGCCAAGTGAGGGTAAGCTTCAGCAGAGACACCTTCAGTCAAGGCATTGAAGACAGCGACATCAGCATCAGAAGCTTCGACACTGTGTAAATGACATTAGATCTATTCCCTTATCTCCTATTTTAATTGCTTTACCCCTTAACGTAAGAGACGTTTTCAAAGTAGCTATCGAGAATCTTATAGGCCAAAGGAGCTTCAAGAGTGAAAGACATTTTGTGTTGTTAAAGAAGAAAGAAAAAGAAAGCGAACCAGAAGGACTCAAAAAAATTTTTTTGCTGGAAATTTTGTCACACAGACTTTAAAGCAAAAACATAAATAAAGCATTGTCTAAGCCACTTTTTTATTTATTTTTTTTAGCAGAGAAATGATTTATAAACCAGGTTGTCCGTTTCTTCTTGATATTGGTATCCAATTCTATGCAAGTATTCATTAAAGACAGTATAATCTTCTGGAGGCACTTGTACACCCAAGAATATCTTGCCCATATCTACACAAAAAGTTAAAACAAAAACACATAACAAGAAAAAGAAACGTACCATCGCCGTGGTTACGGTAGTGAAACAGGGACACGTTCCACCTTGTATCAATTTCGACCAAGAACTTCATCAGCGCACCTGGTCGTTCAGGGAATATAAAACTAAACACACGTTCGTTCTCAGGTCGACGACCGCCCACCATATATCTTGCGTGTGCCTTGGCTAGCTCATTATCACTAACGTCGAAGCCGTGCATGCCTTCTTTACGCCAGTCCTCTAGCACCTGCTTGATTTCTGATTCTAGATCCTTTACTTTAAATGACACGTAGATATGAGCCTTTTCAGGATCATTGTATCTGTAGGAGAATTCAGTGATGGCACGAGGATAGACAGCATTGATCATTTTTTTGAAACTGCCTGGTCGCTCAGGAATGATAACCGTGCAGAACGCTTCCGTCTTTTCACCTAATTGAGCACGTTCAGCAATAAACCTCAGACGATCAAAGTTGACATTGGCACCAGAGACGATAGCGACGTGTACATCATGCTTTGTTTCAGGATACATGCTGATATATTTCTTAGTAGCGGCCAGCGCTAGTGCACCTGTTGGTTCACAAACCGATCGAGTATCCTCAAAGACATCCTTGATAGCAGCACAGATTTCATCATTATTCACCAAGACGACTTCATCAATGAGACTCTGAGCTAAACGGTAAGTCTCTTCGCCTACCATACGCACGGCTGCACCATCCGCAAACAGACCCACTTCGTCCAACACGATTCGTTTTTTCTCTTTCAGACTTTGGTCCATTGCGCACGCATCAACCGCTTCGACGCCGATGATTTTGATATGAGGTGCGATACGTTTCACATAGCTGCCGATACCTGCGATCAAGCCGCCTCCGCCGACAGGGATAAAAATAGTCGAGATCTTGCTCACGTCGTGCTGTCGAAGGATTTCCATACCAATCGTGCCCTGTCCTGCGATCACATAGGGGTCGTCAAAGGGCGGAATATCCTTTAGGTTCTCCTCTTTGGTCAGTCTGGCACACTCCTTTTTTGCTTCATCAAAATCCAGACCATGCAGGATGACTTCTGCTCCCAGACGTTGGACATTACGCCACTAGATATGTATAAGTAACGGAAGAAAAGAACGAGTCATGATGTTACCTTGATAGCCGGTGTAGGCAGTGGCATGACAATTTTAGCTTTGATGCCCAACTTTTTCGCAGAAATGGCAACACCCTGAGCATGATTACCTAATATTTATAAGTTCATCTGTTCTCTAGTCCTGTTCTATCCCCATTTTATACCAGCAGAGCATGCAATGACACCATTCTTTTTCTCTTCTTCTGTTAAATGTGCCATGCGATTATAAGCGCCACGGATCTTGAACGAAAAGACTGGATTAAGATCTTCTCTTTTCAAGTAAATTTTGGAGTTCAGCTTCGAGTTCAAATTGACCGCTTCCTGCAGTGGAGTCTCTTGGATGATATCGTAAACACGAGCTGTCAAGATCATACGAAGATAATCCGGTTGATCAGGTGTTGAAGCGTTGTCCATTTTTTCTTGTTCAAAAAAAATAAAGAAAGAGAGAGACAGAAAGAGTATTATGATTTGACAGCTTTTTTATTATCAAAAAATTATGACTCAGTGAAATTTAATTGGATCCAGTATAGATGAGTCAGTTCATATATTTCTTGAGGATTTACGTTTCCATTCGATGACACTACTACTACTTGTAGTTGTCATGCTGTTTGTATGCTGATGGTGTTGGTAATCTACGCCAATTGTGATTTCAAATCTTCCTTTTTTTATGTAGGTATCTGAGTGCCGAGAAGGTATATTTGATTTTAATTCATGCATGATAGGTAACTCACTGTTGTTGGTATTACTAGTCGTATTATTATCATTATTATGCTTTTTTGGGTGTTTCCAGAATTCTGAATCCCAGATCTTTATGTTATTAGGGCTGATGTTGCTAGTAGTACTATTACTAGTACCACTAGTACTAATCGTATCATTACTATGTGTTGTCATCGAACTACGGTTGCTATGGTTACTAGAACTATGGCCTGCATGGATACTAGTACTGCTTAATACTGTAGTATAATGACTATTACTAATCACAGAGCTCTTTTTACAAAATGTACACTTCTTCTTTCTATATTGTTCTTCCTCCTCTTCGTCTTCGGATAAAATTCGAATACCAGCAATCTCTGCAAATTCTTTTGCCGTTAAATCTTCAGAATTTACGGTTATATTGGATGCTGATATACAAGATACATGTGAATAGTGGCGAATATGCTTTGGTTTTTTTGCGCATGGAACCAGAATGGCTGATTGTGTTTGATCAGGATTTAACAGGATGCTTCTACTCGCCTGCTTTCGCTTCTGCTTTTGTTGGTTGTATCGGTTATGTTCAAATGATGCATCATTGTTAAATTTTTTCGGCTTTTTAATCGTAAAAAATGAGCCATGGATGATTTTATTAAATATTACATTTATAGAGTTGCTGCTTCCTTTGTTTGACCTGTTTCTTTTTAGTGAAAGAAAACTGTTTACCATGCAATAAGGGAAAAAAAAAAAAAGAATGCACAAGCTAATAAAAAGGGGAATATATAAAAATAAGGCGAAAAAGGAGAAAAGGGTTTAAGGGTAAATATATCTATGAGGAATAAAAAGAAAAGATCTAGAAAGAAGGATATATAATATGTACTTTTTTCATTTGGAATATGCAGAAGTATTATTTATTGACACATAAAACGTGTTGATGAGAATAATAAAAGGGGGAAAAGAGAAGGAAGAAAGAAAACTAGGTTTGCATAAACTTCGGTTTGTTTTGCCTCTTTCTTTATGCACCGAAAAGGTAATTGGCATTGACAGTGTATTGAAAACGGAAATACTTGGCATTCTTTAAGATAAGTGATATATTTCATTCTGAAAAGATGCAATGAATAAAATATCTTGTTTTGGGGAGCAATTAAAACAAAAAAAAAGAGGAGAAAAAGATAGCCTAAAGAAAAGTGCCCTAAGTTCCAAGGGCCAAGTGGTCATAGTGTCTATCATAAACTCATTGACAGTTAACTATTAGTCCATTGTATATAGCTTATAAAAGAAATGTCGAACTATAATCATACTTTATTAGGATACATCCGTAACTACATTACATAGTAAACAATCAATACATCACCTCGATGTGGCTTTTAAGTGTATATTTACTGATATTCCACATTGCAAAAGTGATGGTCTACATTTCTTTCGTTTCCTCTTTTGCTCTTTCTAATCTTTCATTGTTTAGCTTTACAATGTCAAAGAATATGCCTATGAATTCTAGGTTTCTTTATCTTTTGTATCCAGGTAAAAAAAATTGATTCAGTCGTACCACCGGTAAACAAGGTTATGGAAAATGCTTGGACCATAAGAATGCATAAATTCATATACCTGCAGAACATGCTATTTCAGCCATCAATTAAAACGCGCTTTGATGTCAACAACAGCTTCACCCTGGATGATCGAGAATGAATGGCAAAAATAACTTGATTCTAGATTAAAGCCCTGCCTCGTTGTCATTAACTTTTTTTTTCTCCTAATAGTATAATCAAAATTCCATTTATGTGCTCCTTTGTGCTGATGAAGAGAGTATTCTAAAAGAACAAAGTAGAAGCCCTCGACGGCATACTCATACATAGCCTGGGTTAATACCGTGCCCTGTTATGAATTGATCCATGCATGTACATAAATCAAACATTTGATTCTGGGTCTCCATGTAGTGATTTTAAGAATCTGTGGGCACTCAATCCATAAAAGACGAGCGCCAGTTAGTAGTTTTTCCATGTTACACGTATGACAGCTCTCACATTACCTGATTTCGTTTTAGTACTAAACTGCATATCCTTATCCGCTTTTTTCTTTCTGGGATACGCAGAGATGACCATCTTATGTTCAAGTTCACATGACCTTTCAAGTCGACTTTTCCAATAGTAGCATAGAAGTTTAATGCTTCTAAGAAATGTTCTATTCTACTCTTCTTTCTTTAAAAGTAGCTTGCATCTGTCGTTGTCTGTTTCAAGAGTGCGTTAATGAAACTAAGTTTCTCTTTAAACACAGTACCAGTGTTTCCTTCTTTGCTCATCAGTACAAACGGTTGATTTATCCATTATATGTACATCCCTTGTTCAGGGCTTTATGTTAAAAGTATACACACCAAAACGTTGAAAAACGCAATGAAGGCTAACATTTGGAGCAGCGTTTATTGAATAAATATAAAAGTATTTCTTGTACCATTTCTGATTTTATTTCTATTTTATACTTTACCCTTTAGCCTTAACCATATGCCTTCATAAGAAGGAGTTGCATGACTAAATGTGTAACAGATAAATATCTTGTATTTTAATGGATCCTCCGCAACGCTTAAACAAGCGTTTACCTTACTTTAATCCCTTCTTCCATTTTTACTTGAATATCATCATGTCATTTTTGCTAATTGCTTATTGATGTATCGTGTTTAGCTTTAGTATTTGAAATAGTCAGTTAAGTCGATGACTTGCAAAGCGAACTCCTATTAAGGAGTGTTGAAAAATTATTAAAATAGAAGAAGACATGAGAACATCTTAGAGTCAAACAAAGTATCTTTTCGAGTACTGACAATGGTCTTGTAACGATGATAGAGACTGATGATTTCAACATGGATAGGTTCAAGTTTCACCTTAAGCTTTACATTAGATATTCTGATTTACAAGATGCTTCTAAAGAAGGTAACATTAGCTTTAATATATTACGATATGGCTTTACTGATACTATCAATATACTATAAAAGCCCAACTAACCGAACAAGGCTTTGAAGCATCGTCATTCATGCAGCTACCAAAGGCATATAAAGTTCATGCGCCTGAAATTGACTACAAGAGTGATGACCGTCCACTTTGAAAGAAGCTTGAACGTGTAAAAAAGATGGCCGTAAGAGGACGGCAAGTACAATAAATTGAAGCTAGCCTAAGCCAAGATGACATGCCTCGTGCTAAAGACACCGAGACTCGCTACGGGAGCTTTACTACTCTTCACAATAGGTCAAGCAAAAAAAAAAAAGAGATACGACCTACAGAAATGTAGATACGTCAGCAGACGTTTCTCGGATGAGCGTCAATATGTGCCATCGTCCAAAAAGTGAAGGCCCACTATGTTTGTGTGATTGCCATGGCTTAGGTATAGATTGGTAAATCAAAGAATACATGCGTTATGGTGGCTATTGGAAGCCTATTAAGCATATACTCTGTACACCTCTGTTTGTATAGTACAACATAACACAAACATGTCTATATTGTTTCAAAAAACTGTCACATCCAATATAGACTACATATAAGAATGGTGTAAACCGATTGAAAGCGATCAATGGCGACAATCCCTGCTGTGTCTCCGTCAAGGCTAAAATGGCAATAAAAAGGAAGAGATATCTTGCCCGCCGTGGCTATATATCTTTCAATCCAACGCTGGTGGTTTAAAAAGCAATATCGCTTCTTTCTCTGAACAGAAGTGAAAGATTGGTCTGTTATTGATGACAGTAATATTTGTTAAAGGTAAACTTGTGGTATTCTGGTGAAATTAAAGACGAAAGATTCAATGGGAAAAAATATGGGGAAGCTTATTTCTAATAAAATTAGACCAAGACTTCAACTGCTAAAAGATCCGCCGTATTTATACCAAATAATAACCTAGAATGAGTACAACGTGAGATATTGTTACTTATTAAACTATCCTGACAGATACTTCCACAATTGAACAAGTTTCCCCTTTATGGGTTCTTTTGTCTGCTCGTTAGAACTGATTTAAGGACCCATTGGCTCAATTCAATTGATTGTGCGAGAGTTATTACTCCTCCTGTACCTCTCTGTACGTGAGTATTTTTCCGGCTGTACCAAAGCGCAGCTTAAGTGAGAACTAATAAGCTAATAAGGAAACTATTTGTGTGCTATGATTGGAGTTAATGAAAAGAAAAGCTGATATTCGATAACGTATAGATCCAGCTTTTTGTTTATAAAATCCCTGAACCTACATTTATCTCAAGTAAGGGAATAGTGACTAAAGCACCTATTATTACTTGTTTGTGGAGCCTTACGCCCTACATGTACGTGCACTGAACCCACTATATATCCATTACTCCATATATAGCATTTAGCTAGGCGATAATTTGTAACAATACTTTATATGATATCAACTATTCTAGATCTTATCTAAATTAGCTACGCTCACACAAAACTTGATATCATTATTATATCATGCTTTACTGTCTAGTATTATATTGGATGAGCTTCTTTATTGATGTTTATCAAATATGTGACAGCATATTTGTTCAACAAAGATTATCATCAGTTAACTTATCACAACACGATCATAGAAAATAACCTGTAGACGGTGTACTTTCACTAGATTGTATGACACTTCAAGAGTAAACTTTTATTGTCTGCATTTTACTATTTATCAAGTTACTCAATATGTTAAATATAGACTTCAGTGTAACTGTATTGTATAGTATATCTCTTCAAATACAACAAAACTTTCAAGTATAGAAACACAATACTGAGAGGGTAAATGAACTACGAGTCTCAAAATTGAGACACAACAGATGCAATTAGTAAAGCAGTCAATTATTTGAAATAATTCCTTTTTTTCACTTACAAAATATCAAATATTCAAAGTATTAAATATTCGTTATTGTGAAGCAACCAGTACAAGTTAATAAATTATCAAAGAAGACTTACCTTTCAAGAGGTATTACTGTCATCGATAGCATGCATACCTTCGTTTGCATTAAAGAAAGAAGTGGCATTCACTTTAAATTTATCAGTGTTGGATTGACTGACTTCTGGGTCGAATTGTGGGAAAGTTGCACTAAAAAGGAGTGTTGCTAGACCTGACAGGCCTATTGTCATCGCAGACACGGTGTCCCGTCTTTTCACTGCTTTTTTTTTTTTTTTGCTTGAACAGAGACACAACTTGGGTTCTCACAAGCAAATGCGCCATTAACTGTTCTTAGTCGATTTGTTCCGTTTCTATCAACTGTTCGCACTGGATGTGATAACTTATTGAAGCAGTATACATGTTTGAGAGGTATTATGCTCATTTGTTATACATACAGTTGTATAAAGACTGTGCTTCTTCGATTTCCAGTGGCCACTGTAGCGTATGAATCCTTTTATTCGTGAGCCTACACTTAGACCGCGGTCACCGACAAACATGATGGGTCTCACGCATTTGACATCATATGCTGCAAATCGACGTTCCGCTGAGCAAAGCCTAGCGAAATATCTTCGTTTTTGCAATTCATATCTCCTTTTTTACTTAGCTCACTGTGGTGGAAAGCAGAAACCCCGCAAAATATCTCTGTGTTCAAGGTATGTATTGTAGATCAAGATTCACCATCCGTGTCACAATGCGACCATTTTGGTGGAATTGGACTAAATTTTACTCAGGCCTATTCGTAAAAACTTCACATAGGCAAGTTGGAGATCAAGTTTTACAATTTAATCAAGCTATTATCACAAAGAATAAGCCAAGAAAACTTCTGTTTAATTGGTACGGACCTTTTACAGTAACAAGCATTAATTCAAGAACAACTTGTGATCTCAAATATCGAGATAAGAACAAGTTGGTACTCAGCGTACACATTTCAAAACTTAAGAAATTCAAGACAATCAAAGAAACACTGTCTAACTAAATATCTTTTATTCATTTATCATTTATTAGTATATGTGTCAATCTTCACAAGAAAGTGTTTACTACAAGATATCTGACCTTAAATAAATAACAGTCGTTACACGCCATCTTCGAACTTGCAAGCTCATAAGACAAGGCACAAGTATTGCTAACTGTCACCTTCACGCTGTGAATTGACAGTAGCTTTAGTTTAACGGCTAGATGCTACATTATGGATAGTCGATTAGATGAAACGAGGGCATGACTACAGGAATTAAAGCGATGACAAGCACGGCTAGTTCCATTTCAGTATATCGCACAAGAGTTCCGTAACTAATGGAACTTGCTCTTTTTCTCTCAAATTTTCTAGATAATCATTTCTTAATATATTTAAACAACATAATCAGATTTCCAAACCTTTTCTTTAAAATTATTTTCTCGAATCACTTTCCATTCTTCTTGCTTGGCTAAATATGCCTTAATAGTGTTCACAGGACGATGAGTCATATTTTGAGTAATGATCATTTGGTTACTATAGTACACAGCTAAATTGTTGTCAACCATGCGCTGAACGCCTTCATCATTGACAGTAAGCCGATTGTTCATTTGGTTATTCGTGTTAAACTAAAGTATCAATGCATTATTTAGAAATACTTAAAAAAAAGGCATAAGGATAAGACTTACAGATGAGTCTTTGTAGGTTATTACTACGATAACTTTCAGGATATTTTTTATTTTTAGGCTGACAGACTAAAAAATACTTTTTCAAAAAGGAGATCTGCCAAAGCCTTTCGAGTTCTGACAGATATTTTTTTGAGTCAAAGTTGAGTCTGAAGGTTCAGATACTGCGCATTAATTATCCCTATTTCCATAATGAGCATTTTACTTTGTCTATTTTCTTTGTCTGCCTCCTTTTTAGGACCGACACTCAATTTACCTTATTAGTATTGTAGTGTATTAGTAATTAAGCCTATGCCAAGCCTTGATTCAACAAAATTATGATAAGGAAATAGGATAACAAGTGTTACTCCAAAAGGCTTATGTAAGTACTATTATTAATCGCTGTCATTCATTTCTCTTATCACTGATCTCGTGAGAGAGAAAGAGAGAGAGATATGTTACATAAAGAATCGTCAAGTGGTCGTTTTATGATAGTAAACAAAACTTATCTTCTGAACCAATAACAAGATTATGCACTCTTTTGAAACAGAAAACATCTTCTCTTCTTGTCGTTCTACTACATTTTCAACTAGACATGATGAAGATCATACTAGAATAAGTAAACAAATATGCAAGCTGGCTATCGTGAGAGACGCCATAAAAGCTATCGTTTTCAATTGAAAAGTTACATGCTATATACATTGACCACGTATTGACAGAGAACGACTTCTTCAACATCATTCCAAAGTATAAGGATATGGAATACCTAGCTTAGCCCACCTAAACTATTCCATACATGGAGTTTGACTGCATTCTTTTTACTACTGTTGGAGATAGACTTGACGTACATATATTCGATAATCTATCAATGAGTAAATGATTTCCACATTTATCATTGTTTTATATATATACTTTCTTCTTACTGGCGTCCTAAGCATAGACAAAACAACCTTACACGTGTGGATTGTATTGATTGCCACGAATTCCTTACACTTGCTGATTAGACATTTTTCCTACAAAAGACGTGATGCAGTAGTAGTAGTTGTTGCTGTAGTGGTAGCAGCCAGAGAGTACCAAGAGGCTCTATGTTTTTTTAGAGGAACAAAAGGTATAGTGAAAGAGTAAACATGACTGTGAAGGAGCTGCCTTGCATTTTTATTATGAACGATGAGTAAAAACAGCATTCTCTTTCTCCCAAATAACTATTGCTTTATTGATGGATTATAGAATTAAAGGTCATATTGTTTACAAATAATAGAATTAGCGCATCAACATCCATAAACTAAGGTTTACACTTGTACGATGCTCAGTCTCTTGCATTAGCCTTTTTTTAATATTACCTTGGGGAATTTAACTTTTGTTTTGTAATTATGTATAGACAAGTCTCAACAGTCTATTGACAATAGAATGGTCAAAAGAAAAAGGGAGATGATAATGTCACTTTTAACATTAAGAAAGGGTAAATTATGACACTTGGTGATATGTGTCTCATTCATGATTAAAAATTACTCGAACATTTTCTGCAATTTTTTGATTGGCTAACGTGACACCATTGTTGCGTATAAATCTGGCGAGTATTTCCAGTACAGCATTCAAATCATCGTTACCGATTATTTTCAAGTACTTTTCACCATCAAACATTTTTTCAATTGACTTGACACGCAAAGAAATAGTCGCGTTTGCATCTTCGGCTAATGAGCCAGTATGACTTTTAAAATCAGTAAAACTAAACTTATCTTCGCCCGCAATCACTCCTCATGCTACTTCCCCTTAGATACTTGATGCGACCCTTGCCTCTTTGCTAGAAATATGTTTGCAGTCCCGAGCGGTGAAAACAGCCATAGACACATCTGTCAACTAGTGAGTAAATAAGTAAAACTCCCTGCTGAAAGTGTATGTTGAGGTGCGTTGAAACTTTGATCTACTTTGCTTCATTGTTAGATTGTTTGATTTTGACTCCATAATAGCATTTCACTTCTTGATGAAATCTTCTGACACATAAATTCTAGTACTACTGAAGACCTTGAAGGTTACTTTCCACAAGGTGTGATTTTCAGAGCTTTATTCTATATTTTCAGGCTTCATGTCTGCTTCAACTAAAATTTTACTGTTGATAGGAAAACTAGACGTTAGACTAACTCGATGGGCGCTACCTCTATCCATTACCTATGATGAAGCCCAACAAAACCTTTCAATGTATAGCACCAAACTAAACATGGCCTTATAAAATCACCATCTTGGTTATTTCTTTTCAAGAAGAAAGAGATAAAAAGAAATGCTGTTATTTTAATTTTATGTTGTCAGTTTGATCAAAAAAGACCGCTTAGCTCATATGTAATTATGTATTTACATTATTTAACCTATTTTCTGATGCATTTTCTGATACTGTTTTGGTCGTGTTGATATATTTTCTTGTAAAAGGTGCTGCATTTGTAACAAGCAGAAAGCACAATGGGCCTCTTTATGTAGAAGTTTACAAAGTAACTGCAACACAGATAATACTTTGAGAGGCTACCTACAGTTACTTTGTTAATCAAAAACTGGCGTAAAGCAGTTCTTAAAAACTTCAATACTTACCATATCGTTAGCAATTTGTTGTGGAAGCTTTGAAACAATGCAGTGAGATAGTGGAAAACTGGATATACTGAGGGGCATTTTTTCTGGTCAAAAAGGAAATAAATTGACGTGTCCCTAGCAATTCCCTTTTTTAAAGATGGTTCTATGGTTAAAAGAACAGCAACTCTAAAGATTTCTATTCATAGGCATTTCCGTTTCTTCAGGCATCAGTTGTGTTTATGATACGAGTTTCGGAAGTTCCATATGATAATCTATCTCTTTTCTTCTAGGCCATCTGCTATCATTGTTGTTATCTTCTAAGCTTTATCCAAATACCAATAGGGCTATCTGTATAATTGTAACTACAACCTGTATGCCCTTTTATTTACATCTAATGTGATGTATAAAGATTTTTACAGTCAAGGTATGCATTATCAACGTAAACAAAGGGGGAACCTAGGCCCCCCAAAGCCTGGACCTATAAACATCTTTTTTCCAATTTGAGAATGGATAGATAAATACTTTGAAAATAAAGCCTCATCTTCATGTGATGAGACGCGTGCCGATAGCCAAGGCTGTAATATTCTGGACAAAATCAATGTCTTTGAAAAGATGTTATGATAGTAAAGTAAAAAAAAAAGAGAGGAACACCATAACATGATATCACTGCATTGTCATTTTGAATAGTAAGGGAAAAAAGGGTCTTTATATTATTAATACATGTAGTAGATAAGCTAAAGACACAGCCCTCTTTTATCGAACCCTTATTCATCCAACAAACAGCACAGCTGTCATCTGTGCTTTTGTATGATGCACAAATTGAATGAAGTGTAACAGGGACAAAATCAAAATCCGACAAAGAAAAACAAAAAGAGGGGGGATCTAACTCTCCTTGGTAAAGGGGAGTCTAAATAAAGATCGACTACTATAATGACTTATTAATAAACGGGATATTCATTATAGTCCCTTGTTTTATTTTCTCTATTAACCACCTTCTTTTTTTATCTATTAAAAATGCAACCATGTTTAAAGGAGTCTTACTTTTAACTCAATTAGTAAAAAGGAGATCGATCGTAATTAACCGATGGTCCAATAATATAACACTATATCAGAAACATGGTAGCAATCATAGGCTGATAATTATTTAATGAAACCCTTTCATATAAAAAGCCACGAGAGAGAAGCGGAGAAGAAGAAGAGTAATAATAATAATAATAATAATAGTAATAATAATAGTAATAACAGCTGCAGATATGACACCGTATCATAATAGCGTGTATGACGTTACAATATATTCATGATACCCATGACAGTGCTGTGTTCCTGAAAGAGAAGGACTATATACAATATCAGCTTTTAATCACGCCACGCCCGGAAGAAAGGGATATAGCATTCACCAATGAACTAAGGACGTAGGCATGACGACAAATAGTTACACAAAATAGCAACGTGGTGTATGATTATTTTAAAACTCTGCTATTTTAAAAAAGTCAGAATTAGTCCCTTTTTCTTTCTCTTCTTTCTCTTCTTAACATGACTGGATTCATTTTAGTTTCAAACTCTGGCAAAAAAATATCATTAGAACAAGCCTATCATCCTTGTCCAAGATGTAAAAATCAAAGCTCGGTACAGCTTACAAGATCAGAAAAATCATTCATCTTTTTAAACAAGAGAATCACCGAAAATTCAAGAGTCAGATATGAATGTTCACAATGTAAATGGAAAAATCAAATGCTACCTTATGATGCAAGAGAATCAGCCGAATTGGATCGTTATCTATCTGAAAACTCAAACAGCAACGAGGATCTCTACAATGAACTATCCTCAACTTCTACTCATGGCTATTCTCCTTAAATTGTATTTATTTTCCTTGCATAATTTCAACATTGTAAATAGTTCCCATCTCCTTAATTTACCCCCCTTTCTTTATTTTACTCTCCTTAGATAACATGATGGCATATAGATTGTGTTATTCATATAATAAAACTTCATTTTTTATTGTTTTTCAGAATCTTCTTTGAGCGAAACAGTGCGATTAACAATAATCTTGCTCAATCCTTCTTTGACTTTGCCTGCGCAAATTAATTCTGCATCTAACTCAGTATCTTTATCTAAACAGAAATATCCTGTGCGTGTGAATTGCCAACGCATGCTTTCTTTATCTTTGCCTCCTGTCTTCTTGACCCAATCTGCAATGTGATCATAGATACCCACTTCGGCAATAGCCCCCTTTACGATGTCTAATGAGTGTTCATTGATATCATTTAAATAACCGCCTTCAGTACTATCAGGGTTATCATGCTTAAATAGTCTTTCGTAGATACGGAGTTCATCAATCTTAACGGGTGAGTTGTGTTGAGGTGACTCGGCAACCCAATGAATATAGGTCTTGGGCTTCTTAAATTCGCCTTCGTTTTCATAAACACATTCTATTTCAGTAACTTTACCGTCAGCGTCCTTCTTATAGCCAACACAGTGAATGGGTCGCTTGGCGTATAACAGACCAACGGATTTACCGGGTGCGAGACGGAAGTAACCCTTGGCATCTTCTTCACGGAAATCGGAACGGTCAATATAAACAACCTTGGCAAATGGAACCTTGTGTTCACCCATGGCAGGATCTCTAGGCTTATTGGGAACAACTACTTCTTCAACAAAGTCATCAGGCAAGTTCTTCAACACGACTCGGACGGGATCTTGAATGGCCATCAAACGAGGCGCAGTTCGGTCAAGATATTCACGAACCTTGTTATCAAAGCGTGCGATATCGATGGTAGTCAAACTGGTTGTGACACCCAACTCGAGTACAAAGTTATTGATGGCCTCAGGAGGCACACCACGTCGGCGAATACCGACCAAAGTATAGAGCCTAGGGTCATCCCAATCACTGACATATCCATTATTGACCATCTTCAAAATCTTTCGCTTAGACATGATAGTACCAGCGACGTTCAGACGACCATATTCCCATTGGACAGGCTTATATACTTCAACAGCGTCTACTAACCAGTAGTAACTTTCACGGGACTGTCTGAATTCGGTTGTACAGAGTGAGTGTGTAATGTTTTCAAATGAATCGACGAGACAGTGAGTGAAGTCATAAGTAGGGTAGATACACCATTTATCGTGTGTGCGATAGTGAGGAGTGTACATGACACGGTAAGCGATCAAGTCCCAGAACTGAGGATTGCCATTTGTCAAGTCCATCTTCATACGAAGCGTGATTTCTCCTTCCTTGTAACGACCTTCCTTCATCTTCATAAATTGATCCAATGTTTCTTCTACGGGCCTCTCACGATGTACACAAGCTCTACGTTCACCATGATCTTTACCTCCTCTGCAGGCATTGATTTCTTCAGGTGTACACTGACAGGTATAAGCCAATCCCTTCTTGATCAATCTCACAGCCAAGTCAAAGAGCTCTTGGAAGTAATCACTAGAATACGTAATCTTGTAAGGTTCAAATCCGAGCCATCTCACGGTTTCCAAAATAGAAACAAAATATTTTTCTTCTTCTGCCTCGGGATTGGTGTCATCATAACGAAGATAGCAAATACCATTATGGGCTTTTGCGTAACCAAAGTTGACATTGATAGCCTTTGCATGACCAATATGGAGATAACCGTTTGGTTCAGGTGGAAAACGGGTAACCACCTTTCCTCCTGTTGTCTTTAAGTGTTCTTCCATTAATTCTGGTTTGATCTGTTTGTTGCCTCCAGGCTTGTGCAATTTTCCAAGTTCACCTTCAAAAAATATTCTACTCAAATCAGCCTTCTTTTCCTCTACTTTTTCAGTTTTTTTGGATTCAGCAGCAGGTTTGGCTTCCTTCTTTTTCTTTTGGGGTGCGTCACGTTCATCCTTGGGTCCTAATAAAGCAAGGTATTGTGCTTCAACTTCGTCTTTGATCTTGCCTCCGTCGGCCCAACGAAGAGATTGAATGCGTCTGGCGTTGGCCAATGTAGGACCCAATGTCTTGTATCGATTGCTGACGATATTATCCTTGTTAGCTTCAATGTATTGACTGATGGCCTGTTTAATTTCCTCGGGAGTCACGACAACACCTGGATCGCAAAAAGTTAATACTTGTTTATATTGAATTACTGAACTTACCAACACCAGTCGCAGTATCAAATTCTTCTTCTTTAAAGCCTTCTTCACAAAACTTGATGGCAGCTAATAAACACGATGAGACAACTTGTCTTTATATACAATGATTATTGTTACCTTGAATTTGATCTGTTGTCTTCAAATCTCCGTTCATCACTTTACCAACAATAAAAGCAAGATGTGGCAGGGCGTCTTTGGTAACTGTAGATGCCAAATTATATAAAAGGATGCCAGTATCCTTGTTACATCCTGATTCACGTACGCCAGCTTCATTAATAACTGCTTCCAAAGTAGGCGCTAATTTTTTGTTTTTAGCTGTGTCTTTAGCCTTTTGTTCGGATAGACCGATTTTAACAAATATGGGAATAAGCTCTTCCATTTGATATATGTTAAAGAAAGAAGCCCTAAAAAAAAAGGGGGATATAAAGAAATGAAAAAAAAAAAAATTGAGAGTCACTCTAAAACTCCGCTATATCCCAAGGAAAACTTGCCAAAAACTTGATACATGAATGATGATATAAAAAAGCATACTGGGCATGATTCAACCAGAAAATATTGATTCTTTCTTCTTTTTCCAATAATGAGTGAACTCAAGAAAAGACTCTACAGTAGTGTGTTGATGCTAAGCTGTGTATTTGCTTTATTGTATTTTAACCAAATTGATCTGTTACTGGCTGCGGTTGAAGCCAAAGTGTTCCATGTAAGTGTAACATAAATATACTTAAATTCCTTTTTGAAAATATGAGTCAGGAGCTTCGTAGAGTCAGCTTGACTAATTCAAAGGCACAAGAAGAGAGGATTCAAGTGTATTCTGATTGGTAAATCTCTAAAATGGGACAATGCACATAAACTTATCCTTTTTTCATATAGGACGCTCTTTCTTGCTGCAGCTTTACTTTCTACTTTTTGTAACTTGTATGGTTTTATTGTCTACGTAGCATGTACATACTTACACATATAAAACGAACCGTGACTCATTCAATGCTAGGGTTCATGTTTTGGGTTACGTTTATCTTGGATAAACAAGAGCATTTGAATGACAAACTATTGCATGTATTTTGGCTACATACAGCCTTAATTTATATAGGGCTCCAACCACTCTTCATTCGATCCAATGTAACTCATGGACTCTTTTGGTTTTTATTTCCCTGTTGCCTTGTCTTTGTAAATGATACAGCAGCCTATGTCTGTGGTAGATTGTTTGGTAGATACCGTCTGCTTCGATTGAGCCCCAAAAAGACACTAGAAGGGTACCTAGGTGCTATCATTTTGACGGTTCTTTTTGGATATTGGGTATTATAATAATAATAAAAGACTTGCTAATATTTACCTGAAATTAGCTTTCATCTTGGTTAGGGCAAAAGAGTAGCCTAATTGACAAAAAGCCTGATCATATCCAGTTTCATGGAATGATGCTCTCCTTATTTGCTTCAATAGCTGCACCATTTAGCGGTTTCCTAGCAAGCGCAATCAAGAGAGCTAGCGGCGTCAAAGACTTTGGACACTGGATCCCGGGCCATGGGGGCCTTACTGACCGAGTCGATTGTCATCTTTTTATGGCTGCTTTTACTTACTTTTACTGCAAAGAGTATGTATATTTTCAAGCGTAATAGGGGGATACGTTTTATTATGATTGTATAAAAAATAAAAAAAAATTTACAATTCATCCTCTTCATGCATTTGAACAGTCGTGTTCGGTTGATAAGAAGGAGCATGGTAGTTTCTTTGGGTTAGTGGGATATGAGAGGCAGAGCTAGCATCTGTATCTTGTCTGGAGAACGACGCAGGCTTGGGCGACATGAACGCATCATCTACCTTTTCTGTTCTTGGATTCTCTGAAAAGTTGGAAGGAAATCGACTGTTCATGTTCCTTGGCGATGAGTTATTGTTTTGGCTCATGTTGTTTAACTGCTTGACACGGTTTGCGTCATCTAAAGATCGGAACACTTCATCATCAACATAGTAGGCCTTGAATAACATTTCGAGCATCTGCATTCGTTCTTCTACACGAGCAATACGTTGCGATTCGCTTTCGTCGATCTGTGTGATATCAGTCATGCTGAATCGATGATGGACAGGATGCACCAGAGGGATACCCGAATTGGTGATCCTGAACTTGGATTGGAGGCCTCGAAGGAGAGAACGTTTCATCTCACCTACGCTCCATCGGTGAACAACGCCCCAAGGAGATCGAGGACGGAAACCAAAGAGCCAGGTCTGGATGGCAACTAAGAGACCAAAGATACCGCCGACAAATCCAATAGCGTTCACAAGTGTGTATACTTTGACTTCCCTTTCGATTGTACGAACATATTTACTCGGAATCACCGAGAGAACGCCAAGATCGCCATGAGTCAGGTTGTAGACAGGATTGGGTGCCTCCGCACGGAAAATGGTATCGATTTCAGGAGTAGAATTGGTGATGGGTAAGAAACCGACGTAATTCCATCCCTTGGGTTGTAAGTATCGATGGTCGATAAGTGTGTAGGTCAATGAGTTGTAAGTGAAAGGTTGGATTTCATAAACGTTCTCGGCCTGCAAGTCGTTCAATTCGGTCACTCTCCAGTTTTCGATGTCTGCAGGGCTCATGATAACCTCATTAGGAAGGCCATAGACTATTAAGTTGGGATCCATCTTTTGAGGATAGACCGAGACGTGAATACGAGCGTAGGTAGCGGCTGGGTCACCAAAGAAGGTGAAGAGCAGTCTAGTTCCGTTATTGTTTCCTGCAGTAGAGGTAAGCACAAAATCCGAGGATGGCTTGAACAGGTAGCAAACGACAGCTCCTAAGGAGTCTGCAAACATAGGCTGGAAAATACTCATGTCTAATGGTTGTATATATTGATTGCAACTGTATCCAGAGTTAGTGCTACAGGCGACACCCAAGGCTCTAACAGGGTCAGTTGCTGGACTGTAACTGGTTGGGAAACCGTCAAAACAGAATCGAACGTCTAAATAGAGTAAGTATACAAGGATATATTAGAGGTTTTCTTTGTTCTACCTGGAATTTCAACCGTTGCCGTAGCTTCTTCGATAGTTTGAGTTACATTCGGACTATCAACGGCTTGGCGAATAACAAAGGCCAAAAAGACAGCAAATATGAACAACAAGATGATTTGGAAAATGATTCTTGTTGTCTCTGCCCAAAGAGGTTCACCGGTACTAATGTAGAATATGAGTATATAAAAGAAAAGGAAAAAATATACACATACCGTGGCTTCCAGATGTCTCTATGTATACGTTTGATAAGCCATCTAACGTAGGACTGGAACTTCCAGAGTAAGAATAAAAGAATGATCACGACCACAACACAAGCGACAGTGACGCCTGCGATCAAACCAGCAGAAACAGAAGATCCTGGGACTGTCTGAGCTTGAAAATTTTGGAGCCATGCACCTGAATCAATTTCCCAAACATTGATATCGTTTATATATGTATTCAGGGCCTCGCCTTTATATTAAAAATAAGGGAGTAAAAAATTAGAATGCGGCATAAGACGAGCATGTTACTATAGTTACCAAATGCTACTGTAAGATGCTTTCCATCTAAAATTCCGGCTGATGCGTAAGAACGTCTAGAAGGAGGAATACCACTGACATTAGGAACAGACCAAGTCCAACTAGATGTATCCAAGATAGCTATAGCATTCAAATACATTTTATTTCTTTCCATTTCTCCATTATCACCTGTAATAAAGAATATGTTGATATCACAATACACATGATTTTCTTTTTCTTTTTTTACTTGCCTCCAAAAATAATAATTTTGTTGTCCGAAGCTATTTTTAAAATAAAAAATTGACAAAATAAGAATAATTATAAAGAAAATGATCACTATAGTAACTTACTGACAACTGCATTATGGTTTGCTCTTGCTGAAGGAAAGCTAGAACCAGCAGATTTTACTGGCTGCATACTCCATGCATTTGTCTTTGTATTGTACACTGTTACTTGGTTCATTAGCACCAACTCTGTCTTACCCTGAGGATTAACGTAGACACCACCCAAGATGACAATTAGACCATTGCTATTATTGGAAACAGGTGTTAAAAATAAGTAGATTTTTTTAGTGTCAAAAATTTTACCTTAGGTATGATGCTGTATGACCGTAACGTCTGATTGTGGAATCCTGCAAGAGTGTGAACTGACCAGTGGTGATATCCAACTTGTATAAATCAGAAAACACACCGGTTCCATTAGCAGAGCCACCACCATAGATATAGATGCTGTTCTGTCCATCATAAGCGACTGAATGAAAATAACGGTTGCCTGGTAAAGTGGAATTTGTACCATTATTTGCTGTATTGGATGGTGCAGCAGTCCAAGTTTGCGTGTCAAATGAATACGAATAATATGGAAGCGTTGATTGATTGTTGGCTGATTCTGTTAAACCACCGAGGAGATAAAAATTATTATTGTTTGCCATTACTGCTTGCGCATAAACGACGCCAGGAGGTGGATTTTTTTGTGGTAGAGTATTCCAAGTAAAAGATGTCGTTGTTTGAGTCAAGGAATAGAATGTATTTGTAAAACGGGTCGTTGAATTTTCTCCACCAAATAATAAAAGACTTGAATTTCTTTGTGCTGTAGCCATACCACCCTTAAAGGGTAGTTTACTCATAAACCCATTTGCGTCTCCAAAGAAATAAGCATAAGTATGAGTTATTAAAAGAAGACTCAGTAGTATTTCTAGCTTCATCTTCTATTGTTTGTCTTGTGAAAAAGAAAGAAAGAAAAAGAAAAAGAAAGAAAATGACAAAATATAAAAGGGGATATTTAATTAAAAAAAAATAACTAAAGCCCATTTGTGTATCACAGGAAAAAAGTTCTCGACTTTTGATATTGTTCATCTCAATATTTAATACTTTAGCCATCTATTAATGCATAACATAACTATCAAGTACTTGATTGTTCAAAAGAGAAGAAGAAAAAAATTCATAACAATGGGACATTTTCAGAGTGGCTTTGTGTATCCTCAAAAAGAGAAAGAAAGAAAGAGAAAAAGATGAATAGAGCAAGCACATTCCTCTTCTTTCTCTCTTTCTCTATTCCTTTTGTTTAAAGGGGATGCTTGAATAAAGATATTCAAACAAGCATTGCCTTACTTTTATTCAGCCTTAATCAGCTCTATTTGAAAAAGGTGTGCTTGTTACTACGACGTTTAAATATGTAATAAAATAGACACAATAAATGCACCACTGGTTGTCATGTACTGAAGTATATAAAAAAGTGTATCTTCTATCATTCAATATCTGTACTAAACTGTCATTTCTTGGCAAATAGAACAACTTTGTGAAATCTGTATTATGGCATAATAGCAAATAGAATTACTGCCCGCTACCTGGATTGAGCTACGGTGTACCCAACATTTACCCCGCTTTCCTTTTCTTTCTCTTTTTTTCCTATACTCATGACACACAAAGACTTGCAATCAACAGCTGATTCAAATGAAGCAATAAAAGAGAGTATAACGGTTGAGAAAGAAGTGACAGTAGCTGAATCTAGCACAACTGAGAATGATCCAAATGTAGAAAATACTATTGTTACTACAATCACTACTACAACCACTACTACAACTGAGTCATCACTAGCGATGACAAGAAATAGTAGTCAATCCTCTGATCAAACAGTCATTGTATCCACTGGTTCAATTCAGTCCCAACTGTCCCGATCCAATAGTCAAGATCCCATGTGGCGATCAAGAAGTGATCTTCGTATAATACAGACTAGAGCTGAGCTTATTCGAAATGCTTACAACATGCAAAGAAGACATACCAACATGGCAGATACCCCACTTAATACAACTCCCGTAGCAAGTAAAATTCTTTTATTTTTTTTTTAAAGAGCTCCTTCACTAAACCATTTTTATCCTAGAACATGACATGGACCTCCTCCAATCATCCTCTTCCTTCTTTTCTTCAGACCGCAGCAGCTTTCAATTATTACAACAACAAAGCTCACTTGGCAGTCTTTCTGCAGATCAAGAGCTGAGTGAAAATCCAGATCCTTGTGGCTTTTCAATAGATGCAAATCAATCTACAAAGACCTCAAATGAAGAAGAATTGGATGATACAGCCAATGAGGATGAAGAAGACTTTGATGAGCTGAATGTGCCACTTTCTGCTTCTCTTTAAGGAACAAAAAAATGTGATTTATTTATAAACATTAGAAAGGAGATTTCATTTTTATACAAAAGCATATAGAAATAAAATAATAAAAAATACTCATTTACATTGTTTTCTTAAGCAGTACGACCATGGGCAATGTTATCGCCCTTGACAGCTCTAGCCTCATTTCCTGTAAGCTTGCCAGCCATCTTCTCGAGGTTACCCTTGATCTTTTCACCAGCAGTAGGTTTACGGTCAATATCACTGGTGCTCGTAGGATGATCATCAGTATAATGGCCAGGAGCAGAAGTACCAGTTGCGCCAGTACCAGAAGCAGCAGTAGGACCTCCAGAGACCATCGTGTCATCACGTCCGCGACGTTCGTCAATACCGCCTACATTGCCTTGATGTCTTGAGTGGTGAGAAGCGCCATGGTCACCAGCGAGGGCAGAACCTGTGTGGCCTGTTTGGCCTGTTTGGCTACCAAGACCAAGACCAGTGCCGGTGCCGGTGCCTGTACCTGTACCTGTTTGACCTTGAGAACGAGATCCAGGTAAATCGGTTACATCAGACCTTTGTTCAGCTTCACCGAAACGACCACCTTCGGAACCACCACATCGGATGTTTTGAGTAGCAGTGACAGAAGGAATACCAGTACCAGCGGTGCGGTTACCTTCAGAGGGGTTGTACATGCCAGGAGCATTGTTATCATAGGATGTTTGGTCGACCTTTCTTGTGTCGGCAATAGGAGCGCCAGAGTAGTTCAAGGGATCATTACGTTCGGATGTGGTTCCTTGAGTACGAGTAGGAGCACTAGCATGTGTATAGGGGTCGTTCAGACCTGTAGCTGAAATGCCTTGGTTTTCACTCAATTGATTGTTTAATCGGTCAGCACGGTCATGGCGAGGATTTGAGGGTTGCTCGTTATTGTAAGGGTTGGTATCATTGAAAGCGTTTGAATCTTGGTTGTTATAAGTGTTGTTGTTGTAAGACATTTTGTATGATAATGAAGATCGACAGTACTTGTCTTTCTCTCAATATTTATATGTTTTTCAGTAGTTATGCAATGACCTAGGATCTACGTCAGACCTTACTTCATGCAACTTTAACGCTCACCATGACGTCCGTTTTCAAAAAAGAGGAAAGCTTAAACTAATTTGGCTCATGGCTCGCATTATATGAACCCTTTAGCTTGATTGATGATCTGCATTATGTGAACCCTTTAAGCTATTCCCACTTTCGTTAGAATAGACACTAAGGAACGTGCCAATCCTTTTTGCATTACCTTAAACCATTTCCTTATTTGAAATTTACTGGCAACGTCATCGCATTGTCGGAATCTTAAAAGCTCAAGAGTCCCCAATTGTGCAAAAATGAAAACATTTTGAGCAATGAGAGAAGAGAGGAAATAAAGTAAATGCAATCTAACCAAAATCAACCTTTTACGCCATTTTCTTCATTAGGCAAGAATGGGGTAAGACCTTATTATGCTCCAGGTCTTGGCGCAGGAAACTACACAAACATTGCAGTCGATCAACCTGGCGTTCCCTATTATACTGTAGATTACCCTGATGACTTGATTGATTCAAGAGCTGCAGCCAGAGAACTCATCAACTTTACCGTGCTCAAATTTCTTACAACCGCTGTCAACAGTCCGTTTGAAGTGTCCAAAACGCTGTTACAGGTACAGTACATGCCACGTGAAGACCTGCCAGTAGCGAAGAAAACAACAACTGTTCAAGAAGGCGAATCGGATATTGAGGATGAAGTAAATATTCATAAAAAAAAAGCTACAAACATACTCTAATGGGAACATGGTTAGGCTGGTCCATATTCAGAAGAAGAGGAGGATGAAGACGAGGATGAAGAAGAAGAGCACTCAGGACGACGTAGACATCCTTCAGCTACAGATGATCCCTTAACTACAGGTGGTTCATTAGATATTGATGACCCCATCTTTAAAAAGAAGGTACCTCTTAATGCAGACGGATACATTGTGCGTACAAGTATCTATGATGATTCGACACGGCCTCCTCATCAAATCAAGCCCATTGATGGCGGTGTCTGGCAGGGCATCGGAAGACTGTTGCATCATCCTCATGAAGGTGTGCGCTCCTTGTTTAAAGGACAATTTACAAACTGGCTCTACGAAATTTCGCACTTATTCCTGCAGCCAACACTGGAAGGCACACTAAATGATATGTTTGATCTCTATGATGACACAGTACCATTGGTGCACTTGGATAGTGTAGGCCCAAATCTAGCTACACTGGTAGCCAGTAATCTTATTGTTGGGATCCTTCTGAGTCCTCTTGAACTCATCAAAACAAGGTATTACATCATTTTCTATTTTTTACACACGACTCATTGCATTTGTTTAGAATGATTGTACAGTCAGCATCGCCACTTCAGCGTAAATACAAAGGGCCTTTCCATGCGCTGGCAACCATCTGGAAAGAAGAAGGCGGCTTTAAGGGTCTGTACTTTTCTCACAATTTCTTGCCCACCGTCTTGTACCACACCATCACTCCACTTTTCCAAAATATTACACCTTTGATCATTGACCGCGTGCTTTGCATCTCAGCAAGTGAATCGCCTTTCTTGTACAGTCTTGCCGAATTAGGATTAAATACACTGGAGATTTTGATCACACTGCCTCTTGACACCATCCGTAAGCGTATGCAGTGCCAGATCAGGACACGAACACCTGGGAACAAACGATTTGAGCCTGTGGTGGCACTAAGACCTGTACCTTACACAGGCGTGATCAATGCTGTCTACTGTATAGCAAAAGAAGAAGGTAGTCCAAGAAAGAAGTCCAGAAAAGAAAATAGATACACAAACTGGAACTTAAGAAGTCTATATCGCGGATTTACTATGGAATGTACGTCAAATATTGTTCTATTCTTTTTGCATGCTATCAGTGGTATTGAAGGTAAAAAGAAAAAGAAACAGTGGAAGGATAGGAACGATGGGAATAATAACAACCTTTTTTTTATTTTAGATGATTATGAAGATTTCTAAAATGATAATAATAAACCTGGATTCATTTATCTAAAAGAACTTTCTCTTGATTCCTTTGTAAGCTTCTACGATCATAATATATACAATGACAGAAGCAGCTGTCATACCCCATTCCCATGTAATAGGCTTATGCTTAAAGACTTCTGTATTCAAAACGGGAACATAGAGTGTAATGATCAAGAGAACAAATCCAAACAAAGTGCTCCAGAAAAGATACTTGTTTTGTTGACCGGTTAAGGCGGACCATGTCCATGTTGGATTGCGAAGGTCACGACAAGTGAAGCCATGTACAAGAATGATGACAGTAAGCGTCGCAAAGAGAGCACCACGCGCACGAAACACTTCTTCACACGCTTCAGAGTAATAACGATTACAGTTTTCCCCAAGGTTACCCGTTCCCCAACCGTAGACAACAACAATAAAGTTCATCAGACAAATGATACCAATAGTGACACCATAAAAAAGAATGTCTATCAGATTAGAGTAAGAGAATAGGCCATCTTTTCGACTACGGGGAGGTTGAAGCATTTGGTCCTTGTGAATAGGTTCCAGGCCTAAGCTCATAGCTGGAGGAGAACTAGTGATGATATTGTTGAACAAAATCTGTACAGGTGACATGGGGAAAACAGATTCACCATGAGCATCCACAAAGGCAAGTCCCAAAAGTAAAGGTGTCAATTCAGCTACATTTCCAGATACCATATGCACCACAAAACGTGCAATATTTCCAAACACACGACGTCCTTCTTCAATTGCCTTGACAATTGTCGCAAAGTTATCATCGACTAAGACAATGTCTGCAGCTTGCTTAGCAACGTCAGAGCCATTTTCACCCATAGCAATACCGATATCTGCTTCTTTCAAAGAGGGGCTATCGTTTACACCATCACCTGTCATACCTGCTATTTTCTTGCGTCGATGGAGTGCTTCAATCATCTTAACCTTTGTGTCTGGGCTACAGCGTGCAATGACCAAAGGAAGATCAGGGAGTGCGTCGATTTGTTCGACAGAGAGTTTATCAAATCGTTGAGCAGACATGACCAAATCTGTCTTTCCATCACCAATATGAGGTTTGGCTGCGGCTTTAGCGCGTCCGTACATTTCATCGCCTTCGTCAAGACCATAAGTAGCAGGCAAGATGTTGACTTCGCGTGCAATGGCTGTAGCTGTTGCAATGTGGTCACCAGTAAGCATATGAACAGTAATACCTGCCTTGTGACATTCGTCCACGGCATCCTTGGATTCAGTTCTTGGAGGGTCATAGATACCAACGAGTCCGAGGAATATCATCTCTTGTTCAATATATTCTCGCGAAAACGTGTCAGATGTCACTTGACCTTCGTGTTTGATGCGACGATAAGCGAGGGAAAGAACACGAAGACCGCCTTTGGCCAAAGCCTCTACATTAGGAAGCACAAGCGCTTGAAGTTCTTGGCTAGACATGAATTCGATATCATGTTCATCAGACATTTGTACGCCAACACAGCAGTCGAGAACACGCTCTGTGGCACCCTTCAGAAAAGCAACAGTTTTACCATTGGGAGCACGGCAGAGGACACTCATACGCTTAATTGACGAGTCAAAGGGGTACTCGGCAACAAGATCCCAGCTATCATCAGGGTTGTTTTTCTTGATTAAGCTTGGCTTTCCATTTTGAAGTTTATGTGCAAAAACTTGAAGGGCAACCTATCATAAAAATGTTAAACAGGTTTTTTTTTTATCATATGCTTCGGTTACCTCTGTAGGATCTCCAATGCCGCTCCATTCGTTTGTATGCTTGTCTTTACGAATTTCACTCATATTACATAAAGCTGCTGTGTTAACCAGTGTCTGAAAACCTTGATCCATGTTTTCCCTGGTGACTATAGTATCACTAGACTCTAGTTTAACTTGACCTTCTATTGTAAAACCAATGCCACTAACAGAATAAAACCCAGCATTTGGCCTCCAAAGCCTTGTGAGGACCATCTTGGATTGAGTCAATGTACCCGTCTTATCAGAGCAAACGTTGGTGACGGATCCGAGTAGCTCCAAAGCAGCTAGGCGGCGTACAAGCGCCTTGCTTTTAGCCATACTGTATACACCAAATGCCTGTGTGAGTGTGACAACAGCGACAAGACCTTCTGGAATCACAGCAATTGACGTAGAAATAGCATAAAGAATGACTTCATCGTTAATATGGAACTTTGCGGCACCAAATACAATAATAATGGAAATAATAGCAACAGCAAGTAAAACGAGGGCCATGCGATCAAGTGACTTTTGAAGAGGCGTCTTTGTGCTATCCCCACTATCGAGCAATCTTTTTGCAATTCTACCAATTTCAGTTTGCATACCAGTAGCAGTAACAATAGCCTTTCCTCGGCCCTTTGTCAGGACTGTGCTAGAATAGCCCATATTGATGCGATCGCCTAGCGGAACATCTTCTCCTTGAATAGCGTCTGTACTACAATGTTATAAATACAGTTAATAGAATATTCTATAAAGGAATTGCATTTTCAACTAACGCTTTGTTAACAGGAACACTTTCGCCTGTCAAGAGAGCTTCATCAACGTCCATATTGAATGCTCTAAAAAGAAAAAGTATTAGATTCTTGTCTGTTTAGGAAAGCAAAGTAACTTACTCTATAATTCTGCAATCAGCTCCTATAACATCGCCACTCTTCAAGATCAGAATATCGCCTGGAACAAGCTCACGTGTAGGAATAGTCTTTTGATGACCATCACGAATGACTTGACTAGTTGGAGAAGCCATTTGTCTCAAAGAGTCCATTGTCTTTTCAGCCTTGAATTCTTGCATAAAGCCCACTCCGGCGTTAAGAAACATGATGGCACAGATAACACCACCTTCTACATAGTCTTTAAAGACAAAAGACACGATCTATTGGTGTTAGATACAAAGAGCTCTTTTTTGCCGCACGGGCCAATGATATTTACCATAGCTATAAGCAGAATTAAAACCATAACGTTCATGAACTGCTTGATCATTAGTTTAACTGGGTTAACACCACCTTCTCCTTCCATTTCATTGTAGTGAATACGTCTTTCTTCTATAGCAGATTCAGCTAAACCATCATTCAGATCAGACTTTAATAATTGTGTAACAGCATCAAGATCCATTGCATGATAAGGAGGTCCTTCAGATCGTTCCAATTGATCCGTACTTCTTCTCTTTCTTTTGACGAGGTTCATTTTACTCATCAAGACACTCCGGATCGACTTTGTATCAAAATCAGAGGAACTCTGTCCTGTAGACGAACGAAACAATAACTTATGCGAGTGTTTTTCATGTTTTTGTGGTTCATCAAACTGAATTGTCTGGTTATTGTTATTACGCGTTTGATTAAGATCCATCAAAAGTTTAATAAATAAAGAAGAAATGCATCATCCTTTTATATCTTTTATTTTCTGTCAAAAATCCAGCTTTTTGAAATTAGAAAACTGAGAAAGGATGAGGTCCCATGATATGCAACGGGAATGATTTCATTGGCGGAATGGAAAAGATAGAACATGGTTTTTTTCTTTTTAACCTTTTTTAACTGAAACACAACTTTAAGATACAATGCTGACAATGTCCAATTGATGTCTCGTTATGTCTGTTTACTGCTTCTATCTCTTCTTACGTTGTTCATTGGTTTAATTATGAGGCAACCAATGATAAATTATAACTAGATCATCTCTCAATTCCCTAGTAAAAACATGATCTTGGTAGAGTGAATATTTGAATAACGTTTAAACAAACCAATGCTGTATAATCAACAATTGCACAATTCAAAAACATACTGATCTGAGCTTACTTCATGTTTCTGATGTATTCGTCATATTTAATATAGAAAATTTAAGAAGCGATTTTATGCTTTTTAGAAAACAATAGCAACTCTTTCGGAAAATAGGAACGCAACGTGCGCAAGGCAAAAAACCCTCATTGCTCCTTCCGAATGTCGTGAAAGATGTGAAGAACAAGTCACATATTTGTGACTTCGTTTATTTCATTCTTCGTCTCCTCTTTTTGTTGCTGGCTTTTTTTTCCCAGTTGTCGTTTTTGTCTTGCATTCTGCGCAAATGTACAAACCTACAGGTAATGAAAAAAAAAGAGCCCTTCAAAGGGACTTATTTATTGATTAATGCTTATAAATAGGCACAAACGTAACTCCATTAGGAACTAAAAGGCGCTTTGGCGATGCACCTAATGGAATCAAAGACGATTCTAATGAGAGGAATTCTGCTTACGCAAACTCAGGTAAAACAAAAAAGAATAAGATTCCTTTCATAATCTAACTTACTGATATATTCAATAGATCAATCTGGCTCCCCTAACTCTGCTGCGGCTGATTCAACTCCTAAAAGAAAACGTAGAAGTCGTTGGGGAGATGAACAAAAAATCATCATCCCAGGATTACCTACTGCTATTAATAAAATAGACAAGGAACAATCTGAAAAATATCTTTGTAAGTATTGTAAGCAAATGATAAGACTTAAGATACTAAACAATAATCCATAGTGCAAATTCGACTTGAAGAAATTAACAGAAAATTACGTACTGGTGACTATTTACCAAGTGAAACCAGAGGGTAAGAAAAAATAAATGCAAGAGAGATTACAGTTTTAACCATTACTTAATACAGTCGATCACCATCACCAGAACCAGTTTATGATGCAAATGGCAAGCGTGTGAACACTAGAGAAGCAAGATATAAGAAAAAACTTGAAGACGAGCGTCACAGATTAATCGAAATCGCCTTGAGGACAATTCCTAATTTTCGACCTCCAATTGATTATAAGCGTCCTACGAAACTACAAGAGAAAGTCTATATTCCTTCTAAAGAGTTTCCTGACATTAACTTTATTGGTCAGCTAATTGGTCCTAGAGGAAATACATTAAAGGGTATGGAAGCAGAGTCTGGCGCAAAAATCAGTATTCGTGGTCGTGGTTCAGTAAAGGAAGGCAAATCAAGAACAGACGCTGCCTCGAATGCAGCCCAAGAAGAAGATCTACACTGTCTTGTAACTGCAGATTCTGAAGACAAGATTAAAAAGGCTGTTAAGCTTATTGAAAAAGTCATTGAAACAGTAAGAAATCACACGTAACATCTTGATATAGTATTAATCCTTTAACAGTCTGCATCAGTTCCTGAAGGTCAGAATGAGTTGAAACGAAACCAACTTCGTGAATTAGCAGCATTGAACGGTACATTACGTGACGACGAAGCCCAGACTTGTCTTAATTGTGGTGCATCTGGACACAGACGTTATGAATGTCCTGAAAGACAAAACATTACATCAACATTATCCTGTCACATTTGTGGAGGCATGGGACATATTTCTCGTGATTGTACACAGCGTAACAACCCTGAATTTGCAAATCAATCCCATGAACGAGATAGCCAGTTAGATAGTGAATACATGAACTTGATGGCTGAGTTGGGAGAATCTGTACCTGATGGTGCTAACAGATCTGTAAGTAACCAATATATTCTTGCTTTCGTCGTATTAATTTTATCATTTCCTTGTAAAGCATGCTGCACCTTGGCAACGCCCTGGTGGAACTGCTCCTCCATGGCAACAACGTGCTGCTGCTCCCGCTGCTCCTGCTGCTGCTGCTCCTTGGGCAGCTGGTGCTGCCGCTCCCGTTCCCGCTCCACCCGGCGTAGGCGATGCTGCTGCTGCTGCTGCTCCTTGGGCTGGATATCCTGGTTACGGCGCACCGCCCGCCGGAGGTGAGTATTATGGCTATGGTGCTGATGCTTACAACACTTATGCTGCATATTATGATCCATCCCAAGCACCTCCACCTCCACCTGGTGGATCAGCACCTTGGCAACAGGCTGCAGCACCACCTCCACCTGGCGAAGGCTGGGTAAGTCCATGTTTGAAACTAAGAGATAAAATATGAGTTATTAACATGTTATTCTTTTATTAGGGTGTTCCTCCCCCTCCTTCTGAACCCGCTCCACCTCCACCACCATCATCTGATCCTATTCCTCCTCCTCCTTCTGATTAAGATGCAGTGCAATTCTTTTATGGCTAACAAATACCACAAAAGCTACTCAAGTTTTCTTTAATACAAATCTTTCTCTTTTTTTAAATACAAAACATTAAACAGAAATCGAAAATCATTAACCTCAGATCAGACTAACCTTGTTAATAGCTAATCTAGCTTTACAGAGAGTTGAATACCTTCGCTGAAATAATTCTATAGTCATTTTATAGTTATATACACTTTATTCAGAAATCACTCTCATACAATTTAAAATCAAGTGATCATGGTTATTGTTTCCAACTTGACAACGTATAATTATATAAAAATGATCTTTGTCTTTTTGATAGATATAAAGAGACTCTTATAATGTAGCCAGCGCTCCATAAATAAAAGCTGTATGTTCACTATAAATAATCTTTGATCTTAGTTTTTCTTTTTTCTTTGGATCAGCTATTTCCCTAAATCTATACTCTAAGAAATGAAATAATACATAGAGACTGACTATATGTTATTCCTATATAGTACGACATGCTCAATTATTGGTCTTGCAATAATCCTACTGTTGTATATAAAATGCTGCTGTTTGTAATAATGAGCTTTCTTTCTTTCGTCTTAATCCATAATAAAGAGATTGTGTAGAGGCTCATCGATATACATTTGTATTTCTTCTTTGGTTATTCTTTCGACTATATCTCAAAAATAAAAAAAGAAAAAGTAAGAAAATTATCAAGCATAAGTTTAAAAGGGGCGTCTGTACTTTAAGAAATATGATTACCTATTGAGCAACAGAGGAAGCTTTTGGCCTTCCAACTTTAAAAGATGATGCAACGCTACGTAGAAACGCTTCATCCAATCGAGAACTACGAAAGAAAGGTGAAAAGTAATTCCTGATCACGTGCAGGTCACGTGAAAAAATAATGATATGTTATTCTTCAAGTTTAAGCGGTCATGTGACGTCGCTTTGGCGGAGTGGTTAACGCGGTGGCCTGCTAAGCCATTGTCCTTTGGACGCGCAGGTTCGAATCCTGCAGGCGACGCTTTTTTGGCGCTCCTTTACGTGTTTGTGTAACGTCGCATCAATTTTTCCTTTTTAACTTTTGCATGATAGTGATACCATTTTTGGTATCTGCCACCAGTACCATTACCACTGCATGCATATGCAAGTTTTAATCATTTTTATTATTTATTATAATTATCATTTATCATAATTATATATTATTATTATTATTATTATTATTATTATCAATCGCATATTTATCAATATTGAATTAGTATAAATATCCCCAAGTTATTCATGGAATAAACAACATCGAAGAATCATCTAAGAATCATCTTATCTTCAGATCACAATAACTTCTATTTTATCTTATATCTTAAGCAACAATTGCTTAAAAACCTTTTTATTTTTACCTTTTACTTTATCTCACAAGACTTAGCATTATATTGCTTTACATTGATCTTATAATAAGATCTGGTGGTCACTACAATACCAAATTCTACATATAAAACTTATTTTTAACCTTACTACTAACACTTTTTTCCCTTACTAACACCCAGTAACAATAGTGATGTGACAGATTTGGTATTTTGTACTTTGCATGTCTTTTGCAAGTTTTTATGAGTTATCATATATCGGATATTTAGTATTTCAAATAATATAAATATTCCAAAGTACTGTTGTAACCAAGGTGACACGAAAAAGACAACTGATAATACTGAAATTTTTCGTTATAGCGACGAAAGTCGTTAAAATGAAAAATATCGGTATAAGGAAAGAGGTTGTTATTGTAAACAAAATAACAATATAAATACTTTCTTGCGTTGAAGCAAAATCAATTAAATTCATATTTTTATTGTATTATTCAAATAAACAGACAATCTTTTGTCATAAAAGTTCTTGATCTCTTCTTTTTATCTTTTACTTTACTTTATACGACATAGTTTGATCAACTTTAAAAGATCTAGTGGCCACTTCAAGCACTTAAACTTATAAAATCTCAAGAAAACCCTCTGTATTAACAACAGCCCTTACAACTCCAAAGGAAAATAACAGCATTTTTTGAAATAAACGACACCTATCAATTCAAATCACAACAGCTTCTCTTATTTTATGTTATATCTTAAGCAACAATTGCTTATAACTTCTTTATTTTCTACTTTACTTCACAAGGCTTAGCATTATATTGCTCTATATTGATCCTATATTAAAACCAAGTGGTTACTATAATATCAAATTCTACTCTAAAGTTAAGTCATTACCATTCTTTTAACCTGGTTTGATCTTGCTGTCACATTGCTTGGCAAGTCTCCAAAAAGCTTGAGAATCAATCTTGTACAAGGGAAGTAAAGAAAAGTATCCTGATCCTCGAAGGTCAGTGTATTTGAAAGGGATGAAAGTTTTGTCTTGAATCCTTGCTTGTACTGTTTTGATAAAGGCTTGAACAGCATCAATATCCTTTTTATCACTATTTCTAAGCTTGCTTGTTATTTCCAAGGTCTTGTCGGAATTGATAGCGGCCAAGGTGCTTTCTTTTAATGATCTGTACTTGCTTGTGTTCAACTTCTTGACAAAAGGAAGCTCTTGTAACTTTCGATGGGCACAACTGCTTGATGCTTTGTCTTGAGGTTTCATTTCTTGAATGGACTTCTTTTATTTCATTTCTTTCTGTATAGAGTGTAACCATTTCATGTAGCATTGAGGTTTAGCATACAGATTAGCTTCACTTTGTACATCAGCATCACTGGAAGCATCGTACATTGACCAGAAAGTAAGAAAGCTATTGACAATGGTTTCATGTCGCTCATTTCGATCAACAGTAGATGGCCAGGCAGGCTTGAGGTTTATCTTTTATTGGAATATATGCTTTGCTAAAGACTTGCTCTGTTTGACTGTTAAACTATCATCACAGAAGTAAGAAGCCTTTTCTGATAAGACATTAAGAATATGTCTGAGAGTTCGATCTCCATAAGTAGAACATACGTAATTGCGAACCAGTGTTTCATATTGCTTAGCCATGGATGATACGATGGTCATATACCCTTTACTTGCATACTTATCCAAGTCAGATTGAGTAAGAGAAGTAGGCTCACAAAAGGTCTTGAAGCTCTTCTTAATACTACCGGATGCATGCTTTCCTTAGCCAGCAAAGATGGATTCAGAGTATACCAATTGAGTGATATGGTCAACTACTTCTTGAATCAAGGTAACAAACTTGGGATGTTTGCAAATGTTAGCCAAAGATGCCTTGATTACAAAAAATTTCTCGACAGTATCCTTGAGGTTTGAAAATTTCGTTTTTGACTTATTCATAGGACACAACTTGCTGGAGGAGCGAGAGTGATCGGTTCCACCACAAGAAGGACATCGTACTTGTTTTTGCTCATTAGTTGTCGTCTTGCTCTTTTCTTTTTCCTTCTTAAGTGCTTCAGTCTTATCAACCTTGTCTTGATATTTCTTAGAAGTTTTGATAAGAGCAGAAGTACGACTAGTGTAAGATATAGGATCAGACAATACAGCTTGAACACTCGTATATTTGTTGACTGTCGGCATATATGCCTTGTCACTGGTAGTAACATTTGAATGACCAGGAGCAGATGTGTCTTCTTTAGCAGCTTTTAAAGTAATACGGGTGTTCTTGGCTATTGAAAAATCTGTTATAAATAGATTCAGCTAATAGATGTTAGCTTTACCTTTTCAAAGTAATGGTGTTTCTTGAAATTCAACATTACTTGCTTCAAAAGCTATATTTTTGAATAAACTTGTTTGCGTATGTGCAAACAAAGAAGGGAACCCACGATCGACGGCTAATGGACACTTAATAAATGCCATATCGACTGTATATCTTATATACTTTTCCCCTTATTTCGCTTTGCCTTTGGAGGTGGAAGATCATCGTCTTTCTTTCGCTTCATGTTGAAGTAAAGAAAAAAGGAAAAAGGAAAAGTAACTGCGGATAGTCTTGTCATGTTAAATTAACGATCAACAACATTGTTTTTAATAGTAAAAGGTTTTTCAAATGAAAAATCGCTTCACTTTTGACACACTACACATCTTGCTGTGGTCTCCAAAGCAGTTATCTTTATAAAAGTGATGGGATAAGGGTAATAAAATAGCACAGGAGTCATCTAAACACCAGGAACAGTGACTGAAGAAGTAGCAGTAAAGAGGGAACAGAAGAGGCACAAACTCCAATGTTATCCTTATGTTCCATGATGAAATAGCAGTACGTAATTCATACACATGTATGCAGCATGTGTCTGGCTTATACGTTGAAAGTACTGCTCAAAATCAAGTCCTCAGCGAAGACTATCATTTCTACTGCTGCTTCCCAAGGTAAGAACGATGCCACGGAAGTTTCTGTCAATATATTCAATAGGAATAGCCGCAGCAGCTTCTTCCATTGTTGGCAGGTTGTAAGTGCGTCTATCGTCTCCTTCGATCAAACGTATTCTCATCAATGAACCGATGATAATATAAGGTGATCCACTTTCGGTAGAGCCATTGTTATTAGCTTTATCCTCGCTGTTGATGCTGGAGCTCTCATGGTTGCTCAATATCTCATATACATGACGATAAATGCGTGCAAAGAGATTACATTGAGAAAGGGGGATTGAAAAGTTTTCTATATTCTCATTTTCCAGATTTTTATTCCTTTCTGATCGTCTCTGAGCAACATACGAAAAATCATAGATGTACAATTGAGCATATGAAGGTGCGTTGCCTTCAACTGGGATCAAGGGGCCTTGACAGGGGCAAAGGACGCCGTGGATCTGGAATGCGTTTAGACCACTTCTGTTGTTGTTGTTGGCATGATCCTCAGGCAAAACATTATCGCAACCTAACGAAGTAAAGGCAAAGACAGCATTGTACTGGCAAAGATTGTCATTAAAGTGGCGGCCTTGGGCGTCCGTACGCTCGAGCAAGTCCTTCAAGTACTGAGGCGGGTCAGGCAAGAGTTGCAATTGGACTGATCCCCGCTTGCAGCATGATTTCCAGCTTGGATTACTCAAAGATGATGTCTCTTGCCTTTCATCAATCCAACGCAAGGCATGGAAGTGGGGACACTCTTTGTCCATATGTCCATGATCCAAAGGATGAAGGCGAGAAAGCTGCAAGATATAGGCAGCAGGTTCTGCCCTGGGTCTACCTCTGGGTCTACTTTCAGCATCAACGGACTCGACTGTTCTTCTTGGTCTGCCTCTAGGTATAGTAGCAACGCCAGCTTCTTCTTGTTAGCCTTCGGCGCAATGTCTGCGGCGAGATGCTGCTACTCGTTCTCTGCATGCTTGACAGGTACGATGACGTGAATCAACGGGTAAAAGTGCATGGCAGGAAGAGTAATTGGTTGTACTTTGGTTGTTGTTTTCCATTTTTCTAATAAGCGTCAAGATGGGAACACAATGTTAGTGAACAGGAACTATATAAATTGGCCTTTTTTTTTTTTTAAGCATGTCCATACCTGATTCTTTTAGAAAGGGCCTTATTGTAAAAATGAGAAAAAGGGGAAAGTAAGCTCATATGATTGTGGTTCAAGGCTCGGTTCGAACAAATTGTAAAAAAAGGTTCGGTGTGCGGTTAATTTCCGATAAAAGTTTGTGCTACTTGCATATTTTCCGGCGTATTTTATGGTACATATAGCGTGTTAAGTGTGTTATTTTGTGAAGAAACATCCACTACCTAGTATTCATTATTATCATATGCTGACAACCATTTGAATAAAGAAAAATAAAAAAGCAGGCGTAAGTATTAAGCTCTCGTATATTGTTTCTGGTGCGCTTAAGGAATATATTATATGTATTTTAATATGCAGATACAAACAAAACTAAAATATTTGCAACTGTAAGTATTTTGACATTTTAGTATTTTAAAGTTTCTTTTTATTGTACTAAACTCTAGCTGCAGAGTTTTTCTTTTAAAAAAGGGAAATGCTTGTTGATATGAACATGTCATTCATTCGGCTGATCTTTTTTTATCATAGAAAGTTGAAATAAATGATGAAGCTTTATCCTTTTACTTGAATAACTTGTTTAAACATATACCCACTCTTTGGTGCTCCTGTCTTTAATGACTCTAGTATATAATAAACCTTGGCGCGTGGACTTTAAGTAAATGTTTTGTTTCTTTCCTTGTGCAACAGAGCTCCACTTTATGACAGTGTAACATCAGTACGATCTGCATGAAAAGATAAAGTAATGTATTGTTTTAATAAAAGAACAGCTTGAAAGATCAAATATACAAAGCTACTTTATTTATGATTCAAGTAAACTCTTGGTTTAAATAATTGTCGCCACGTTCATTACTATTCTTTAAATCTTACTAAATAGGCTATAAACCTTTCATTCTTTTCTCTTCTTCAAAAGGATAGTCATTTACTTAATTGTATTGATTTTCTTGTTTAAAAGTGGGATTTATTTACAAGTAATATGGAATATCATTTCCAATTATTTTACTGATCCTCTTTGATCATTTCTTCTTGTTCTTTTTCATTAGTCTTTTGCTCCATAACTTCATCCTCATCCTCCAATCTATCGTCTAATGTACGCTTCTGACCTTTTGGTGATGAGGGTGTATTCTCTTCCATTTGAGTGTCCTCTAATTCTTCCTCTTCTTCTTCTTCTTCTGTCTTTGGCTTGGAGCCATCCTTTTCCTTCTTTTTCTGCTTTTTCTCAATGGCTAATTTTTGATAGGCTAATATAGACCAAGTCAATATCGCTAATCAAAGAAAAAAGTAAGCCACTTGCCTTCAAATGATTTTTTTAGTGGCTCAATCAAATGATCTAATTCCACAATTTCTAATGCTTGAAACACATGGTTGGCAGTGATTGTTTTCTGATTTGAACCTTTTGCAACATCATTTGAGCTAATAAAACGCATCAATATTTATAATCAGATATTTTATTTACAATCTCTTACACTGCAGACAAATAATTGATGAAGACGGTTCCAGCCTTATTGACAGCTAATCTTGCATCTTTTTGCAAAAGGGTTCCAGGAGGAAGCTATAATGAGTGTTAGAGATGTAAGTAGTGATCATTCTTTTCGCTTACAGCATTCTTTAATATTCTTGAGACGTGAGCTTTAGGTAATTCATTATCTTCAATGGTGCTCGACATGATTTAAATAAAAAAAAAAGTACGTATCTGCCATTTGCAAGTCCTCCACCCCAAATATCCTGCTGAGTAATTAAAACCCTGATGACCGTTTGTTTTAAAAGACAAACTGTGAGAAAATATCTTTTCTTCTTTTCTTCTTTACTTAACAATACACAATGTCTGAACAAAAGCCTGTTCTTTATGGTTACTTTAGATCCTCTGCTTCTTATAGAGTTAGAATTGTCCTTGAGATAAAGGGGATCGAATATGACCAGAAGATTGTCAACTTGCTCAAAAAGGAACAAGTATGTGTATAAACGCGTTTATGAGTATGTAACTAATGTATATGAAATAGCTCTCTGAAGAATACAAAAAAGTAGTTCCTACTCAAAAGGTGCCTGCTTTCGTTACTAAAGAAGGCAGATTAATTCTTCAAAGTCAAGCTATCGTTGATTATCTTGATGACGTTTACCCAGGTTTGTATCAACTAGCTGTCATTTCATTGAAAAGCTTATTCGTCTTAAAGGACCATCTTTATATCCCAAGGATCCTCTTGACCGTGCTTATGTGAGTTTTATTTTTATTTTGTCTACGCATTTATTTATTTTATATAACAACAGGTTCGCGAAATTTGTCAAATTATTGCATGTGACATCCATCCTCTTCAAAATCTGGGTGTCTTGCAACGTGTTGCCCCAGACAACCAAGAAGAACAAAATGCATTTGCCAGAGAGATGATCACAAAAGCATTCCATGGTCTCGAAGCACGTCTTGCTAAGGTTGCTAGTAAATACTCTTTTGGTGATACCTTGACGATGGCCGATGTCTTTGTTGTTCCCATGGTATATAATGCTATGCGACGTGACGTTGATATGTCTCAATTCCCCATCTTGTCTCGATTGTATGATACCGTATCTGCCTTGCCCGAGTTCAAACGGGCCAGTCCTCCTGCTCAGCCTGATTGTCCTCCTGAATTAAAGCAATAAAAAGTAAGGTGACACACCATGACCCAGCCCTTATTCAAATCGAATTTTATGCAACCTGTCACATTTCGAGATTTTTCTCTCTTGTATTTTTTTATTTTTAAAGATGAGCATAAATTGTGTCATGTTGACTCAAGATGGCAAGGCGCCTGTACCTTTGCCACAGGAAAAGATGTTCTTTACACAACCAGACGTCAAGCTTATCTTGGATTGTAACGAGTAAATGATAATAACATGTAGTCTTTTTTTTTTTTATTTGTGTCCTAACCAGCCATGGATATATAGTGAAGCAGGCTATCCTGGAAACACTGGGTATTTTTCTATTTCTATTTAACATATAAGTGAATGTGTATATCTCTAAATGATCTGATATAGAGGGCACTATGAGTCCAGTCGTGGTACTGTCGTCTTGACAAATCAAAGAGTAGTGTACGCCAATTATATTTTTGTAAACAGAAAAAGTCTCATGAATTTTTTTCTAGATTGTTTATCTTGTAGATAAGCCTACACCAGGTTTTCAAAACTTGAATGTTCCCATATTAAACTTTAAACAATGGAGACTGGAACAACCTTGGTTTGGGGCAAACTATGTAGCAGGCACTGTTTTACCTGTAAGTGAGATCTCTATATCCCTTTATCCTTCCAACACTCGTTTAGGTTCCAGGAGGTGGATTAACAAGAGCAAGCCAACTTAAGCTCACTTTTGCAGAAGGAGGTTCGAGAAAATACAAAACGATATTTTTTTTTTTCCTCTAAAAAGAAATGATCATAGGTGCCATTGAATTTGCGGATATTTTGCGTAATTTATTGGAAAGGATGGGAGGTAATGACAAGATCATACATAAGAGGGGTTTGGTTAATCTATTTTTTTTTATTAGAAACAAATGAAATACCCAGAGAGTATGAACCATTACCTGAATACCCAGCACCACCAGTAGCATCATCATCAGAACAAGATGGTGATTTGCCTCCTCCTCCTGCATATTCCGCATAAGACCTATATACACGCACACACGCACATTAAAAAAGGTTTATTGATAAGGTCATTGGCACAGCCAGGAATAAAATTAAAGAAAAAAGAGAATACATCATCATTTATAAATATACAAAAAAGAGTGAAATACATTATCCAAAAAAATATTTATCCAAAGGTGGACACAATATGAGCTAATTGTAATAAGTCATTTCCATTTTGCTTTTCCTTTGACCGATCATTCTGTTCATCATCCTGTTTGTTGAACGCATTTGAATTTTCTTGCAGCCAAGTTCTCCTCAGCTGACTTCTTTGAGGCTGTTTAGGATGAAGTAAGGTGAAGGGTAAATGATTGGTTGCGCTTTGAGGCGTATAGGTCAAGGGACGATGCTGATAAAATAAATGATGGGTGGTCACAGTTTCTGCCACGGGTTGATTATTTGTACTAGAAGAAGCGGATGAAAGTGTGGGGCTTGATACCTGAGATGTTTTTGCGACAGTGGATAGAGGCAAAGGGAATTGATTGAAACGAGCGGTATTTGGAATTGTTCGCAGTGATTGATGATAATTTGAAAGGTGCTGATCAATAGTTAGTGGAGGTTCGATTTGAACAGGATCTGAGCGAATACGTTGATGAGCATGAAGACGAGGCTTTGGTCTTGTTTCTTCTGTTGTTTGAGTATTTGCTTGTCTCTTTTGTGATCGGCGTGATTTAGGTGACATATGGGTTCTATAATGCTGCATCATATTATCTTGACGTGAAAATCTGGATTGACAACCAGGGAATAAACAAGGAAAGTTCTTCTCTCCTGTATGTATTCGATTATGTCTCGCAAGATGACCACTTGAAAATGTATGAGTAACAAGAGAAGGGTACTGGTATCGTTATTTACCTTGTTGTGAAACTTTTATTGCATCCTGGTTCAGTACAATGGTATTTTCTTTTACTTTCTTCTTCTGCAGTATTCAATAGACTCACTTGTCTACCAGAAGCATTCTTGACTGATAATAATCCTTCATTCATTTTATATGTTTCTCTCTTTGTATGTGTATATATATATATGTGTGTGTGTGTGTGTAAAAAATTATTTATAGAAATAAAGTATAAAAAAAAGGATTCCCTTCCTTTCCCTTATTTTTTTGGGTTTTTTTCTTACTCAGATCATCTCCGCGGAACAAGACCCGTATTGGGGACTTGCTATTTATGTATGAAGTAATAAGCTTCCTACTGCTTGTACGTTTAAACAGATTTTTATTTATAAATAATTAAAACCTATAGAAATCATGATATGAAACAAAATAAAAGGCTAATTAATGAGATGTTACAAAAACTGGTTTATATCTTTTGACTTTCAGACCGATGGACCCTTTTCTTTTATAGGTGCTGCATTCAGTCATTTACAAATGGCTTATGTAAAATAACCATGATCTGCATAAAAAAACAAGATTGATTTCATTTGTGCATTCTTGCTGATCAAACTCATGCAGATAATTTTTCTATCTTTTTCCCTTCTTTTTCTTTTTTTCTTCTTCTCTAAACATAATGAATCATCATCAAGACTGGAGAGAAATAAAAGTATCAGCCTTGGTCAAGGATCAAAAAGTGATTGAGATGTAAGTTGTATATTTATAAAGATAACTTACAATAACCAATCAATCAATCAAAAAAAAAAAGCTCAAGTAAAATATCCATCGAAGAAGCATGTCAAGTTTTACTTGAGAATAACATATCATCAGCACCTATCAAACATGAGGGAAACTATATAGGCGTGTTTGATTATGGTGACGTGATTGCTTATATATTGCTCGTACTACAGCCCAAGGATAAGGAAAAGGAAGGCTATAGTATCCAAGATATCATGAATAAGGCGTTAAAGGGAGAGAAAGTATCTGTTGGTTTAGTGAGCGGTAAGTGAGGCATATTGAACAAGTTTGGTTAATAAGCATAGACCTCTCTCGAAAGAACCCATTTTATTCTATTCAACAAGACTCTACATTGTCATCAGCCATTGAAATATTTGCTCTTGGAACACATCGAGGTAAAAAATAAAATAAAATACATTTACTTGTTCAATGAACTTATTTGATGGACTAGTATGTGTACTGAAGCCTGATGGTGGAATACGAGTAATACAGTAGGCGTATTTCCCCTTGTTTATTACTTATTATTATCTATAGGCTATCCTGTCTCAATCTACGGTCATTCAGTATTTGTATGAGAATACGAAGCAATTTTCAGAGCTTGGTGAATGCATGAATAAGACAGTAAGAAAAAAAAAAAGGCTATGTTATCATTTTGTAACACAAATATAATAGATTCATCAGCTGAATCTTGGAAAAGAACCTGTGATAAGTGTTCCAGCTAATGCAACTGTGCTGAACGCACTAGTGATAATGAGTAACTATTGTGCAGTCCATCTTGGTTTTTACTAACAACGTATCAAGGTCAACATGGCGTCTCTTCTTTAGCTGTTGTGAGTAGTGATAAAATCATTGGAAACATAAGCATGACAGATGTCAAGGTAATCATAGCAAACAAAAAAAAAAAAAGGGAAGAAAGAGGGGACGTGCGCTGATAGCTGTGAATATGTGTGCGTGTGTGTGTGGTAATGGTAGTAAGGCGGAGATAACCTTCGATTTGTGTTCATTATAGCATGTGATGAAAAGCTATCGTCATGGATTATTATGGAAAACGTGTTTTCAATTTGTGAGTTATATAAAATTAGAGCAAGGCATCATAGAAGGGCAGGTAAGTAACCATAGAAACAAAAAGAAGGAAGCTAACAAACAATAGGATCGATTACCCGTATTTGATGTCCGTCCTGATACTCATTTAGGATTCGCTATTGCCAAATTACTTGCAACAAGGGCACATCGTGTTTGGGTAACAGATGAAAAGCAGCAACTACTTGGCGTTGTTTCTCTTACAGATATCTTTCGTATTCTTGCTACTGTGGCTGGCATTAAGCTACCAAATGAAAATCGTAGAACGAGTTTGAATGTTAGTACTTTCAACAGAAGGGACATAAAATAAAAAAAAGGTACACCTTTTCATGTTTATACTCAGCTACTCATCATCACCCATCATCATCATCATCATCATCATTATCATACACATTTAAAAAGCATGGTTACCTGAAAATCTTTTTTTTTTTCTTTTTTTCTTTTTACTTTTTTTCTTTTCCTTTTCTTTTTTTCTCTTTCTCTTTCTCTCTTTTTCATCAAGTCTATTTCATCTTTATTCTTTTTCATTATTTTCCCACAACTTCAGTCTTTACGCTCTCTTCTGAAGATTAAATTAATTAAAAACCCGAGTTATGCCACCCAAAGAGAATAGCAATAATAATAAAGAAAACACAAAAGAACAAGGCAAACGAAAAAAGATTGTCAAGGCATGTAAAGATTGCCGAAGAAGAAAGGTAAAGTGAATAGGTAAATGTGTGTGCAGCTGATAATAGTTACCACTTAGGTCAAATGTGACGGTGAAATGCCCTGCAGTACTTGTAAGAGGTCATCCATACAGTGTGTGTTCGAATCAAGCACACCTAAAAGAGGAGCCAACAAACATTATATTGAATCGTTAGAGAATAGAATACATGTAATGGAAAGAGCACTTCATTCACTAGGAGGAATGCAGCTAATTGAAGAAGCAGTCAGAAGGCAACAGATGATAGAAGAACAGCAGCAGCAACAGCATCAAGGTACAGTTTATATGTTTGTTTGTTTACTCCAAATTAACCTTGTTAAATAGGATTCAAAATAAATGATAATAATAGGTTCTTGCTAAATGAAATAGGAAATCCATACTACATTCAAGATATTTTACCAGGGGATTTTTCATCCACCAGCAGTAGTACAACAAGCTCATCACCTAATCAACAGCAGGACGAGTTGATTCAGTACTTTATGATCCAAATTCAGCCTTATTTTCCCATCTTTGTACCTACCTATTTTAATAGACTCTATCTTGCAAATGAGATACCTCATATACTTATTTACGCTATCTGTGGGCTATCCTTATTCTATCAACGAGAGGACGGGGAAGAATATATTCAGAGAGCGATGATCATGTTGGATGAAGCTATAGGAAAACCTTCGATCATGATTATTCAGACTCTCTTGATCCTTTTAAAATATTCAGAAACAGACCACGAAAAGAGCAAGAGTCTATTATCAAGAATCACAGAGCTATGCAAAATGCTGGATCTAAAACGACTAGTCTATCAACAAGATAACGATAGTAACGGTAGTGCAGAGGCTCTGGAGACAAGGAAAAGAACCTTTTATATGGTATTAAGATACAATGTCCTTTTATGGCAAGTATCAAAATAGATGTATAAAAATGGAAATTAACCTTTTAATATTTATAGTATGGAACAAAATTTGGAAATTGATAGTTATTTCATAAAGGATACAGCTGCACTCAGGACGAGTGATGATTTCGTATTTGATTCTTCAGTGATTACTTTATCCAACATTTACCAGCACTTACGCAGAATTACAAAAAGACAGGACGCTCAACAGGATAGTAGGAATAATCAGCAGGTCGTTGAAGAAAGTCTATTTATTATGCAGCTGCAGCTGATGATAGATAAGGATTTCATTCAATTGCCTCCTATCCATCAAAAATTAAAGTTCCCCGCAGGCGAATTGCCCTTGAATATCAACGCAATAACAAGGCTTTCCCATATTTATCACCATTTAAACATAATCCTACTCCATTTCCACTACTCAAAATATCCATTACCTCAGCCATCGTCCATTAATAACGATATCATTCAATACCCTCATCGAGACCTATCCTTGGCATCTTCGTCTATCTTGATCAGACTATTGGAAGGCATGCTGGCTGAGAATATCTATAAATTTATTCCACGAGGTGTTCACTTTCTACTGTACTGCAGTCACTTGGCTTCAACAGTCATCCAGCAACTGGATTATATGAACCACTTTGATGAATATCAACGATCGCTAAATCTTATCCAGCGTATCACCTGTGCCAAACAACAAAGGCGGTTTAGTCAAATCCCAGCTTCTTTACTTCAACTTTCATCTGCGGACGTATCAAATTTATCGATTCAATCACAACCTCAACCACAATCACAATCACAATCGCAGCCGCAACCACCACAATCACAGTCTCAACAACAACAACAACAACAACAGCAACATCAGCCACTTCACAATCTTCATGCGGCTCCTCTACAGCTTAACACAAAGAAATCACTGCGTACGACCTCTTGTGTTGACCTCAGGTCCGTCCAACGACTTCACTCTCAGCAACAACCCACACCCAACTTTACCCAACATCGTAAGCCGGTCGCCTCGGTCATTTCGTCTAGTACGACATCGACAAACCCTGCTCCTTATCGCCACGCTTCGTCTCCAACACTCAAGGGCCACCCTTCGCCTCCTGGTATACCTTACCCTGTGGTCCACGAAATTATACCTCAAACTACCCAATCATCGCTTCTTCGACAACCAGGCAAGATGCGAGTTCTCAGAAAGAGTTCGTCCTTACATGGTCTATCTAATACTTATCGACAACAGCAACAACTGTACCATCAACAACAATTACTACAGCAACAACAACAACAACAACAGCCAATGATGCCCATGTTTCAACATCCATCACCTCTTGATCTACATCGACCTTATCAACCAACACTCTTGGATTATCAAGATGTCAAAATGGGGTCCAATGAACTCATGGATGATTTTTCGCTTCAGCCTACTGATTTTAATTTTCTTAGTCATCAAATGTTTAATGATGAAAGAACAGAGGGGCATCCTCTACTTTAATTTATTGATTTATACTATAATAATAAATAACTGTGTATATAAATATATATATATCTTATGAAGGAGGAGGTGGGTGAGAGGGAATAGGTGGTCGGTGATGAGTTTTCAGAATGGACATCAAGTCATCTAATGTATCTAATGCTTTTGTCTTTTCTGTTGTCGTTGTTGGTGTTGTTGGTGTTGGTCTTGTAAATAGTTTATTCATATTCTGCTTTTCTACTTGTTGTTCCAGTTCAATAATGTATCGCTTTAATTGTTCATTCTCTTTCTCTAATCGTTCCATTCGTGCTGGCCAATCTGCCATGCTAGTCACTTTGGCTTCTAATTCCTTCACATACCGTTCTTTTCTCTGTCGAAAGGCTCTTTGTGCTGCACGGTTCTGCTCGGCTCTTCGACTCTCTGTTAATGTCTTTTTTATCTTGGGTTTACTATTATTATGGTTGTCTACAGTGTTGCTAGCAGTGGTATTATTTGACATATATACAAAGAGAAAAGAAATATATAAAAAAGAAAAAGGGCAAAAAAAGGAGATTCTCACGAACACTGACAGCAGTTTATTACGTAATGAACTGGTCGTATCATAACTGATTATGTAATAATTTAACGACGCAACTTGATTGCCCTTGTGAAATGTTCATCAATCTGTTGATTGTATTCGATCTGTCGTTCACCAGGTAAGCCATGTCCAGCTCCTTCAAAGACCTTGAGTTCAGCGCCCAATTTATCTGCGAGGTAGTAAGAGTTTCTGGGGTTAACGAGGTGATCCCAGGTACCCGTCATGACCAAAATCGGTATACCCGTCTCACGAATCTTTTGTAAGCGAGCCTCTGAGACATGATGGGTCATACAGGCTACCATTTGAGCCATATTACCCCATAATGTCTGTGGGCGACTGCGATCCATGCGAGCCAACTGAAGGGCGAGAGATAAGTCCTGGTTGGTCTGGTACTGTTCATACTCTATCTGAGTTGGTTTGGCGGCGAGCCATTGGGGCGGGTACACAAGTGCAAGCGATTGACTGATTCTTTCTACTGGGTCCTTGATAAAGATCAATCTTGGCAGAGTTGTTAGTGCTCTCCACTATAGGTATATATTCATCAGATTATACAAGTCTGTGTCATCAAGTCAACTTACAGTTGGTATCTGACGTCCTGCTGTCGTGCTTGTCAATACGAGCGAAGTAAATCGCTCAGGCCATCGAGAGACAAGTTCAAGGGCAATCATGCCTCCCATAGAGACTCCATCAAGATGAACGTTTTTTGTCCAGCCAAAGTGGTCCATTAGGTCAATCACGTCATGTGCCATTTGTGAAGTACTACGAACATTGGTACAACATTTTATGTAGACGACTTTTTTCTTTTTACCTGTATACGCCTTTTGGTGCATCTGAGAGAGAAAAAGAGGGTTTGTATTAAGCAAAGAAAAGAGGATTCATAAGTGCTTACCTGATAATCCCATACCACGATTCTCAAATATTAATACAGTGTATTTACCTGTCTCTGCCAAGTATTTTGTCTGATGTTCCCAGGCAAGACAGGTCGTATTTAGTCCTAACTAGAATGGTTACTGCTTTGGGTCTTGTAGAAAATTCAAAAATCCAAACCCATAATAAGAACAACATGTTCTGGCCCATTGCCATGAAGTTCATAATAAATTTTTACTGCAGGATCTTCTCTTCCCTTGGCTACTTCAACGTAGCCCCTTTCTCGTTGTGTGGATAATGACATTCAAAAAAAAAAAGAGCGAGAGAGAAAAATGCTTAAATAATCAAAATCACATTAAATTATAATAATTGGCTAGTTCAAAAGGAGAAAAAAGGAACAAAAGACATGTTATTTATCAAAGCACCTTTGTATCTTGAATACTCTTTTTATATTCAATCTTTTCCACCTTGACTTCATTATCAACCAGTTTATAAACATAGGTGACGATGTTGTTTCCTTGGATATCCATCAATACAAACGAAGGAATGGGATCACTTGATTGAGATATTAGTGTGCTTTTATCTTGTATGATTAACAAATTATTTTACCTTGTATCGGGTATAGCAGAATATGCACCTGTAGCACTTCCAGGATTAATAAAGAATCGACCGTCAAATTCATAGGCTTCAAATTTATGCGTATAACCACTCAACAACACATCTACTTCCAACTGTCTTGCTATAATATTCAGAGCTTCGATATCACCTCGAGGTATTACCTGGTGCCCGTGAATGATACCAATACGGAATTCACCTTCTTGAATCACCTTTGTCTGTGGCAAATCAACATCGTCAAACTCGCCCTTGACTGTGGTTAAATCACCAGCTATCGTTCTCAAGTACTGATGGGTCTCTTTATCCACTAGGTTTCCTGTACATAATATTCTTTGGATCTTGCCAGGGACCTAAAGTATCCCTATTGAGTTCATCACTCTGTCTGACGCACACATGTTATATTTACCAAGAGTTTTCTAAATTTCTCAGGCAAGCCATGAGTTCTGTAAGGAATATGCAGGTCTCCAATAGCTAACACAAGCTTCACCGAAATAGAAAAGTTAGTGAGCTGTTTTATAGTAATGTCGAATAAGACTTTACCACCATTTGTTTTATATGCAAAATAGCAGTAGTAAATAGCTGCTTGAGACAATTAGAAATTCACTTTCAGTAATGAAACACCATGATTGGATGTTGACTCCGCCGTAGGTTTGGCTACAGTCATATACCTAGATTTCGTATCCTTTTGGTATTTTATACTGAGTTTGAATAACACACTTGTATATATCTAAATCCTGCTGGAGGGAACCGTGTCCTCGACGACGATTTCTCTAAGGAAAACCGAAAATCTTCCTTCGCCTCTCGAAATGGCGCAAGAGATATCAAGCATGTTTTTACTTGCGTGTACATCTCTGTTCCACAGTATATTGCAGATTTTGCAATCTAATATATTGTGGGACTTTTTACCATTCGAGAGCTTCTTTTGTTCCAACCCCTTCTGCTTACAACTGTTGCATATCTAAATAGTTGATGGAACAAAGCTGTCATTAAATAACATTAGATTTATCACGCTGATTTCATTAGAATATCTTCGACGTTCGAAACTTATATACGCCAACCAGGACGTTCTTGAACTGCCTTGATCTTTGAAGGAGCTCCTTCTGCAGAATCCTCGTGACGCCGCTAACATGGACCTGGACAGTAACGTTGTCTTTGTTTTCATGCCATCTCCAAAAACTACCAGAAGAATTGAATCAGAATATTGGAACTTGCTTTTCCGAGCTGCTCTTTCCTTTTCTTCAGCAGATGGCCTAACTATATCATTGTCAATAGCCTTTAAACATTAAGCAATATTGCCATAATTACATTTGACTATTTTCTTGTTTCTTCGTTCTTTTCTTTTTGCGCTGCTTTCGATTTTGCTTTGTTTTGTTGTATTTTTTTCCTCCGTTGATCAGTATGTTGGCTATTTCTGCATTTGACCTTTGTCTGCCTTGGTAATCGTAGAAACGAAATAGTGCTGGCCATTCATCGTAAAAACGGAATAAGCGAGGTATGCTGATTAGAGCATCTGCGACATATGCATTTGTCTTTTCCATATCAACAGTTTTTTCCGAAGGGAAGCCTGTCTCTATTGTTTTTATACCAGCACTTAGTTTTAGCTTCTCTATTTGGCATGCTCTTCTTTTTGCATCATTGTAGCATTGCCTCTCTTTTTCGCTACATCTTCTTGTTTCTAGATTGCCCCCCTCATGCTGTATGGTCGTTGTGAATACATGTGTTCTTCCGGGATCTACAGCACAGAGCTGAAAACACTCTTGTACTTCTTGGTCAGAAAAGTCTTCCAAACCCAGTTGTATTGTCGCTTTTTCTTCTTTTGCCTTTCTTGCAAAGGTAAAGCATGCACCAAAACCATCTGTTTGAATACAGCAGGTAAATTTATTTTGACTCTCAAGAACTTTGTCCAGGCTTTCGTAGCCAAACTTCTTGAAGTTAGAAATCGAATAAAACAAGTTTACGTTGCCTTAGTAAGTGCCATCGCTCTTGTGTTTTGTAATTGCTTGCAACGCCTTTGTATTTATATAAATATATCGCCAATGGATAGACTGCGTGGGCATTAACGAAAAGCGTCTAGACATTTTTACTTTATCGTCTTTGTGCTCGTTACAAAGTTTTTCAAGTTCAGATGTCATAACAACCAAAGCAGGCACGAATTTTGTTGGAGAAACGGCAAGGTTCTTGACAGTAGACGGTATGGGAAGCCTAACTTGTAACACATTACATATAGGAAGTATTTGTGCTATATTCTGGATTGAAACAAGATCAAAGTACTGGATAGGTCACTTGGGTTCTCCATTTATTAAAATTTGCCAACAAAAGCCGTCATCCAACTTGTATAGAAGTCCTTTGGGCTTATCCTAATTATATACGTAATGAACATCGATGTCGCATATAAGTATATAAATATATAACTAAAAACTTATATTTGCCATATTAAACACGTAAGCTTTCAGCGTTTACATGTTTTCGGGACTGATTTCTCTACCGGCATTCAATCAGACATTGCTGCCAGCTTATTCTCCCATGACAATTATTAATGAATTGGAGGACAGGCTTCATCTCATCTTTTATGAAGTCATTGCTTCCTTCGGCTTCTTAAAATCGCTCCCTGATAGCATTCTCTGGCGGCAAGTCCAAGGAGGACTCACTGTCCGTGTCGTTTTTTATTCTTTGGTAGCGTTGCCTCAGTTTCTTGTTGAATCTTATACCACGATCTAACTGTTTGACAGCTTTCGTCAAACCGAGGAAGCGTGTAATGCCTTTTCTTACCGAAAAAAGTACTTTTTCATTTGTGATACAAATGAAATTCAACTTCTCAACAGGGCTTTCTTCTAAAACAGTTCTTGTTGCGACACGCAGTTGTTTGCAATGCGATAAAGCTGTTTCATTATTGGATCATCACCGTATGGGCAACTAACAACACTCTGTTGCTGGCACGTTAAGAATAGCGCAATTGTTACACAGCTTTGGTTAAACCAGGGAAGCGTATGATGTCGCTTTTCACTGATGTGATATTATCGGTGAATAGTAGTTTTACCTCTAAAACATAAGAATACGGCAAGATGGAATAGGTCTTTTTATGAAAAGAGAAAAGAAAGAGATTAGTGGCAAAAAGGAAGTTGATCTTTATATAAATGTTGTCACCTAATTACATCTTGTGAATTATATTGCATGCAGCGTCATCAGCTACAGATATCATGGATCAGTTTTGTAGGCTTAATAAGAGTATCGTATAAACAAGATGACTTTGGCTTGTGTACGTAATATATATCTGTTCTAATTTTTGCACAGGAGACGGATTGTTATCATCCATTCATCTTGCACAGCTAGTGCGTCTGAAAAACATCATTTCTTCAGTAGTCTGCGTATTTTGATGGTATCTACAAGAGGGCTTTTCTAAATTCAGGCTTGAATCTGTCATATGGCGAGATTGGCTTCTTCCAGGTTGTCTGCTTTCAAGAAGATTTCTTTGAAAAACCTGCAGAAATGCTCTGATACTGCTTCCTCTTATTGTCTATCAAGCTTTACTAAAAGCTACAAGACATGAGTTTTTGGCATTCTCCATAACTGGCCTCTCTATTGAAAGTAATGCCAGAAAATCTTCGGACCTGCAAATAGTAGCTGTGCATAATGCGGCCCTAATAACCATTTTTAGTGATTATCAGCAGTTTATTGAACCAATCCGAAACCTTGTCAACTTCAACCTCTTTTTTTTTATTATTATTATCACGAGAAATTTTAAACAAGTTTAAGCTTTTAAATAACAACTCGAATAAAAATAGTTTCAGATGCAAAAAGGCTGATGTGCACTCAGTGTAACCAATGCTATTCTTTCTCGCTTGCATTAAAAATAAATCAGGAGAGAGAAGATAAGCTTGCTCATAGAGTAACAATTGAAAGTTTATTGCTGAGTTTAAGAGCGTCTACTCTATTTACACATGTAAAAAAGAGTGTGAAAAGGATGCGCTTTGTACTTTGTCACTTGACCTGTAAACAAGATGCAGCTGTTCTTTATTTTATACATGTTAAAGGCGAATTCATTGGAACATAGCAAAGTTATATGCATCCTTATTTACTTGAAAAGGAATTGATAAGAAATAAAAAGGAGGGGGAACGTGTGTTTAGCAAAATGATAAACAAGTATAGAGCATGCATATATGATAGACCTGACAACTGAGTTCATAAAATGTGGATTTGGTACTCCCAACAGAAGAAGGTCATCTGACGATACATCATGAAATGAGTCAATCACTGTAATAAGGATGACGCATGTTTGAATAAAAGTTCGGAATGGCCAGACCGAAGATGAATTATTTATTATTTGATCGACAATGAATGCAATAATAGAAGAACTATGTACAAGAGAATAAAGAAAAAGGGAGAGGATATGTACATACGCATATGAATTAATGAATTAAATAGAAAGATCTTGTCGATGTTTGAGAACAAATTGATTCAAGCCTTGGTCGTCGACCCAACAGTTGTATTGAATTAACTTTAAGAAGGCGCGTTCGAGTTGATAGATTTCTTTCATTGAAAATAATCCACCACAGATCTCGTAAAGTCTTCTGTTGGTTAAAGTGTGTGTTGTCCAGGCTGAGTCTTTTAAAAATTTGGATGCTAATAATAATGCGCCAAGAAACATGCGGTGATTTGTATCGTCACTGCCAACAGCTCTCTTTGGTAAGTTGGATTTGGCTCTTTGCAAGTATATCAAGGCGACTAAGAGAGTTCTGCAATTGATGTCAGCTTGGTGAGTTACTTTTTGAACAAAGAAGACGAGTTCAGGTAATGATCTGCGTATGCTGGCGTTTTTAGGATGGGCTGGTAATAAATCACATAATGTCATGGCTGTAAAGTCTATGGATAAAAGGTTATTATATGTTGAATATATAAATGAATAGCTATTACCAATCAAGATAGAAGGCGGGCCTTTTCTTGTACATGTATTTGCTGGTTTATTGTGTGGACGAGTGATAATAAAATTAAAAGTGGGTGGTTGTTGAATCATGATTTTTTTTAAAAAAAAAAAAGTGAGAGAAAGAGAATCAAAATACGCAGAAAGGGGGAAATCTTTATAAGCATGCAAAAGCCATGCTTGTGTCATTATTTTGTCTCCCTTTCATAATTTTTTTTTTTTGTTCAACAACAAAAACCTCCTTGCTTGAATGCCACACACACGCACACACGCACGCATATACAAGCTACTATCCTTACCAAAATTAAGCTTGTTAAACACATCTCCTTAATACAACTTGACATTTCATCTATACTCACGTATGTAACTCCTTATAAGCGTATTGTTCTAGAGTGCAACAGGTATTTCATTCCGAGAGATAAGACCATTATTTCCTTCTTTAGATATGCCGATATCGAAAGAATAAAAGGAAAGACAGCTTTCACAAAGCATTGTTTACAGGTTTTGACGTTAAATTTTGTAATTTATCCTTTTATAAACTGTGTAGTTCGAAATGTATCACGTGTGATGCCTACATAAAAGTTGTCCATCAAACAATGAATGATAGAAGCCTCATTTAACTCTCTTATTAAAGGCTTAGCTCCTTTGGACGATATAGAGTTAAAATAGGCTAAATGAAAATAAATAAATATGCATCAAGCTTACAAGTTCTTTGACAACCTTATAAAGGTATGACAGGTATGCAAGAGTCTAGACTGAGCGGTGGCCATAAAAATGGGAGTTTTCATTTATGCATAAAGAAATATTTCTTTGTTTTGTTGAGCTTTTTCGAATGTTGGGTTTTTTTTTTTTGGGTATGTGTACACTTTATTTCAGATATAAGCATGAAACAAGGAAAGGATTCACATGAAATAAAGATATGAGACCTATTTATGGTCTATATAAAAATATTGTATGAACCATGTCAGTTCTATTGTTTCTTTTATAATAGACAAGGCTTGAGCTTATTGTTTCTCTACGTTCACTCAATATCGTTCCTGGACGCAGTTTCATTTCTGAAAAAACATTTTCTAAATAAATCAACGGAATACAGTAAGCCGAAAGTTACACTTGTCATTTATCGGTCTCGGAGCAACCGATCACTCTTTGTCACTTTGATCTACACACGTTTTATTTTTTCTACACAAAGACCGACAAATGATGCAATTATGGTGTAAAAAAGTGATCTGTGCGGTGTCTTTACATTTTCTTATCAACTCACTTTGTATCTTGGTTGCCAGTTTCTATGACAAGAGACATGTTTCATTTTATATTTCAAATAAGCAAGTCTCTATTCATTCAGCATGCTCATTCATTTATTGTTAAGTTTTAATCTTTGTTCTGTTTACTAGCCTTGTTTGGGCATATACACTAATATAAGATATATCTTCATATTATAGAGCATAAGGTGTCTACCTGAACACATTCGCGCTAACTGCCCTGATATGGTTAGACTGGCAAAACGTCGTGATTCCATGTCTACCATCCGCGCCTTCTTCAATGAGGTTATTTCCAACAAAGAACTCTATTGCTCTATTCATAGGACGAAGCCTTCATTCTATTGTTCCTGAGCCTTCTGAGAGTAAAACCATATTAGAAGCTGACCAGCTTGAACGATTACTTTTACTTTACTGGAAAACGGCATAATAAACCTCAGACATGCGCTAGTCGATGAACCATGATGATGGCTAGAGCAGATACATGATATCACTAGATGATATACTAAAACTGATCGTATTTAAATTGACACAAAGGAGGAATTAATAGGGTTTATTAATAACTTCATGTTAGTAAAAATGAAAGGAGCGATAAAGGTAGGGCTTTTTGAATGTAATCAACATCCAGGCATCTTATTTAGTTAACCGTTGATTTGTGACAAAATAAGCAAGAAAATGATGACAAACACATTATTTCCCATATGTGAAATATTCAGTAAAAGTAATCATTATTATGTCTTACACTTTAGGCTGTTGTAGCTTACCAAAATATAAATTCCTTATTTGGCTTTGTTTCCCTTGAAAACCACTAAAGGCCATGCCAAGTTCATCGGGTGGATAAAGTAGTTCGTTTGCTGCATAAGATTACAGTCACAGCATGTGCCTTTTCCGCTTTTTAAGGAAATTGGATATATACCCCACACACTCTTTTTTTCTTCTCTATTTCAAGAGCATTTTTACGTATCCTCTCTCCCTTTTTCTTTTATAAACATTATTTTCCATAAATGAGTATATCAGATCGTCCTGTCCGTATTGGTTGCTATTCTGCATTTTGGGGTGACTCTGTCGCTGCTGCTGTTCAACTTGTGGAGCATGAAGGGAAAAACTTAAATTATCTCGTTGCAGATTATTTGGCAGGTAAAAAAGAAAAAGAAGATGCATTGTTACAAGATAATTAACAAAAAGCGGACCATAGAAATTACCATGGGCATCTTGGCTGCTCGTCGACAGCGACGTATCATGATGGGCAAAGACACAGACCGAGGCGCAGACTATATAGCAGAATTTCTTACACTGGCGCTATCTAAAATCTTGCCAGACATTGCTCGTAACGGCACTAAAGTGATCACAAACGCTGGTGGACTTGACCCCGTTGGGTGCAAGAAAGCTATTGAAGCTCTGTTGAACAAAATGGGTATTCAGAATATCAAAGTGGCTGCTGTATGGGGTGATGATGTCTTGAGCGACAAAGAAGACAAAACATTAGGCGCCTTTAAAGGTGCTCATCCTTTTTCTACCTTGTCTGTTACTGAACATAATTTGGATGCAGATCGATTGCCATCCAATGACGAGCCGATCGTCTCTTTGAATGCTTACTTGGGTGCCAAAGGAATTGCAGCTGCATTAGATGAAGGTGCTCACATCGTAGTTACCGGCCGTGTTGTAGACTCTGCTCTCGTGGTTGGTCCGTTAATTCATGAGTTTGGTTGGAAAGAAGAAACAACAGAGAAATATTACGATTTGCTTGCATCTGCATCTTTGGCAGGACACATTATTGAATGCGGCTGTCAAGCGACGGGTGGTAACTTTACAGATTGGCATCTTGCCGCTCAATCACCTTATGGCGGGTATGCGAATATGGGTTACCCTATTGTTGAATTCACAAGATCAGGGTCATTTGTAGTTACAAAGCCAGAAAAGACAGGCGGTTTGGTGACTCCTGCAACTGTATCAGAGCAAATGCTCTATGAAATTCTGGACCCTGCCTTGTATCTCTTACCGGATGTTATTTTGGATATGCGTCAAGTCACGTTAGCCCAGATTGGGCCTAACCGTGTTCTTGTGTCAGGCGCAAAGGGTAGACAGCCTACACCTTTTCTCAAGTGTTCAGGCATCTTTATGGATGGTTTCAAGATCAGTATCGAACTTTTGATCGGTGGTATAGATGCCAAAAAGAAAGCTTTAGCGGTTGGTGAAGCGGTCATTCGACGTGTACAGGGCATGTATAAAAAAATGGGGTTCTCTGACTTTAGAGGCTATAATATAGAAACTATTGGAGCTGAATCTTTATTTGGGTATAAAGAATGAGCCTTGTCTGAGCAAGCAGTTCTGCTTACTTTTTTTTTATTTAGACCACACACAAAAGCAAGCAATAGCCGTGAAGTTATGCTACGACTAACCGCTCATCATGATAACCCAAAGGCATTGGGTCTGGTTGCTTTGGAAACTATTCCAGTAAGTATTCTATTACTGCTTGGACCATTGATATTAATTATATGAGCCGTGATAGTCAGCTACATGCATGGCTCCAGGAATTACTGGTAGTGGCACTGGACGCCCAAGACCTGTTCCAAATCTTGTTCATTTCCCATTACTTGTCCCTAAATCTCAAGTGACTACATACTACGTTGCTGGTTCAGGGCCAGAAAAGTCTGTGCCATGGGGTTCTTGGGACTCGTCCATGTCCTATAGTAAGCCTTTGCATGTGCCTGCTATTCCTGAAATCACGCCGAGGAAGCCTTTGGTTAAGACAGCCCTTATCAATGTCGCATATGGTCGCAGCGGTGATAAGGGCGACGTGTGTAATATTGGAATAATTGCTCGAGATCCCAAGTATTTACCTTACATCAAACGCTCAATCACGGCAGAGGCTGTTGCCAACCACATGAAGCATCTTTGCAAAGGCAGTGTTGTTCGATTTGAACTTCCCGGCTCGCATGCTTTTAACTTTGTCCTGACTCATTCTCTTGGAGGCGGTGGTCTAAGTTCCCTTTTGATCGACAGACAAGGCAAGACGTTTGCTCAGATTTGCCTGAGCGGGCTCTATGTAGAATTGCCTGCATCTATGATTCCTGAGGAAGCAGCCAAGCTATAAAGATAATTTTCCTTTTTAATAAATAGCTCTCCTATTGCCTTATCTTTCTACTTGCAAAAAAACAATAATATCTTTTAAAAGGTTAATAGTAAATGTATACTACTTAATCGATCGCTCAGAGTTTGATCAACCTCTATCCTAAACTCAACTTGGCTACTAAGATAAGTGTAAATTCCTTTCAAAACAGCTTGCGTGGTTAAAGCTCTTCATGTCTTTTGAAGTAACTGAGTCAATTAGGTTTGCATTTTGTATCACAAATATTTCAATGCCAGCACATTTTAACAGAAATATACCGGTCGTTCGGAGAGAGGGTGTCATAATTATTACTGTCTCTTTTACTTCTCTAATGAGTTCTCAAGTTCAACAGTCTATTACTGAAACGATTAAACATCTGGACAAGGAGCTTCGTGATATCAGTCTCAAGGTAAGTCTATGACTCAAAATAATATTGGACCAACCCGAGTTTTCTTTACTAGATCCACGATGATCCAGAATTGGGCAACCAGGAATTCCATGCCCATGAGCTACTCACAGACTACCTTGAGAAGAAGGGATTTAAAGTGACACGCAATGCAGTTGGCCTTTCTACTGCCTTCATTGCTGAATTTTCTAACAGCAAGTCGGGTAGACGTGTCGGTTTCTGCTGTGAATACGATGCTTTACCTGGGTATATGTCCTCCTGTACTATCTTTTTGAGAAATAAGCTGACACTTTTGATAGCATAGGACACGGCTGTGGGCATAATTTGATATCCATTCAAGGATTAGCCTGTGCTATCAGTATCAAAAAGTTGATGGAACAGGATCTAGTCAAGGGATCTGTTGTTCTTTTTGGCACACCTGCTGAAGAAACAACAAGCGACAAGTTGAACTTTGTGAAGGAGGGTGTTGTTCAGGATAAAGTGGATTTTGCCATGATGCTCGTAAGCTTCTACATCATTTACAAAACCGAAAGACTGAAATTTAAACATTTTTGTAGCATCCTTTTGCTAAAGACGGCTTATATCCCAATATGTTGGCGCTAGATTCACTTGATGTTGAATTCTTTGGTAAAGCTTCTCATGCAGGCATGGCACCTTGGAATGGTATCAATGCATTGGATGCCTTGATGCAAGCATTTGATAATATTGGAATGTTGAGACAACAAACATTACCTACAAATAGGCAAGTATATCACCTCCATAAAGTTCTATTGTGTATCTAACACCTATACTAGAATTCACGGCATTATTACCAAAGGCGGAGACGCAGCCAACGTGATTCCTGCTTACGCTTCGGCTAAATTCTATGCTCGTTCTCTCACCAAAAATCAATTGGCTGAACTCAAGCCCAAGATTGAAAACTGCTTCAAGGCAGCAGCCCTTGCCACTGGTTGTCAAATCAAACTCTCCTGGGGCCCCTTGGGCCCTATTGACGACGTCTTTATGAATGACACCCTTACAGCCGTCTATAAGACGTATATGGAAGACGAAGGTGTATCATATCTGCCTCGCACAGAGGAAGAAAAGATAACAAGTGGAAGTACTGATATGGGCAATTTTAGCTACGTGGTACCATCTATTCACCCCGCATTTGGTATTTGTACCGATGCACCCAACCATAGTAAAGAATTTACAGCCGCAGCTAGAACCGAAATAGCACATAAGCGCACACTCACTGCTGCCAAATGCCTTAGCTTTACTGCTGCTGATGTTTTACTCAAAGACGAGCTGTATGACCAAGTCGTCAAAGACTTTAAAAAAGGAAAGGCACAGTAAGATACATGTGCAACCCTTTAATAAATAAATAAGCCTTTCCTTATGCAAAACAAATTCTCACGAGTTTTAGACCGCATTAAACATTCTTTTTTACTTTTTCTTTCTCTTTAAAATCAGTCATGATGAATACAGTAGAGAATGAACATGAATTAATAGACGTAGAGCTCTGGAAAGCTGCAGCCAAACAGATCGATTGGTTTGAGCCTCCTACCTCTGTCTTGGGTCGACGTGACGGACCAAATCCATACATATGGTTTCCGAATGGTACGCTTAATACATGCTTCAACTGTCTTGACCGTCACTTGCCTTCACTTGCAAATCAGCCTTGTCTCATATACGATTCGCCTGTGACCAACACAAAGATGACATTGACATACCAGCAAGTGCTCGATCAGGTCCAGCTGCTGGCTGGTGTCCTACGATCTCACGGTGTGCACAAGGGTGATACCGTCTTAATATATATGCCGATGGTACCTGAAGCTGTCTTTGGGCTCTTGGCATGCGCTCGACTTGGTGCGGTCCACAGCGTTGTCTTTGGCGGATTTGCACCTAAAGAGTTGGCAAAACGAATAGACGATTGTCAGCCCAAGGTTGTGTTAACAGCAAGCTGCGGTATTGAGCCAAAACGCGTCATTGCCTATAAGCGTAAGTTTTTCACAAACACGAAGAGGACTTTCTTACTTATCGGGCTTTTTTCTTTATGTAGCCTTGTTAGAATCTGCATTAAGTATGTGCAGATATCAAGTGCCTACACGCATTGTGTATCAGCGGCCTAACCAGGTGCAGGCAGAACTAAGAAAAGGCGATTTTGATTATTATCAGGAAATAGAAAAAGTTCGAGCCCAGAATAACGCTGTCAAGGAATGTGTTCCTGTGTTGAGTGATGATCCTCTATACATTCTTTATACGAGTGGTACAACAGGGCAGCCAAAGGTGAGATAAGGAAGGGTGTTGTCGCTGTTATATGTATTCACTATTCTCTTTTTTTAGGGCGTCGTTCGCTCTAATGGTGGAAATGCTGTTGTGTTACGGTGGTCAACTGAATATGTATTTAACATAAGAAAAGGCGACACAATCTTTACTGCAAGTGATATTGGGTAAGATATCTTTTTTTATGGTATGCGGCTTACTAGACGGTATAATGTATAGATGGGCCGTCAGTCACAGCTTTACAGTATATGGTCCTCTTCTGACAGGAGCAACCACGATCTTGTACGAAGGTAAACCTATCGGCACACCCGACGCAGGCGCGTTTTGGCGCTTGGTGTCTGAGTATGGCGCCAAGACGATGTTTACAGCGCCTACAGCAATGCGCGCAATCGCACGTGAGGATCCAAAGGGAGAGATGGCCAAGCGATACGACCTAAGCAAATTGACAAGCTTATTCTTGGCCGGTGAACGAAGTGATCCTGAGACACTCAAGTGGTGTCAACAGTTGGTTGGGGACCATTGCACGGTGATTGATAACTACTGGAGTACTGAGTGTAAGTTTGAAACGATGTGATGATATAGTATTTTTACTAATTAAAAAAAAAAGTGGGTTCGCCTGTGACAGCCACTTGTGCAGGCGTAGAAAAGAACCCGCGTAAGGCAGTCAAGTGGGGTTCTGCCGGTCGTCAAGTGCCTGGGTCAATCATTTGCGTATTAAAGGAAGATACATTAGAAGAGTACAAGGAGCCCAATAAGTTTGGCAATATCGTCTTGAAATTGCCTCTACCGCCTGGTGCATTTCCTACATTATGGAAGAATGATGAAGGGTACAAGAAAAGTTATTTTGACAAGTTTCCAGGGTACTACGATACCGGAGACGCAGGCATGATTGACAAAGAAGGGTAAATGTGAAAACACGATGTCATGGGCTTGTATTTATGATTCTTGATAGGTTTGTTCATATCATGTCAAGAACGGACGACATTATCAATGTCGCTGGCCATCGCTTGTCGACTGGATCGATTGAACAAATCCTCATCTCCCATCCTTCTGTAGCCGAGTGTTGTGTGGTTCCATTAGCGGATCAATTAAAGGGTCATGTGCCCTTGGGTATCCTTGTACTCAATCGAGCACATGAAGATACGAAGCGACTGATAAAGGAATTGATTGAAGCTACCCGTCGAGATTTGGGAGCTATTGCTTGCTTTGAAAAAGCAGTGATTGTGCCTCGATTGCCCAAAACAAGAAGCGGAAAGGTGTTGAGAAGAAGTATTCGTGAAATGGTAGACGGTAAACCAATCGTGGTACCAGCAACTATTGAAGATGAAAATACTCTATTTGAGATTTATGAAATATTGAAGCACAATCAATTGATTCCATTTAAACAAAAGACTTCAAAACTTTAAATAAAGATGTCCCTAGTTACGACAAGATCATCTCTTAGTCTCCAGCTATTCACCTTTGTCTTTCTTTTTTCTTATTGTTTCAGTACAGTTGAATCAGCCTTTGCAAGTGTACATTTAAAGATATTATATATATCTCATTTCTTTATTTTTGGCGGGCTCTTGTTTACTATTTGCACAAAAAAGAAAGACGTGTGTGATGTGTATGCGTTTCTCTTTCTTTACTCTGTCTGAAATTAAAAAAGTACACAAAAAGCATTCTAAACCATTTTTATGCCAAGTTCAATTTCCTTGTAGTCTTATTGGTGGACTTGTTTTCTTTGAAGTACTAAAGTAGTGCTTGTCTTTATTTTTTTTATTTCTTTCCTCTAAAACATATTCTATACTTTATGGGACAAACATTACCAGAACCAAACAAGGAGAAGTATACAAGCGAAGGAAATGATAAGAAAGTGATGTATGGGGCATCATGTATGCAAGGATGGAGAGCGAGTAAATATAAATTAAATGTTCATACTACAAATGCACCAACGTTATTATTATGATTTATAGACATGGAAGATGCTCATACTGCATTGACTTCCTATGCAAATACTGGTGCTAGTTTCTTTGCTGTATTTGATGGGCATGGAGGTATATAAATAAGGTTTATTTTGATCGTATCCGTTCATTCTGTGTAACTGCTTTATGTGTGGCAGGATCTCAGGTTGCATCCTATAGTGGAAAGACATTGTATAAAAAGATCATGAATTCACCTGCATTTGAAAAAGGAAGATATAGAGAAACAATTCGCAGTGGTTATTACGCTATCGATGAAGAGCTTAAGCGAGGTACAGCAATGTAAACAAAAACAAAAACAAAATGTCTCATTCTTTTTATAGACCCTGAACTCATGAATAGTAACTCTGGATGTACCGCTGTGGTTGCTATAGTGACAAAGAATGATGTACTTTATGTGGTAAGGATAGTAACAAAAGAAACCTTTTTTTTTTTTTCTCAAGTACACAATGTCTCATCATCACTTATCCATTTAGAGTAATGCGGGGGATTCAAGAAGTGTTATAAGTACAAGAGATGGTAAAGGTGTACCATTGACACAAGATCATAAGCCAAAACATCCAGATGAACATACAAGGATAAAGAATGCAGGTGGATTTGTAGAAAATGGACGTGTGAATGGTAAGTATGACATGTATATACACAATGATGTATGACGAGTGACTTATTTTAATGCGACTCAGGCCACTTGGCTTTATCTCGAGCACTCGGTGACTTTACTTTTAAATCAAATACCCAATTGACACCAGATAGACAAGCTGTAACAGGTTCATATCTTGAAAATACATATATGGAATATGCTCATGGTTTTTTAATAGCTGAACCCGATATTATTGAACATCTCATTACCGATCATGATGAATTTATGGTACTAGCCTGTGATGGTATATGGGACTGTCTATCAAGCCAAGAAGTGGTTGACTTTATACGCTGTAAATTATGCGAACATAAATCATTAGGCATAATCTGTGAAGAATTGATGGACTTTTGTCTGTCTGAGACGGATAACTATAGTGGCATCGGCTGTGACAATATGACAGTGATCATTGTTGCCTTTTTGAGAAAGAAGACACCTCAACAGTGGTATGATTGGATGGCATCCAAATCACCACCCAAGATGCCAATTAAAAAGCAAGTATTGTTGACACAAAAGGAAGAAGAAGAATAAAGTCAGTATTTATTGCTTCAAGGCGCTTCTACCTAATACGCGAATATTATTTACAAATACTTCAATCATTTGTGTATAGTGTGATGGTTCTTTTCTACTGTATTTTAATCTTTCGGCTGCAAGAAGCTTTGAGTCTGCAAACTCCAACTCTAATTCATGGCGTGGATCAGAGTCCTCTTTCTATAATGTAATGAGTTCATTTTATCCCAAAACAACAACAACAACTTACACCCGATTTGACTTGAGTCAGATCAAAACTGATCCCTCCGTGTTGATATGATATCCGATCCTTGGCTCTTTCATAAGTACATTCCATGTTTGGTTTTGGTCCTAAAGGGAGATAATATAAATATCCAATGTTGAAATAAAACTCTTTAGCTTACGAGGATGTTCAACATTGATCGAGATTCTAAAGTCCAATGGTTGATTAGGTGCATGAACATTAAGATCAGCAACACGTTCCTTTTCAATAATGCCATTAGGTACAATCTGTCCCTGTTGGTCCACTGTCACTCGCCATCTTCCTTTTGCGTTGGGTATGTCATAAAACTTGTCAATCTCGTTGGTATGCTTATATCGAATACGCTCTCCCTTTTAAAAATAAATGAGTGTTATGTTGACTTTTATTTAAACTTACTTTATAGTCTTTTGCCTGTGTCTTGTTGACCATATCATTAAGTAACTTATTAAAATGACGATGTTGTTCTAATGACATGTTTGTTTGAAAACGAACACTTCTCTCATGCTCTGGTTGTAAAACTATTTTTGTGTGTATTAATAAATGTCAATTTGAACTTTTTGTTTTTTTACTTGTTTCTGTGAGAGCATTCAAATTAATTCTCCTGTTTGTTCTTCTATCTACAAAGATGCCAAACTTTGCTTCAATCTAACAAAAAAAGTGTCAATATAATCAATATATTCTTGATTATTATTATAATAATTTACTTCCACATTCTTATAATGACAATAATTTCCTATGAAGTCTGCAATATATTTAATAACGTCGTCAACTGGCCTAATGTGGAGAATAGAAGGCTCTCTGACTAGATGTTGAATATTTGGTTTCTTTATCTCAGGCTCTTGTCTTTCTAGTTCATCAGCCTTTCGCTTTTCACCCGTTGTTGAATCCATAGTAAAAGAAAGAAAAGAAATAGCTTTACAAGCCACACAGATGTAATAAGAACAACAACAAGAACAGAATATAAAAAAGAAATTATATTATTATATTTTTTTTTGTATATAAAAAAAGGAGGGGATTATATGGGCGTGTATCGCTGTACGTGCGTGTGTGTGCGTGTGTGTGTACTGTGTGTTGTGTTCATATAAAAAAAAGAGAGAGAGAGAATGGTAAGTTGGTCGATAGATAGGTGTGATGAGTTGTTGTTGCATTTTACAAAACAGTGCATCCTGGCTTCTTCTTCTTCTTGTTGACCATTAATGCGGCTCTTGTTGCATGTTCAAATACTTCACGAACACCTTCTCCTGTCTTGGCAGAGCATTCAAGATATTGATAAGCATTAATTCTTCGAGAAACTGCAACACCCTTTTTATAACGTGTGTTACCATCATTTTATACACATTAATTATTATTATTATTGTTTTACCTCTTCAAAAGAGACAGGTTTTTGTGAGTTTCTTCGAAGTTCTTCAATTGTTGCAGGATCATTTCTTAAATCTTTTTTACATCCAACCAAGAGAATGGGTAGACCTTGACAGAAGTGAAGTACTTCAGAGATCCACTATAGAGAGAAAAAAAATGTTATAGCTCTGTATTTAATATATATTTATATTCCTACCTTTTCTTGAACATTTTCCAAAGAATCAGGAGAATCAACAGCAAAGCAAATCAAGATGACATGAGAATCAGGATAAGAAAGAGGACGAAGACGATCATAATCCTCTTGGCCTATCATTTATTGTTAGTATTTTTTGTATTATAAAGTATATTTTATTTACCTGCTGTATCCCATAAAGCTAATTCCACGTGTTTTCCATCGACTTCGACGTCAGCTACGTAATTTTCGAATACGGTGGGAACGTAAAACTATGTTTTGTTTTCCATAAATATTTTCCATTTTTTATATATAATTTATATATCAAACCTCAGGGAAAGTGCCTTTGGAAAAGACAATCAACAGACAAGTTTTACCACAGGCACCATCACCAACAATGACAAGTTTTCTTCTGATTTCAGCCATCTTAAGTTGATGTTAGAGAGATGATGACGACTTTTTTATCTTTCTTTTTTTTACCTATTCTCTTTTCTTAGTTCAATAAAAAAGAAAAAATATAAAGAAAAGAAAGAAAAAGAGAGAGAGGGAAAAAAAATTTGTTTCTTTTTTTTCCCCGTTTTTTTCTTTTTTTTTTTTTTTTTTTTTTTTT